CTTATTGTAGAGCAGTTATTGTATTTGTGTAATGAACTATATGAAGAATGCCAGTATAACTTGGCAAGTAGGTTTTAGTTACTTTCAAAACCTCCTTCACAAGCCGTAGGCCCACATTCACAGGATGACTTTGTGTACTTTCTGTGTGAGTTAGTGTCTGTGTGTTACCACAGTAACAGCATGAGTGACGGTAAAACCTCGATTTAATAAAGCGTTGCTCGTTTATTGATTTATTTAAACTTCTGGGTGATCTAATGTCCTATATTAATGCCACATTTAGCTTAACTAACATAGGGGAGAGTTCAACACGATAGTTGAAGATAGTAACACAGCTGTGCTGGTTAAACATGCTCGGTGCTGCAGGCATGTTTTATGCTTATACTTTAAGAAGTGCTTGTGTTATTGTGTACTTTTAGTTTATGTGCTTAGACCACATAACAGTGTCCCCCCCCCATCTACTTCAGTGTTAGGGCCGTCACAAAGTTGCTGGACAAAAAGGTAAAGCAGAGTGGAAAAACTCTCAGCTTCATTGTTTACCGTTTTTTTCCAAACAGTTACTCGAAAAAGAGGACGGTGTTACTGGCATAGGAAAACCTACATCCTATCATATATTTATGACGCATAAGCAGTGACTCCGTAATGTAACATGGTTAATGACGGGCCTCTCTTACACTGACCAAAATAATTAATTTTCTTCGATTGCTTGAATTCTTTAAAAGCTCTTTTAAAGCTAGGTAATCATCTGGACCTGTGATTGGTCAGGATGCTCACAACACACAGTGAAGAGCATTATGATTGAAGACTGATACTGCAGCCTTCAGCAATATCAGCACTGCAAAGGCCAGTATCACGATAATGATTAACAAATGACACACAATGAAGCCCTAGTGTGCATCATTCTCAGTCCCACTCCACCTGTCCCCATTTCATTTCTGCTTTTAATCAGTGTCCCACTGGTGGAGAGAAACCAAACCCCCCCCTTACACACACCCACACACACCCTGCTCCTTCCACCCCCATTTACAGAACAATACGCTTGGCTTCCCTTCTTCCTAACTAGTGTATTACTCATCCTGCTACTGCTAAGAAAGTCATGTTAGCTTCAGATTTGGGTATTAAAGTTTTGCTCTGCATTATTGCTTTGAAAAACATCTGGGTTGTATATGGGTCTGTTATGACTTCCATCAACTTACATTCTGGTGTACTTAGTGGCCACGTACTAATGCTGGGTGACTTTATCCTCACCTGGAAATGTAAATTATCTAGCTTAACGGCTCCCACCACAATATATGTACGATAGGGCTATCTGAAAGGGTGCGGTACACCCCCAACACATAAAGAAAATTGCTGCAACTTCAATTGTAGTAACAATATTTGACTTATTATTAGAAATTGTAGCATCCGGATAATGGGTTATGCTGCCGTGGGAGCATGGGAGGCGTGGCCATGTGGGGCAGCTATGCGCAGAGGCTCTTGGGAAGCACTGCACTCGCAATAGGAGAGAGTTTTATTGTAAATAAGTTGTTGTCAGCTTAATGTTGTGCACATGTGGTGTTTGCTATTCTGTGTTGGGCGGTGGGGCAGTTGGTGCAGGGTTAGGGCCTACCTTCAGATGAACGTGCATGGCTAGAAGTGACCTGCCTGCTTCCTGGTCATATCAGCTAGCACTGGGTAGCAGTTCTCCCTTGCTGCCTGTTCAATAAAAGAGCATTCGCCTTTAAAGCATAATGTTTCCCATGTCTTATTCTACACCAACACCACAGTATGTTCCCCAAACTGTTAAGACCTACATACAGTTCTCAACACTGCCCTCTAAAGGTGTTATTGCACCTGTTATATATGAGAGCTTCATTGTTTTTCTCATGATGTGACTCAATACGTTTTCTTTCTTCATTTTTTTTTTTTTATTTCATTTTAGCTCTATGTTGGGGGTTGAAATTACTTCTTTCCAGCGGGTTAGATTACACCCCTGGTCCACACACATGAAATGCCCAAAGGCATTTTGTTTAAGGCCTGCTTTTTGACTCCAAGGCTCTGAGCATTAATTGCTTGAGCTACTTGGGGGCCATTCAGCTGGTTGGAATCTGCAGCTAAAGTTCCTGGTAATCCTCACCATAGCAACATCCTGCAGCCTACCGCAATCGCACGCCCCTCCTCTCCGTGTCTGGAGAAATGCATGCTGATCTGGAGACAGATTTTTCTAAGGTCGACGCTGTTTAGAGTCCTGCTTAACTCAAATGTAAAGCTGACTTAGGAATAGCAGTGATATTGTGAGTGAGTGACTGTCATTATCAATTTTAATATTTAATAAAGTTACCTGCTGATTATTTTGATGATTAAACAGAGTAAACAGAGCGTTAAAAAAGGCCAAACAATAAAAATCGACTTAACTCTGAACAATGGCAGACATGCATAGCCTTTCAGTGACTCCAGAATACTTAATTGGAAAAAGACAGGAGTGTTGCTAGGCCAGTTTTAGCTTAACCCCTCCACCCAATCCAAGGGAGAGAGAGAAGACCGCATTGCTTGACTTCAATACCTTTGCGTGATTAATAAGTGGATGGATAGCACGTCACGTGCAATCTATGCTTAATACAAACTACAAAAAGACAGATTTACTTTGTACCGATTTGACCAAATCATTTTTTCAATGAGGTTTTCCTGTTGCTACAATTTCTTGACATTTTGGGGCCTTTTTGTTTAATTTTTAATTTTTTTGTACTATTTCCTGGCATGACATGCCCCCTAGAAAAGGGGGGCCGTAAATCACAAGTGATGCCCCCGGAAAAGCCTTTAAAACTGCTAGTACTGTCAATTGCAGATACTTTTCACCTATCACGATTTGTCGGTCAAGTTGGATGATTTAAGTGTCCAAAAAACACACGTTCTGTGGCTTTATTTGTTTAAAGTAATTAAGTTTGTTTTGCAGTCAGTTTTCTTTTAACTTGCTTTCTAATAATGTGTACTAAATCAGCCATGATATGTTGTCTGGCTTTAAAACAGTCCACAGAGTGAACTGTTGAACCGTGAAGAAGCATTTTTCCTACCTGTTCTCATGCTTGTTAAACCGATAAAGCCATGCTGCAGCATTCCACACGCAGAACGGGTTCTGTGACGAACGCTGACTTGAAAAATTTTTGAATTATGACTGCATCAGATATTAAAAACAAAAAAGACAATGCATATCTACAAGAGCAGTAGTCTTTGGGCTACTAGTTTTCAGTAGTATTGTCAAAGGCTTGAGGGTGCGATCGGAGGATACACTGTACAGGGTGTGACAAACCTGCAGACTGCCAGCTATTTCAGAAAGTAAATGTCAAACTGTCATGTATTTTTAAATTGATAAATCAGTGAATCGTGACAGGTCTGTTCTGAATACAGCTGCAGTTGCTCAGACAGAAGTCTGGCCATGTGCATTACTGTTTCAGTTGCCTTCCTTCCAGGGCTTTAAAACTGCTTCCTCATCTTTGCAGCTGTACAGGGACTTCTTTCTCATGAAGTCACAAGATCCATAACTGTGTATGTGTGTTTTCGTATCTGAACTGTAATCTCTGTGATTATGTTGTGAAATGGAGTAAAGGCTAAAAGCTGGCCAGTTATCACAAACTCCCACTGTGAAAGCAGCGAGGGCTTTTGCGTATGAACTGTAATTCCATCAGGAATTCAATCCAGCTTCAATCACTGCGTTTGGAAAATGACGCAACGCGGTATCTAAGAAAATCAGGTTTATGACGTGCAGGTTTTTATTTTTGACTTTTTCCTTTCCATTTTTAGGACACTGTAAGCTATGACAGAGCAAAGGTGTTGAAAAAGCCTTAGGCCAGTGTGCAGTGATGTTACATGAAATCTGACTTTCCAGTAAAGGAAGTGGAAGGAAAAAATGACGACTGGCCGGGTTAGCAGGCTTTTGAGTTTTGAAGTGAAGAGCTTTGCATGAAAGCTTGAAAGTTCTTCAGTGAGTAGAACTGACTGAATAGACGTATTTGTTTAGGGTTAGTTTTGTTGAAGACAGACTTGCACGCAGGTGCTTGTATATAGATCCCCACACACTCATGTTCAAGCTTTTGATTTGGTCTTTATGATGATTGCACTCTAAATGTGTATGCATATCTAATGTGTGTGTGTGTGTGTGTGTGTGTGTCTTGTATCAGTTTGTCATTTAGTTTTTACAAAACGTCATTTATATGCCATTTGAAGAGTTTTGTTCCAAAACATGTTATAAATCCTTTCAAGAATATATATTTTTTAATGCTATATATTCTTGGTAGTGTGCTTTACACATTCAAGAAACATTAATTTAACATATTTATTTGTCTTGACTTCATTTTAATAAGCTATGACATAGTTGTTCATTAATTGGATTACATAATTATTTTATTTAATATTACATATTATAATTATAGTTATTGTGATTACATAAATGACATAATGTTGTTGTTTTTATTGCAGTAATATTATGGGAGTTCTTGCCCTGGGGGGATTCTTCCCCTACTGTGTTTTGATGCATTGAGGCCAAACAATGGAAATCGTCCAGAAATCTAAACAATAACAAACCATGCCTTTCAAAGATTCCAAACATGCCAAAATCTGTTATTGGAAAAAGATAAACTCGGCTCCCTTCAAGAATATCTAAACACGCTGTGGAAAAAATGCATCACCTTTGTATTTAGAGAGACTGTAGAATTTAAACAGGCAATTACTTTTTACCGATGTGTCACACAGGTACATTTTAATTGATGTGTGTTTGTTTTTAATTGAGTTTAATCGAGTTAACGCGGAAAGCCCTAATGTGGAGCATAAGGGCTCCTTTGTTTTCATGTCTGCTGTTCCTGTGTAGGCCGTGTTGATGTGGAAGTTGCTCTTTTCTCTGTCTGCAGCACAAGAAATGATCACATCTCTGGCAACATTTCCTGTAACTTCCTGTTCATTGGGCCAAGTCTGTAAACAGCTGTTTCAACATCTGATCTGTGTTTGTGTCTTTCTGTTTGTGTGTACACCAGGTGAGACTTCACCATGGCTCCGTTCCTGCGGATCGCCTTTAATGATTTTAATTTGGGAAACCTCCCTCCTCTGGCTGAGCAGCCGTTCTGCGCCATCAAGATGAAGGAGTCTCTCAGCACAGGTTAGCATGTTTGTCTAGCACACACACACTTACACACACATACATACATACACCATGCAAAAGCTTAAACACCCTGGGTCATGCTTTGTTGATTCTGTATGTAGTTCATTCTGCAAATATTGGTGCACAATTTCTATTTTGATAAATAGAATTTAGAGTTTTGAGATTAAAGCTGCAACATATCCATTTTTTTATTTGAAAGAAGTAGCATTACTGAGTCAGGAGAATAAAACATGCTAAAATATGCTGAGTTGCTCTGTAAAGCATGATCTAATAATTTAAAAGTCAGACAATTTACAAATTAACACCACATGCAGAAAAAGAAGGTCTGGCTCAATGTTTAGGTCTTAAATGTAAAATGATTATACTTTATATTGTGGCGTCAGCATAGAAGAAGACGCATAACATGGCTATTTGAAAGAGTGCTCCTTTATCCACAAGTAGCAGGGGGAAAGCCGCTGTCAGCGCTGCCAAACAGCTGGGAAAGCAGGCAGAAAACAGCCCTTTTTCCACAGTGATGGTTTGCATGCTCGGACAATCAAGTCCACGTAATTGTTCCTTTACACCAAATTTGTTTTCTAAAGTTTGCATGCTTAGTTTTGCACTGGAGCTACAAGGCTAACAAGTAATACAAGCTTATACCCACCAATTAGCATCAATTCTCAAGCAAATACACACCTAAATCATCAAACACATTCCTCAAACCATCCTGAGTTTTGTGTATGTGGACAAAGGTAGTACTGCCACCTTCAAGCCTGACTTTTGTCCACACTTTTGTCCCTTTTTGTAGATAAAGGAATACGGATGAGCACAGGTACTCGATTACTTGATTAACAGTTTGAGGTGCCAGTATTCGAATACTGAAATCACTATTCGGGTATTGCGTTTCATTACAGGAACACGAAGAAAAGCCAATGAAAAGCCACTTTTCTGTTTCAACAAGACTAAAATTTTTTATGTGTTTGCTCGTACCTGTGAGTAAGGGAGAGCTGGATGTGCTTTGAGTTGAGAAACATTTTGGGGGTGTATTTATGGAAAAGGTTTGGATGATTATTGACTTCTAGTGTTTGTTAGCAACATTAGCTTTGTGTAAGTTAGATTTTTCTCCAAACAATTTCTTTAACAGGTAAGCACCGTTTAAGACATCTGATCATTGTTTGGCTAGTGGTAACTCGTCCATAAGATGTGCAAGCTACATTAGCCTTGTAGCTCTAGTGTAAAAGCTAAGAAAGCAGAATTTGAATGCTGAAAATATCTTGATTTGAATACGTTTGAGATGTGGAGGAAATTGGGTAATTATGTAATTAATTAAGTATCTAAGAATTAATTCGACACCATAAATAAAATGGATAGTAGTTTATAAATGAACACCAATTGTAAAGCATTAATATAGAATTAAACACTTTTTTTCCTCTCTTTCACCAGAGCGGGGAAAGACTCTTGTCCAGAGGAAGCCCACCATGTACCCAGCGTGGAAGTCCAGCTTTGACGCTCATATCTACGAGGGCCGTGTGATCCAGGTTCTCCTGATGAGGACAGCTGAGGAGAGTATCTCTGAAGCCACCGTCGGCGTGTCAGTCATCGCCGAGCGCTGCAAAAAGGGGAATGGCCGCGCTGAATTCTGGGTAGACCTGCAGCCCTCTGGGAAGGTGATGATGTCGGTGCAGTTTTTTGTGGAGGATACTGACACAGGTGGGCATATTTTACAAACACATAACTAAAACTTACAGTCCTCTCACAAATGGCTAACACGTGAATGGTGACAGTGACTGGCATTGTCTCACCATTATGGTGAAGCATATGGTTTGCTATGCTCCCTAGTGGTGGAAAGGTGCTATTACAGCTGTTTCAGCTACCAGAGTTTGGTAAAGCTAAGTAAATGTGGCCTTCTGAAGCATGGGAATTTTAAAAAATCAGTCGTTGAGGAGATAGCAAACAGACTGAACATTATCAATTGGTCAAAAGCAACCCCAGATTATTTTAATGGTTCACTATTCGCTATAAATTAATATACAGATGCTCAAATTGTTAACAAAAACAGTGATGATATGCAACATTCCTCATATGAGACTGAAGATTATTCAACGTATTTCTGGAAGTTTTTGTTAATATAAAGTTCTCCTATCAAGTAAAATTATCATGCTGAATTGGCAAATAGCAATTAAAATTATTTGCTGATGCTATAAGGTCATTTCACTTGATAATCTAATTAAATGAAATGAAGTGAGATTTCGAGACCTCTCTGGAAATGTGTAATTGAAGAACATTTTGTAATATCAGTTGTGTTTCGGATCCAAACGGATAAATCTGATGATTGTGAGCAAAAATCATACATAGTTCAGCTTTAAACTTTCTTATAATTCATAATAAGACATAATAATGTGTTTCCCACATTAAAGATGCTTATACATGCCGATAAATGTAAGCTAAAGACAAAATGAGCATCTACAAAGCAAAACAAAGTGAACAAAGCGAATAGTTTGTAGTTTGTGTTGTCGTGGGAATGTGCGGAAGGCTGTGACGTGGGCTGTCTTTGTTGCAGTAGCTGGTGAAGTGTTTTTGGAGTGTTTTTGGAGCGTAATGGTTGAAGTGTCTCCGTTCCGCCCCCTTTCATGAGTTTCCTGAAAAGAGGCGCAGTCGGGCCTATTTATAGAGTTCATGTCTGAACAGGCCTCAGCTCTGTCTTAGAAGAGTGTGAGCGAGACGAGACCGCCGACAGCCAATCCCACCCAAATCGCACACGTAAACACCGGCTCATAGAAATGAGCCCTACAGAATGAATTTAATGTTTCCTACTTCTCCGCCTGCTCTGTCTCTGTTTTTCAGCCTCTCTGTTTTCCTTTTTCTATTCTTTTTTTTTGCTCTTTTTACTTTTTATTTCTCTCTCCTTTTGTCACCTATTTCTCTTTTTAGTTTTCTCTCTAGTTTTCTCTTTTTCTGTCTTCTTTCTATCTCTCTCTCTCTTTCTCTCTAGTTTTTTCTGTCATTCTGTCTGTCTTTATTTTTTCTCTTCTTTCTTTTTGTTCTTTCTTTCTTTCCTTTTTTCATTTTCTCTGTCTGTTTTTGTCTCTGTTTTCAGTTTCTTTTCTTTGTCTTTATATCGTTAGTTACTGCCTATTTTTGCCCTTCTGCCTTTCTCTTCCTTTCTTTCTTGCTTGCTTTCTTTCCTTTTAGTTATCTCTTTCTTTTTCTCTCTTTTTCTTTTTCTTACTCTTTCTCTCTTTCTCTTTAGTTTTGTCTCTTTCATCTTTCTTTTCTCTTACTCTTGCTCTTTGTTTCTTTCTTTTTAGTTATCTTTTTCTTTTCTTACTTTGCCTCTTTTCTTTAGTCTTCTCTCTCTCTTTCTTTTTCTTACTCTCTCTTTTTCTCTTTAGTTTTCTCTCTTTCATCTTTCTTTTTCTCTCACTGTTTCTCTCTTTCTTTCTAGTTATCTCTTTTTCTGTTCTTACTTTTTCTTTTTCTTACTTTGATCTTTTTCTTTAGTTCTCTCTCTTTCTTTTTCTGTCTCTCACGTGTGTGTTTTGTTTGTTGTCCTTTGTTCTGTCCCTCTGACCTCTCTCACACTCGTTCGTCAGCTGTCCCTGTGTCGTTTGTTTTGTTTACTCTTACTGTTTTGCTTTCCAGTGAGTCAGAAGTTCAGTCTCAGTCGTCTCGTTCCACCCTAAAAGGCGGATCCCGTGACATAGAAACCCACAGTCATGTAACTTCAGAAAACTACAACATTTGGCAAAGAATTATGGGAGATCCTGGGTCAGAGTGTATGCTGGCTTCTGACAGCTACTTTGGAGGGGCTAAACTGAGGGAGGAGCACTGATGTCAGCTTCACTCAGCAGTTTACTGGAATTCCCCGCTTAATGATAGCACAGTCTTTCAGAGGACTCCTCTAGAGCTGTTCTTCCAAAGGGTTTAATAATTACCTGATTAGCTGATTCAGGTGAATTAGAGCAGAGAACACCAAAAAATGTTTGGTGCATGAAGTGTCCAGGACAGCCTGTCGAAGATTTTGAAGTTTTCAGGCTGTTTTTTATTGTTTCCGTTAAGAAAAAATACCTTTGGAAGGTTTTATTAAAGTTGTTGTTCAGTTGTTGAGATGTAAACAGCCATTCAGAGTGGTTTAATGTAAAATGGTTCACTGTAGAGAAATTTACCGACTCTGATTTCTTCACAGTGGTGGTGATGGGAACCACGTCTTCACAGCCTACAATACACTCAGCCATTCTATTTACTATCCGAAACCACCAGTGTTCCTAGTCGTGTCTTCTGATTTTTCTAAGTAATGTTGATAAAGGCAAAATTGTACTTTTTCCAGATTTAGTACTTAGTTATTGTGTAAAATTGTGCCTTACAGTGCCCTGCATGTACCACTCCATGAATGTGAAATGGATTAAAAAAAAAAACATTAATAATAACGATTTAACAGCTTTCCGTTTTCAAATGATTTATAAAAAAAACACACACTGAAACTGCACAACATGCTCAGAAAAGCGTAACATAATTTATCACAATAACAATAAATTATCAGCATATTGGCCACTTCTACATAACAATCTAAGAAATTGCTGAATTTCACTGAAAATTGTAGTGTAAATATTTTAGTTGTGTTTTAGGATCCTGAATAAAGTTCTAAATATAGTTCTGATTGTTTTTCAGAATGCAAGCAGTCAGTGAAGGAAGAGGACGGGATTTTAACGCTGAACAGAAGGAGAGGAGCCATCAAACAGGCCAAAGTTCACTTCATCAAAAACCATGAATTCACCGCCACCTTCTTCAAACAGCCTACCTTCTGCTCCGTCTGCAGAGAGTTTGTTTGGTGAGTGGATGGATGGATGGATGGATGGATGGATGGATGGATGTTGCAGTCTGACTAATATATTTCTTTGCTGATAATATCAGAAAATATTGCCAATAACATAACAAATTATTAGCTTTTTTTTGTTGTTTGTTTTGGCAACTCCTGACCTCTGGAGTCCCGACCTTAGACAGTTTAGACAATAATGCAGGCTTTTATATGAAAATAACTAATGAACAATAAGAGGTAATTAACAGAAATCAGCACTGTAAGGTATTACAGTTAGCTCTGCCAGTGGTGCTACAACATTTGGATTATTTAAGACTAAGCTTCTACTGTTATTTTTTAAAAAATTTAAAATAAGATTTAAGAGTTTAAGATTTGACAGTAGAGAACTGACAATTATATCTGTCACTAAAGCATTGTTTGATTATAATTGTTGGAGAATACTATTGAAATCTAAAATGATATCAGCTGATTTTATTGGTTATCAATTTTTAGCTCCTTAAAATCAGCTTTAGTATCATAATGGATGGGTAGACCACTGGAAGATGCATTAACACTTAATAATAGTGCTTTGGCATTATATATGTTCGCATTTTAGCTCTTGTGACTGTAGTCCCTGAGGTCTGATGTTATTTGGTAACTATCAGGGGTGTTAAAAGGCATGTTTGAATCAATTACAGTAAATAACACTAATAATAAATGAAGTGAAAATAGCATTCTCAGGTAATTTTCAAATATAAAAGTCCCAAAAAATAGCATGATGAGTTGCTGTTATTGTCTTTATTCCACTACTATGTAAATAGTTCCACTAGTCACATTTGTAATTAGTATGTTTATAAAAATAATCTGAATTGCACCAAAAAAATCATGGTGAAAACTGTGATGTCATAATGCTTTGCACCCCTAATACCAGTGCTGAACCATGACTAGGCCTTCAGTTTGAGACATTGTCAAAATATGAGGGTAAAGAAACCCTCTATGATGATGCTAATTTCTGCTGGTGTCCCTAAAGGATTCTAATATCATGTTAGCACTAATCTAATGGTGAATCACATGAACATTTTTGGCCGTTTTAGATTAAACCCAGACATTTGATACTTGTAAAAGACATAATAATGTATATTTTGCCTTACAGCAGTTCTGTAAAGAGCCCTGGCATGGAGTGGCCACTGTTTTCCATTTCTTACAACTGACTGAAGCTTTTTGTTTTTCAGGCTACGATTCATACACGCAGTCTCTATCCATCCATTTTAATACCGGTTTTAACAAGCCCTCGTCCACTTTGCTTTGCGTTTCCATATTAAATGCTTATTATGATACTGGCAGAGTTTGAATACAAGCACAATGTAATATATTTAATTATATTATTAAATAGATTATATCAAATAAAATTAAATAACATTACAAATACATGTGTTTTTCTTCCACAAAAATCATTAGGGTTCTGTGGAAAACTGGAATGACTGAATCACTGTAAATTATTGCACTAATTGCAGTAATTACATAATTGATAATGGAAGTAACAGATGGGTTTTGTTTGGCACGTACTGCAGTTTACTGTATAAACAGTAAAATCACCTTCCTGTTCTCCACTGCTACTAAACATCCACATCCCACTCCCGTATCTCAGTTGGCCATCTAAACTGCCTTGGCTTGACACAGTAATTCATCTAGCAGTTCTTAGGGATTCCTCTGATATTTCTGCAGGCTCAGCAAAATTTGCTTGGCCGCCAGTTCCTGTACTCTGGGCCTTTGTTTTCAATATTTCTGGCCTGTTGTTTCTGTATTTGTTGTTTCACGTCCAATGATAAAGCCCTGAAGCAACTAACATGTTCTGTCTCTTATTACAGGGGGCTTAACAAACAAGGCTACAAATGCAGACGTGAGTGTACACCACATGCACACTGCTGTATTCAAGAAAAACAAGAAACATAATAGTTAGAGGGCTAATGTGCCCAAGGAATGTTAATGTGGATCTTGCAATGTTTAATAAACAGTGCTTTAGCAATGTTAGCATTTTTATAGTTTGGTTTTCTAGACCCATATTATACCTCGGCTTGCACTAAATTAAGGCAGTATAAAGAGGTAAATAAGGCTTGAGCTGAATCCACATCAGAGACAGTCCTGTAAAAAACTTCAACACTGTATCAGAGTGCAGCTCTTACTAATTTTATTACAGCTGTACTATTTACTGCTCAGCATCGATAACACTTATAAATTCACAGCCAATTTTCTAGTCAAATATAAGATTTGGCCTAGACTACATAACATTTTGCTTATTATTATCATGTTTGTAGGCAATCAGATGAATTTCAAAGATTCATTTCTCTGAGGAGTTTGCTGGAAGGAGAGCTTAATGCAATACTTTGGCAAAAGTACTTACTTTTTTCCTTTTAACTCAGGTGTACTTAATCAGCCAAGACATGTTTGGTGTCCAAAGTTTGCTTCTTAATTTAACCCCAGTCTCATCCTTATGTCTATTGCACGCTAAGCTAGCCACAACTACTGAGATTTTGTCAGTTCCACATCTGTGTGAATGAAATTCTGTGCAACATACTTTATCTGCCTGATGAGAAAACAAACTTTTGCAAGCATTTGGTTGCTCTGCACACTGTGACTTAGCATTTCAGAGCAGTATTGTCACCATATTGGGGGAAAAAAAAAACATTTGTAATTTTCATGGCATCAAATCTTAAAAAGTTATTCAAGAGAAGCATTTATTAGCTTTTAAGTGAGATATCCTTGCATGTTTGCATATGCAAATGTGTTTCCCGTGGGTTTGTTTGTCTTGTGTTTTTTGTGCCTGCTCATACGTCAGAAATCATCCAAAACAGCCATCTGTGGTTGGTTACTATGTCAGTCGAAAGGCCTTTTCCTGTCAAAGGTGGCTTTTGGCCATGTTATGTGAAGAAATTCACCAGTTTTGCGACAACAGTTTTATAATGAAGCTTAGTTGCTAATGTAGCTAACTGGAAATGGAAGTTTATACCCGCCAGTTAGCATCCCAAACCACTTAGCATTGTCAAACTGCAATCTAAATCACATACTTACTTCAAACTGCGTCTGGTTGTCAACTAATCTGAAATAGTCTTGCTTATGTGCTTTGACACTACATCACATGCATGTAACATGCATCTCAGCCTTGTAAAATTCCTGGACACTCTAGGCTTGATTTTTATTCAATTATTTATTTTTCTTTTAAAACCCAGATTGAACACACATTTTACTACGTATTTTACCCAAACAGTTGTCCCTTCATTGAGGGTCATCTGAACATTCAAACCCATTTCTCATTAAAAAATGGTTTGAATAAAAAGAAGCAGTTTAAACACCATTAGAAATACTTACCTATGAAAATGTTTGGATTCTGTGACATTTTGTGTCCAGGAATAGAATTATTGTTTATTTATGTATTTATTATTTTGTGTCTTGTGTCAAATGAGATTTCGGTGTAAGCTTTTATTTCTTGTTAGCATCATAGCTCCAACGCAAAACTAAAGAAGCATAATTAAGAACACCAAACACGTCTTCACTGATTAAGCATTTGGGGTAAAGGGAAATTGTGCAAATTTAATTTTTCATTTAAACTATGGCTTAATTACATCAGCTTCTAAGAGTTTACCTGCCTAACATAACCTCTGTCCTCTCTTTCTTTTCTAGAATGCAATGCGGCCATTCACAAAAAGTGCATTGATAAGATCATTGGGAGATGCACAGGAACTGCGACCAACAGCCGAGATACTGTGGTGAGGGCTTTTTTTTTATATCTTCTGAGTAAACACACATGTGCACATGACCAATCTGTTAACCCCCATCTGCTCCACAATGCATGATAGTTACCATGGGACCCCATGGAACAATTCCAACGACGGTGTCGTTCTTAAGGATTATTTTTCAGCAACTACCATGGATTATTTAGTAGCTATCTTGAAACTAATATATACTTATAAGTCATGTTAGTATATATTGAATATACTGAATATTTATTGCAATTGCATCCATTACCTAGTAAAATGACCACCAGTAGTCAGTATAAAGTAAAGGTGCACTCAGTTACATTTTCCATCATACCAGATCATGCATCATATCGAAAATATGGACTTCAAAACGGATGGAAAGAAATCAGAAAAATATAGGACAAATGGACAGCACCAACATATGGAACACTGAAATTTTCTCCCTTTTTAATAAGACTACCTTTTATGTAGTATGTTGTTAAAGTTTGACATGCCATTCACTCCTCAATCCTTACAGTACATACATGGAAATTAAGCAGTAAAAACAGCCCATGTTGAATTTGCTTTTGTAATGAATACCAACTCATTAAGCCCACTGAAGGAGTTATAAGGAGTGTTTCAGCATGGACTGCTTTTTCCTTGAGGTGCAGCAAGGGGCAGTCAGTCAGGCCATTTGTTTACATATTGTTGCTGTCAAAAAAAAAAGTGTCTTCATTTTTTGCAATTTATTTTTCTGCATAATTTGAGCAGCTGTCCTTTTAAACTGTGTGAAAATTGTGATGATTGGACCAGAAGAAATGCTCCAAAACTGCTTGGGATAAAATCTCTTTACGTTAACTTACACTGAGAGTGAAGAATGTTTTTGCCTTTTTAAAAATCTAAAAAAAAGCCTAAATCAACTCCTTTAGCCTACAGCAGTTTAGCTCTGCCCACTGAAGTTTTAAGGAGTGTTTCAGCATGGGCTGCTTTTTGGATGAGGTGCATCAAGGGGCAGTTACTATTGCAATTTACTACTAAAGTTACTATTTAGTACTTAGTACTAGATACTTGTTTTTCTTTGGACAGTGACGGTATCATCCTTAAAGGATCAGTAACTAAAGCAGCCTGTGTAATTCTGAACAGAGGTTGGAAAATGGTCATGTAGAGTGATTTATGACTGTTTTTACCACCTAAACCGCACACAGTATAATTGGACCTTAAGGTAAAAATTCTCTGTAGGATAATGGCCCTTTTAAATGTTTGTCAAGGAAATTATGCTAGTGCTGTTTCTTATTTTCTATGTTCATGAATTATTTTTTGTAGATTCAGCACTTTTGAAATCTTTTGGTTCATTACATCATAGCATTTTAACACTGTAGGTGTGAAAAGGTCATCAAGTTCCAAAGATCCAGACCGACCACTCACAACACAAACATCATACACAAGAAGGATCAGAGTCTCCTGCTGATCAATAGCAGCCTGTTAGCCCTTAAAGACCATGTGACTCAGTAGTTTAGACCTTGTCAGTCATCTAGTAGCAGCGAGGCCACTACTTTGTTGCTGTACTACAAATATTGACTTATTAACATTTGATTAGTAGTAGGCATGGAAACGCATACAATGTATTTTAAAGACAAATGTGACCCCCTTAGCTGTAAACTTATGTCCATAGGACTGTGTTAGTAGTTTTTGGTAGATTGTGTCAGTGTAGAAAGGCATTTCGGAGCTTCTGTTCATCAAAACTTGGCACCATGCGGAGAGGGAGAGGTTGTGTCCGTGCATGTAGACCATTGGGCCCACGATGGCGGCTAAACGATGGCTCCTTTGTGTTGGTGCAGTTCCAGAAAGAACGCTTCAAGATCGACATGCCACATCGCTTCAAGACGCACAACTACATGAGCCCCACCTTCTGTGACCACTGCGGAAGTCTGCTGTGGGGAATGGTCAAGCAGGGCCTCAAATGTGAAGGTGAGAGAGATAGTCTTTTTCCCCTTTAGGTAGCACCTTTAGCTTTAGTGCTAGATTGGCTACCCCATCTGTTTTTCTCTGCCATGTTTTTTTCATGTTCTCTTTTCTCTGGCAGTGCCCTTCATCTTTACCTCCCTCTAAACGCATTGATCTGATAGCCGTGAATCAACCACATCAATTTTGGAATTTTATTGTCACTAGAAATCGCACACTTTCTTTTCTGATTGCAATATTGAAACATTGAGTATCTCCCAATACTGATACCAGTGTAACATGTTTTCTTTAAAAAATGCTAAGCTGACACTTTTATTTTGCATTATTTTCTAATTCGATTTTTTTTTTATAACAAATTACATTGTCAGTATAACAATTTGATTGAGAAGTAAAGTCTCTTAAAAATCCTGTCAGAATTTTCCTTTTCCTTTTAATAACAACGTAAACTCGAGCTGGTATGGACCTCTGATGAGTAGATCAGATCCACCTGAGAGTTGTCTAAACTCAAAATTCACTGGAAGAGATCATAGTAAAACCTTTATTTATTTATTTTTTTAAACAAAGGCCCTAACATAGTCTTTGTCACACATTTGCTTAAATTTGAACATTGTGCAAAAAATAGAGCAAAATCTTGAATGTTTATTCTTCTTTCTTCTTTTTTTTTAATTGGCATAACTTTTCTTCATTTGAGATTTTTCCACATGCTAAAACCTGAAAAAAAAATAAATAAAAAAACCCAGATTTTTTTGGGCTCAGACTTTCAGACTCACTGTGTGTTGGCTATTTGATATCGATACCAATACCCATCAGTACTGATATGCTATCTCTAATTATCAGTTAATACAGACATTAGTTCTGTCCGCACAGTCTGATTGGTTGAAAAGTGTTTTATTCATGTTGCTGTAGGTAATAACATCACATTTCAACTACTTTTTGGCAGGAAAAAAAGAAAAACATTTATTTTAAATGATGCTCAGGGCTTCTTTGTTTTTCATTTTTCTTTACTTTGCACCCCTGGTCAAATTACATGTCCTGCTGGTTTACTTAGTAAGAATAAGTTAAGACATCCTCTACATTCTGCACATTTTAATATTCAGTTACTGTTTATTTGTTGAATTTTAACATATTGGGGAAAAATAAATCATAAAATGTGGCCAGTGCAAAAGTTATGCTTAATTCTTTGTCTTTTCTCTGTTAAGACTGTGGGATGAATGTCCATCATAAATGCCAGACAAAAGTAGCCAACCTCTGCGGTATAAACCAGAAGCTCCTAGCTGAGGCTCTGACTCAAGTTAGTCTGGTGAGTGACCCAGTACAACGTGCAATGTAATCTGTCAGTCATCTACTGGAGAGGAGTGGCTAATAAAGTTGTCTCACTTTCAGTTTCTGCATTACATTGTGTTTGATTGACAGCCAATAATGGCTGACTTGCGGTTTCAGGATGTTACATAGTTCAAGTGAAATGACAACAATAATATGAATAATTTGATTTATGTAGTGCCTTTCTCAGATGCTAGGTTGAATAATAATATACACAATGTACTGATTGAACGTTTTTGTTGTTAATGTTTTGTGTTCTGTTTAGAAATCTTCCACCAGGAGGCCTGATCCCACTCTGTCAGACATCGGCATCTATCAGGATATAGGCAAAAATACTCCAGCGGACCCTAGTGGTAAGCCTTCATTACTGCAGTGCATTTTTTTTATACTGCCTAGTTTTGCGGTGCATGGCAGTGGCCATGGGAGCCTTCGGTCATTTGTACAGATTAAGCTAGTGAAACTAAGCCATTGATAAGTACTGAGTGTATTAATACCAAGTTGAATTACCTACAGCAGACAGTAGAATTAGTAGAAAAAAATGAATGTAAGACATTTATTAAAGGTGCACCAAAGCCGTTTGACACGTGCTTGGACATTTAATAATAATTAAACTGGAAGCAGATAAATGTGAATGTGAAGATCAACCTTGCAGTTTACCTGCAAAATAAAATTACTGGGAGGGCTCATATGTGAAGAGAAGCCAATACATAATCAACAAATATAATGACATTTTGATTACAATCAGCTGGAAATTCTGGGATGCTTTTGAATCTTAAATGTGGCTTTCACAGCAAATGTGAACATGCACACCCTGATATAATACTGTTTAAGGGCTGCAAGTTTCAATGAAGCTAAGCACAAACATCACTGGAAAAGGCTGTAATGCACAGGGTTTTAAATGTGTTAAAATGCTATAAATAGCACTTTTTATTGACACTAGACTTGTAGTGCAAAAAAGTGACAACCTAAAAACCACAAAAGGGCTAAGGGGATCGAGGATGCTACTTTAGAAGCATGTACAGAGATTGGTTAAATGATCCCTCCCAAAACAAATGCACCAAAACAAATGGAAAGAAATAAGCGATATTCAGTCGTTTTTATGCACTAAAAAGAGATCAAGACATACCGTTTGAAAGACCTTCTACTAGGAATCAGCATAAGCTCTACACAGTTTCTTGTCAACATTATGTTGGAGTACTTGCAATAAAACATTTTTAACAAAAATGTTTTTTTTTTTTTTTGAAAATGCAGGACAGGTTGTGACTTATCAGCAGTAACTACCTAAGATATTGAAAATTATGTTCAGTTTACAGTTTAATTGTACTGTTATAAGTATTCATAGCGCTGGTGATGATTTGGTGTTCTGATTGTGTTTTTTTAGCAGATAGCAGTCAATATGGGAAACTGTGGGATGGTACCACTCCAACAGCGCCCTCCGCCTCCATCACACACCAAACACGCGTCACCTATGACAGCTTTGTGTTCCACAAAGTGCTGGGCAAAGGCAGCTTTGGCAAGGTGAGTCTGTGGGTGTCTAAAAACACTAGTTTGGTTAAAGCAAATGTAATGAATCTTATTTGAAGATTTTTTTCCTTTTAAAAAGAAGTGTAATTTGTTAGAGCTGTATGATGTGCAGACGTGCTCCAGGACCAAAGTTGGGAACCTTTGGCGTAGTCAGTATTGTCCATAGTGTTGATATATTGGCATGTCTCCTTGTGTTAGGTGCTGCTGGCTGAGCTGAAGGGCCGTGGCGAGTACTTTGCAGTGAAGGCTCTGAAGAAGGATGTGGTACTGATGGATGATGATGTGGAGTGCACCATGGTGGAAAAGAGGGTCCTAGCATTAGCCTGGGACAACCCCTTCCTCACACACCTCTACTGTACCTTCCAGTCCAAGGTGCGATGACGACTCCTGCCCAAAACTGATTTTAAAGGCTTTAAAGCCTCTGTTTAATCTTTAATCTTAATTGAGGGTTCAGAGAAAGATTTAATTTGCACAATTTTACACTTACCCCAGATGTAATCAGCTAAGACATGTTTGGTGTCCAAATTTTCTTTTTTTTTTCTCAGTTTAGCACTGGAGCTACCAAGCAAATGTTGCTAACAAGCACTAGAGGTCAATAGTCACCCAAATCTTTTCTGTAAATACAGAAGAAACCTCTCTCAACCCCATTAAAAATGCCTCCAGGTCTTCATTAAGAAGTGCAGACTTCATCTGGTTTATAGCATAAACTTACAGTGAGTCATTAAAAATGAAAACTTCAGAGTAACTAAACAACCTGGACAGCAAATATGTCATGACCGATTGCCTACATCTGGTGGCAGTTGAAAATTGTGTTAAAGTTAAATTCCCAGGCTATTTTCAAACATAGGAAAGTGTGGTCTAAATTCCAGTACTGTGTAAATAGTTCCTCCAGTCACATTTGTGTAAACACTTGTGCCAAAATAATTGAACTGAATCATGGTTTCATGGTGCGTTGAATAATTTCCTAACGAATCATAGCTGAGTCACTTTGAGGTCAAAGTCTTTGACCCATAGTTTATAAGACTGTTATCTGTTTTGAAAATTGCAACAGCAGAAACGACAGAGCAGTATCACTGCCACTTTTATTGCGCTTCCTGACTGTAAATGTTTGAGTTTGAGTTCAGTAGGTTTACATGACTCATGAAAGTCTGTCATGGCACAAAAAATGGGAATAGAAGAAGAACAAGTCTGCCTCGTTCGACAAGGAAAAAACTTTGTCCATCTGGTATTTGAAGTATACAGTCTGTGATGTTTATCATTAGTCATTATGCAATGTGACAGCGTGGAACGTCATGCTTGAAAGGATATCATTTTCAGAAGTGATGAAACGTCTGCAATGGAAAAAAGGAAGGGAAGATAAAGGAGTGATGCAAAGTAACATTCTGATGTTTAAGTCGAGTTTGTTCCTCATTCCGCCTCCTTTTCCTGCAGTTTATCTTTTTCCCGTAATGTATTTTGAACTCTTCGAAAGGCTACAGTCAAAAGTTTGCGCATGGAAGAGTTTTATTGTTACATTTTTTTGCATTCCACAGGACTGAAGAAGATACACATACGCTGATACCTTGTTGTTGGGGGCATATCAAATAAATACAGTTATATGCAAAAGTTCAAATAATGTCATGTTGATTTATATGAAGTGAAAATAAGTTCACATATCTTCTACAGAGAACACACATTTTAATTTACAAGTACTGTTTATTTGCTAAATTTAACATATTTGGGGAAAAATATAAAATGTGGCCTGTGCAAAAGTTATGACAAGCTTTAGATTTTATGTTTCATTGTTTTTCAACATGTTAACCATAGTCATATTTAAGTCTCTGTATTTAAGACTCTGTAGAGGATGTCTTCCCTTATTTTTGCTTATTTTCACTTTTTTTGTGCAGGAGCACTTGTTTTTTGTTATGGAGTATCTCAACGGAGGTGATCTGATGTTCCACATTCAGGATAAGGGTCGTTTTGATCTCTACAGAGCCACGTAAGTGATACACAACCTTTCAGCATTGTTCTCTTACTGTTACAAAGCCTCATAAGTGAACACTTTACTTGAACTATGCTACGTAACACTGACATAACTATGCCATAAACATGTCATGGAAGATGTTATGAGTTGTCACGAGAAATTATGTTTTGTAATATAACAGCATCATGACATCAAACGTTATGACATCTGTCATAGTTATTACCTATGCAAGTTTGGACACCCTTGGTCTTTTTGTTCCTCTACAGAGTTTGGATGTTTTGTTCCTCAGAACACAGAGAACACACTTAATTATTGGATTTCTTTTATTTTAGTGCTGTTTAGTTCTGTTTATCAATTTTAACATATTGAAGAATAATATGAACTAAATAAATAATAAAATATACAGTACGCCTTAACACAGGTCAAATATTATACTTTCTTTTTCTGTTACATTTAGCAAATAAAGAGAAATTTTGCATTGAAATGTGCGGATGTGTTCTCTCTGTAGAGGATGTCTTAGACTTATTTTCAATTAGAAAATCAACAAAATGTGTCATTTGACGGGGTGTCCGAATTTTTGCTAATACAGCTGAACAAAATGTGTCACGACAGCTCATGACATCATGTGACATCTGCCATGACATGGTTATGCCAGTGTCACATAGTAAGGTACATCAAAAGTTATTTAAAACATTTAAAAAAAAATGTTTTTTAAATCTTGCTAGATTTTGCCAACCATAGAAGCTCCTTGGTATCAAAATAACACTTATTTGTTAGATTTTTTTGATGAATAGAGAGATGAAGTACTGGTCTTTCACTGAATAGTGCTGTAAATCTGGATTATTGAATGCTGCGTTTCTTAGACATGGTTTAAAACAGTCCTAGATTGTTGCCACTTGATTTTATTTTTTAAAAATGTGTTCTTAAATCAAAAGTAAGCAAGATTTGACTTCAGATTTTCTGCATTCAAAGCTCAAGTTCACTTAATAAATAAAACCAGTTCATGTCCCTTAAGAACAGTAAGTCTAATTGAAGGCCCCGGTAAGATTTAGCCAGTTTTCAATATTATATAAAGTTTATATTATAATATGTCAACCTAATATGTGATTCGCTATATTTTTTTTCCTCCTGGAAAGGATATGATTTAAGGCATAGGCTGTCATTTTATATGTCCTATTTCTACAGTAATGTTAAAAATCTGATACAGCCCAAGGCTGTAGCTTCATTTGAACCCTGTGTTGTTCTTCAGGTTCTATGCAGCTGAAATTATCTGTGGCCTGCAGTTCCTTCATTCCAAAGGCATCATTTACAGGTGCGATTTGTCGATCAGGCTTTTGTATTCCGGTAGATGACTGTCTGTGTTGTTTCCCGTCAGTCTTGTGCCCTTAGCTGGAAAAAGTTTCATGTGTTGTTTCCCAAGAATGATTCGTGCAGCAGACAATTTTGAGATGTTAATTCAAATTATGCATTATTAACAGGGCTGGACATCAAAATCCAGTACTTTTATGGTACTGACTAAATTACTGTCATGGAAAAGTTTCGTGTCATTTAGAAACAGAAACGGAAGCCTAAGGGGTGATTCAGTGAGCCAATAAACATGAAAAAAAGGCTGGCTGATTGGCTGTTACTACAGTCCCAGTAAATTGGAGTAAATTTCCACTTCCACTTCCAATTTCCACTTTCCTCACGCTCACATCTCCTTTAAGCCACACCCAGTATATGTCTGTGACTGAAAACAAGGTACCCAAAAATAAATTATTCAGAAATTGTTATTGAGGTCCAGGTATAGTTATTACATCATACAGTAATGTTATTACTTTTTGTATGCCTAATAGCTTTTCTCTGTGTTCCTATAGAGACTTGAAGCTGGATAATGTGATGTTGGACAAAGACGGCCACATTAAGATAGCAGACTTCGGCATGTGTAAGGAGAACATGTTTGGAGAGAACCGAGCCACTACTTTCTGTGGAACACCCGATTACATCGCACCAGAGGTGTGTATGTGTGTGTAAAATGGTTTATGATTCTAAATTCCAGTTTTATAATTCATAAATCGTAAACTATTCATATTTACTGAGGAAGTCCATTTCAGTTTTCTTTTTAGTGTGATCCCCATCTGGCTAAAACAAATTGAGTTTTTCATCAAAACAGTTACTCATTGCAGTTTGATATGTTTTAGTAGACAATACAGCTGCAAATTACAACCAATAGTACAACCAATCCAGTTAATGAAAAATATGGTAGACTATTAATTAAAGGGTACCTTGTTTGATGTAAAATGTGTCCTTCTAGAGAAACCTGTTGGTTCCTATCACCACCATTGTGAACACGTTTCTCTAGAATGGCATAAAAAAAGTTATTACGTTAAATATTTATGAATACTTTGTCTGATGCCTGGGACATAGTTTTATGATTATTATGAAATAGCCTAAAACATAATTTGAAACATATTCATAGTAGAGAGGCACATGCAGGGTGCCATAAGGCAAAATAATCCCCAAAGAAAACTGTTTTGTTCTTTTCTTTTTTTTTTCTCAGATTTACTGTTTTTTATCATTTACCATTTATTTTAACATTACATTTAAAAACTCAAAAGACACATACAAGTTCACTGGTGGTTTGGGATAGCAAATAAAATGGCTATATTTGCATTGTAGATATTGTGTCTCCTGGTTCCCACACCACCACTGCAAAAAAAATCGAAGACAGTAATTTTATGTACAATGAACCATTTCTGCAGAGGCCTGCTAGTGACATCCCGTATAAGTAAGGTGTGGGAACGAGATATTTAAGTCATGGCCATGAATTAGTAAGGTGTGGGAACAAGATAAGTAATTTGTGGCCACAACTTAGTAAGGTGTGGGAACGAGATCATACCTTATTAAGCTGTGGTCAAGGCTTAATTAGCGCATTCCCACGTCTTTGTGGCCATGCATTAGGATCTCGTTCCCACACCTTACTAAGTTGTGGCCACACATTATTTTTATTTATATGGAATGTCACCAGCAGGGTTACGTACATTTTACATAAAACCGCATTGAATGAATTTGTTTACATCTCAGTGAATTTTGCTAAAAATGCTACAGTAAAATCACTTCATTTTTAGTATTAGTGCAACACACTGTTTTTTTTTTTTAGTTGTTGTTGTTTTTGTTTTTGTTTTTTTTGGATGGTGTCCTGAATGCTCTACTTTTGTATTTCATATATTTGTCTTAACTGCACTTGAAACACTATCACTGCTGGTTTTAGTGGCTGTTGGGCTGTTTTAATTGTATACTTTTAAAAATAGTTCCACACTGCAGATGTTTAAACCGCTCATTAACTTGTAAACATGCCTCACTGCTGTAATAATAATAATGATGTCTTTTACGTCACCTCAATGACAATGGAATAAATAGAGCACAATAAAAAAATTGGGTAAAATAGCCTAAATTAAGTGTTTCAATTTGTTTGGGCTCCAGTACAAATTCATTAGAATATGCATTGTTTGCCTCCCATAGCAATATTTAACATCCCTGATATTAACATTGAAAACTATCTCTGACCTGTGTGTGTGTCGTCAGATCTTACTGGGGCAGAAATACACATTCTCAGTGGACTGGTGGTCGTTTGGAGTGCTGGTGTATGAGATGTTGATCGGTCAGTCACCATTCCAAGGCGATGATGAGGATGAGCTGTTCGAGTCGATCAGGATGGACGTCCCTCACTACCCACGTTGGATCACCAAGGAGTCCAAGGACCTTCTGGAGAAGGTACCACAGCATTTTCCTGATACATGATATGTATTTTTTCTGAGGTTTGAGAAGTTGAAACAAATAAAAAGTTAAACATTAAAAGAAAATGCTGATTTTTATTCAATATTTCATACACAGCACCGCCCTAAATACAATTAAACAAGTCTAATAATGCACTCTTTGAATCGAAACATGCAGTTTGTCTGTGTGCTTCAGAGAGCCCATATCCTACATTTTCCTTGTACTTTCTTCCCTTTAGAGAGAGTTTTATGTACAAAAATGGTCATAATTCATTTTTTTAGCCCCATTTATTATTTAAAATTAAATAGGCTTTTTTCTGTTACTGTCTGATATACGTAAACAACCTCTTTTCTGATTGGCTGACCTGTATTGCCATTCAAAAAGCGCTCAGAAACACTAAAACACTAACCATCTTTTGGGTGAATGTGTGGAGCTGAGCTGCTGTAGGCTGAATCGGTGGATAGATGTAAATGAGTTGGTTCACGTGACATCACAAAAACAGTGAATTAATATATATATACACCATGTGGACTGGGTAGTGAATGGTAATGGTATGAAATTTTAACAGTGTTTACCTATCACAAGTCCTTTATTCATGAGGGAAAGATATGGGCCCTTGAAGTACTGACGATATCCAGGATATACTCTGCAAGTGTGCTATAATGCGACATAATGGTATATTGTGGACGGTATATTTGATGGTATATTGCTTTACTATAAATCAGTTCTGGGTATAGAATCTATCTCATTTTGTTTGATATGTTCTAGACCAGTGGTTTTCTGTTTTTTGCATGCATTGCTTAGTTTTGGATGTCCTGTTAAAACTGTCTCTTCACTCTGTAGCTATTTGAGAGGGAGCCGACCCGCCGACTTGGCGTTGTGGGAAATATCCGAGGACACCCCTTCTTCAAGACAATCAACTGGTCTGCACTGGAGAAGCGAGAGGTGGCTCCACCCTTCAAGCCTAAAGTGGTACGACCCTTAGATTTATTGCCCAGTCCAGAGTGAAGCTCATTCATTGACACTGCGTACAAAGTGTTAGACAAACGCTGGTGATTTAGTTCTTGGATGAGATTAATAATTACATAATGAGTCACTGATGAGGAATGTCTTGAACTCAAGATTTGAAACCAACAATTAAGCCAGACAGCAGTGAGATTATGAATGATTCATTTCAAGAGCTGCAATGACGTCTAGCAGCATGCTTACTGTGTGGGTGTTGTCATTCAAGTTTAAAGTGGTGGTTTAGCCAAAAATCTTATATAACACTCTTTCCATCTTAGCCCAAGCAGTGTAGTCAATCGCCCAAGACATGATAATGTCTAAACTTTGATTCTGTGATTTTGCACTGGAGCTACGAGGCTAATGTTGCTAAAAAGTAATGAAAGCTCATCAGTCAGTGTCACATTGTTGTGTAATCTCAAATAGATTTGCTTATGTGGCTCTAAAAAAAAAAAACGGACAAAAGGACATTGTTGAGGTCTAAACAGTAGCATCAGCCAATGTGAAGACTGAATTTTCTCTCTGTCCTTTTTTTATTGATATCAGTAATACAGTATCAGAAACAAATATATTTCAAATAGGCAAATATATTTCAGATTACTTAAAGAACACTCTATCCAAAATGAAAAATGTAACAATTGCTACATGTGATGTAAACATGCCTACTCGTATCCTACAGCGGTGCCGAAGTAGTCTTTAGTAACAGAGAGATTTTCTGGTTTAAAGGCTTTGATGATGAAGGTAGAAGGAACTTTTGGAAAGACTGCAAGCACTTTTGGAGCGAATACTTGTGGGCAGTTTGTTTGAAAGTTTTTTTTCTATGTGTTTAAAAAATTTATTTATTTATTTTCCCCCTTATGGCCACTGGCTTGTTAATGCGGAAGGAAGGCAGATAGCTAATGTTTCTGCTAAGAAGCCAAATATCACATCTGTAATTATTAGCCTGTATATCTCTATACTGCTATGCAATCAAGAGATCTATATCAGGAGTCCTCAATGGCTGTATGAGATGCATGCTGGGCTTTGTAGTGACAGGACCAATTAATAAAATTGATACAAAATTGTAAATTCTTTCAAACCGATGTTCCTGAGGGATGTGATGCTACGCTACAGAATATTACATAACATGACAAATAACAACTTAAATATTAGTCTTAGGCTGGAATGCTCCTTTATAACAACTCTGTGCGATTCATGACAAGTATATGATGATTTAGGCATGCAGTTTACACAAAGCTAATTAGCGGGATTCAGCACTGCATTGAAATGGTGTCAGTTTTATCAGAAAAATACCACCCAGTAAACTACCTTTGAAGCTGGATGAATAAGTGGAGTGCATCAAAAATTTTCAGTGCAGTACGAACTGGCCAATTTGTGACGTCAGAAGCGAACAGTCGAACACAGGAAAGCAATCAGATAAGCTGTACAAATATAATAAATGGCAATGTTCAAGTGAATGAACTGAATTAAATGTTTCTTATGCTTCATATGAGTTCAGAACACCAGTAAAATAGTCCAAAATCGATAGATGCTAATAAACTACAACATGCATTTGACAAACTCGGTGTTCTGTTTACCTCTCACATAAACCCACATGAACGTTTTTGTTGGGTGAACGAGTTTCTCCTCTACCGCCAACAGCATTAGCTTCCATTACTTGTTAGCTGCATTAGCCTCATAGCTCAAGAAAATGATGTAAAAGAGTTTTCTCTGAACTATTGTGCACATATGTAGCCTCAAGTGATGTAGTAAATGTCCTAAAATGAAGTGAATGAATACTCGTAACTGATGCATCCTCTCCTCCAATCACAGAAAGCCCCCAACGACTGCAGCAACTTTGACCGCGAGTTCCTAAGTGAGAAGCCCCGCCTTTCACAAGCTGACAAGAACCTGATTGACTCAATGGACCAGACGGCCTTCGCCGGCTTCTCCTTCATCAACCCCACGATGGAGACCATTCTGGAGAAATGAAGGGCCCATCCATCCAGCACTGTGACCAAGCCTCCACCCCCTCACCATTCTAACCAGTCATGCACAGAAATGCAACGGGGGTTGAAACCATTGAAACCAGTGTTCAAGGAATACTCCAGCACTGTACAACCTAATCTGTCTGCCGCATCTGTAGCATTTAGCACATTACCAGAGACAATAATTTGCTCAAAAGACTCAAAAGATGCAAAAATTTAGACACCACAGTCAAATTACATTTTGTTAACTTATTTTCACGTAGAAAATGAACACATCCTCTACAGAGAACACACTTCTGCACATTTTGATGCACAACCTCTGTTTATTTGCTGAATTTAACATATTGAGGGGATAAAACAAGAAACATAAAATGTTTCCTGTGCAAAATTCATGCCATATTCTATATTTGAGGTTTTATATTTTACAATATGTTAAACTCAGCAAATACATGGAAATTGTGCATATGCCATAATTAAGTCTGTTCCCTTTAGAGGATGTGTTAACTTATTTTTACTTATAAAATCAACAAAACATGCTGATGAGTTGTGCTTGAGCTATAGTGTATAACTTTAAACTTAATATAACTTGCGCCTGTTCACTGACTTGTGTTATAAACACATTTTGAGTCAATAGGCTTCCTGTAAATTAGGTAGTAATCAAATGCTACAGATGCAGAAAATAGAGATTATTTTGAAAACAAAATGCTAGAATATTCCTTTAAATGTACCCTTCCGCAGGGTCTAAACCTCAAGTGCTCAGTCCAGCCCTAGAAGGCCAAGGCGCTCTTTAGACTTTTCCTTAACCTGAATTCCTCAAAGGCTTTGTAATTAATAGATTGTTTAACTGAGGTGTATTGGAGCACAAAACTACAAAAATGGAGCAGTGCTATGGACCTCTAGGACTGGATGTGAGTAACACTGGTCTACTTACTCAGCTTGGTCAGATAGAGTTGTATATTGTCTACAGATATTTTGACTCAGCAAAACACTACAACATCTAATTGCACTGACTGGGCTACTTTATTGTTAATGTTGTGAGCTCATTATTGAGAGCAGCTGGCAGTGTGCTGGGTCCAAACAAATGCCTGCAGGCAATTCCCCCCCCCCTAGTGACTAAGTTGAGTACAGCTATGTGTATTTTTTTTTCTTCATGATCAAAACTTGGAATCAAATGAACTGTATATTTATGTACTGTATTTGTTGGATTATAGGACAGACATGCAAATGCACATATTAGGCTTAAAGCGGAATTCTAACAATTTTTCAAAGATTCCGCATAAATTAACTGAGGAAAAGTTGATCAGAGTGGTTTGATGTGAAATGGTGCATAGTAGAGAATCTTACTGACCCAGATTTCTTTACAGTAGTGTTGATAGGATCACAATGCCTACAGTGCTAACATACATTCTTCAAAATGATCTACACTTGTGATTTTTACCAGTAATGTTGATTGTGGCAAATCAAAACATACATTTTTGGGGGACGTTTTTGCCCTACATGTATTTGTCCACCATGAATGTATTTAAAAAAAGAAAAAAAAATTACTTCAAAATTTTTACACCAAAATCTTACATGAAAACTAGTGTGAAACAATGTCTCATGCATCAGATAAAGTATGTGTAATCTTTTAGTGTAATAGCTTTCTGTGGGGTAGCTTATAGGGGCTTTGAATGCTCTAGACGTCCGGTTCCTATCACCACCACAGTGAACAATTCTGACTGGGTATGTTTCTCTAAAACAGCATCCCACATAAAACCAGTCTAAATGACTTCATTTACATCTCAACAATTTCAGTTACACTCCCAGTTTTGAGAAACAGTGGAAATTCCCTTTTAAACTGACCCTTCTTACCACATATATACACATACAACACAGCAGGAAAAGGAACGGTCACTGGCTGTGCTGTGGCTGCAGTAAATCTTATCTGCTGGTTGTCTAAAAGGAATACTGTGGCCTTACAGATAATGATGCTAGTCTAAGAAACCCAATTTGGCCAGCCCAATGCTCCCTGAGTCATGTTACCATCAGAAAAAAGACTCTTTCTCCTTTTACAACAGACTGAGAATCGTACAGTGCTACTTTGGGTTTTAGTGTTTCTATTTCACAACTCTCTGTGGTTAGCTTGCCTGTCAGCAGTCAGTGTGTTGCCTTTATCAATCTACTGCCTGTAGAAGTTTCTCTTTGCACTGATCTTAGACCTATTTTGCCGTTAAATTGATCGATGGTCAGGAGAAGGGGGTGTTCCTACAAAGTTGCATTCATTGGCTAGTAAGTTAAAGGAATACTTCATTTTTAAACCTGACTTCTATCTTACGCACTTGTGCTGTGCTGTCAGTTATCACAGGTGATAATTTCGACATGGGTACTTAGGAAAGAACAGAAAACCTGTTGACTCAAAGTGCAGTTATAATAGAATTCAGTGGGCTTCAGAAGTGGCGGATCAGAATTAAGCTACTGGAGTGTTTCTTGCTAACCAGTGAATGCAGTTTCATAGTGCACCCCTGGTCTTAGATCTATACATAAAATAGAACCTCTACAAGCAAGAAACAAAAACATGCCTTCGAAGTGCTGAAGCTAGTCTGAGTTAACTTGTTCCTAGACGGGCGTATACATTATGGTACTAGGTTCTGCTACAGAATAAATGGTGGGTGGAGGTTTAATGTCAGCAGAAGTTAATTATTGAGATATAGTATATGTAATGTATTAAATGTGTAGGTATTTTTAAAAAGAAATAAGATCTTGTATATAAAAAATGTATGTATATTGTTCTGAGCTGTTATTATTGGGATATTAAGGATGTTCTTTTTTTTTTTTTACTGTTTTACTTAATCTCAATACAATAAAAGGCATCTTTATCTCTGAAACTGTGTTGGGAATGAATGAGGTATCTTCATACTTTCAGACCTCACTGTCTTCAGTATGTAAATGTGCTGTGTTTGGTCTATCATGATCAACCCTCTCTCCCTTACAAATGAAAACATAAATTACATGACGATGTGTTTTCAACGATGGACTGACCACCCCAGAGCACAGACCTCAACATCACTGAATGTGTTTGGGATTGTGAGAAGCAGAGAATGCAACCAACGTCTAAGACTGTGTAAAAATATCTCTGTAGACTAAAAAAAAAAACAAAGTAAGTGTCTTTAAAAGAATGGAATCTATAATAAAGGCAAAGTGTGGACAAACTATTTGTCGAACATTAGGAGATTATATTTAGTTGTTGAGGCTTCTGTGCGATTTTCTGTTATATATACATTTTATACATTTTATTTTATACACAGAAAATACATTTTCTGCATCTTGTTCCCTGATGCTAAAAATTAATAACTTGTATGTATGTTAATAATTATAATAATAATAAAAGGAAGGGAGGCTTCTGACTTCTGTACAGCACTGTATGTTGTTTGGTGCATTTTTTTATTTTTTCCCTGTTTGTTAGCAGTAGCACCTGCTAATTATGTAAAATTAACAACAGGATGTAGTTCGTTGAGAAAATGATGTCAGTTGGTTTATTTTCTAGTAACATTTTAAACTAGCAAGAATAAAAAGCACAAGTTTACTGCAGATTAAAACTTTCAGAGGGACCTGTGCAGTTAACAAATAAACAACAGAAAAAAGGTACCACTGTACTTGCATCTGTTTATAGTGTATCTGCATGTTCTGCATAATGTAGCCTTTTCTATAGCATACAGAACTCAGTGTGGCCTATATAATACAAATATATGCAAAATGACTTAATAGTGCAGTTTTTTTTATCTTTCTAAATTGGTCTAGTTGGTCACTAAAGTGTGTTTCTCTAGTGTAAAAAGCTGAAACAAGTGCAACCACTTGCATTTCATACAGCATATGCACAGTGTAAAATCATTTTATGCAGAATAATATTCATTAAAATGCACAAACAAGCAAAAGAGTGACTCAAAAGTCATGGTACTAGGCTACTACTGAACATAATGGCCAATTTACATACATAAGTAATGGCCACGTTTGTATATACCATTTTGGCCCAAAACTATCACTTGTGTGTGTCAAACACAAGGCCCACGGGCAAAGTCAGGCCCGTGGCACAATCCTATTCGGCCCACAAAATAATTTTTTTTTTTTATAGTAGCCCATTTTACCATGAGCTACAGTACAGTTCCCAGCATGCAGTGCAACATAATGTATGCTCCTGCCCCCTGCCCAACAAAAACCAATGGGACAACAACAACAACAAAAAAAGAAAATGTCAGGTATCCAGTTCAAGCAAATGGGCAGTTTTAGAAAACCCACTGTACACTGGGGACATTTGAAGAGGTTTAACAGTTCTCTGCAGCTAATGTAGTCTATTGTTTTATAGTTTTTATTTTAAATTACTTTTGAATTGTTCAAGTATTCAGTGCCTGGTTTTGCCATTGTAGTTTCAGCATATTTTGAATAAAATATGCTGGCAAAATGTTAAAAAATTAAGATAAAAACACAGCTGGCCCACAGATTTGTTGAGATTTTTCAATATGGCCTTTTAGCGGTTGATTTTGACCGCCCTGGCCCTGACAAGCAAAATCAGCATGTGTTGTGTTTTGGATACTGGTATGCCAACCAGCTAAACCAGCACCAGACAAACCAGCATGGAGCATTAGGCTGCAGCACAATCAGTTTTCATTTGAGAACATCAGTTCTAAGTTGATTCAGCAATGCATAGGATGCAGTGAAGCCGAAATATCAGGTCTCAGTCTCAGAAGTCTAGAGGAATATCAGAACTGAACTAAATTCTAGCCTTAATCTGGCAGTGAGAACAGTTCCAACCCTAATCCAGCCTTAATTCAGTACAGATACTCTCAAAGACCTCAAATAGCAGGACCAGGTGTGTTGAACAAAGGTTAGAACTAAACTCTGGGTGGTGACGAATCTCCAGGAACAGGGTTGGGCACCCCTGCACAACACACTTCAAATACAATTATCTATTATTATTCATCAAATTTCAATTATCTGTTATTATACATTGAATTTCAGCCTGTGATCTGCCACTGCCACATCCATCACACACTGCCCTGGCCTGTTTGCTGGTCAGGACAGTCATTTTACATTGTAATGTATAATATAATAGACATTATCAGACATTACTTTTAAAAACTGATATCACTGTTAGAGAAATCAGCATAGACCAGCTGACTGGTCACCAGCAAAACCAGCATTGTGTCGATACGCTGGTCAACGCTGGGTGACCATCTAAACCAGCACTAGACCGGCCTAAACCAGCTTAGACCATCTTTGGTGGAATTATTGCTGGAATTCATGCTGGTTTTTCATCAGGGAGATCTTAATTTCTTGTGTTATTTAAAAAAAAACACTTTTACAATTAGATTGTGGTTAATAATGCTGAAAATAAACAGTAAACAATTTAAAGCCTTATATTTTATGGACATCTAGTTATTAGCCTAAAAATATATAAGTACACAACCATTTTTAGGAGTGTTACCTACAAATTATCCAAAGGTAACTGCAAGCTGTAGGATAATTTGCATAATGAAATCATGACGATGTAAACAGTCATTCACAGTGGTGGTGATAGGAACCAGACGTCTTAAGTATGTGGTGCCTCTGAAAGTTCCCTCACAGAAAGCTATGCAGCTGGTTCTCTGGCGAAATGGTACTCAAAGAAAACTTTTTTCCAGATTTTCCACTATTTTATCATTACTAACATTACTTATAAAACCTCAGAATACGTGTATGTTCACTGCTCATCGTGATTAGAAAATAAAATGGCTACATTTGAGGTGTAGACATCACGACTCCTGGTTCCTATCACCGCCACTGTGAAGAAAATACGAGTAAACATTTCGCGCTGTTTCAGGTCAAACTAATCTGAATGGCACTGTATATCAATTTTAGCAGCTGAATTACGGAGAATATTCTGGAAACTGTGAAAAACCGTTCAAAACCGGCTTGCTATTTTTACTAACCGATTCAAAGTGTTGGTCGTGACGGAGGGAAACTGTTGACTCTACCGCCATCGTGTGGTCGTGACATGAAATTGCAGGATTACTGTTTTTTCGCCCTTCTTCGGTTGACCTGTAAAGCCGGGCCAGGCAGTAACACACTGTGCTGAAGGATAGAAAAGCCTGTTTAAAATAAAGAACAAAGGCCAATAATAAAAGATACTTCACCACGGAGCAGCCAATCAGCTCAGCTTGTTATAGAAATCATTTATGTATATACATACATACATACATATCTGTATTTCTCTCTCTCTCTCTCTCTCTCTCTCTCTCTCTCTCTCTCTCTCTCTCTCTCTATATATATATATATATATATACGGCTTTCGATTTCTATACATATATAGGAAAGACTATTTAAAATAAAGGCCAGAAATTCAACAATAACAAATACTTCACCATGCATTTTTTTTGTCATTTATATATATTTATATACATGATGATATATTTACATATACATTATTTATATATATATATATATATATATATATATATATATATATATATGCATACTTTTCTTTGTCTTTATTGCTTTAAGCTTGCTCATGCACAAACTAGTCTCGTGCGTTAAACCGTATTCTGTTATGATGTTATGAGATCTGATAAGCTAGATAGGTCTCAAGTGAAATTGCCTTTCACAAAAGCACTTTAATTTATACATACTGTAAAAAAGTACTGTAATATATATATTTTGATAGGAGATATTCCGCCATATTTACAGTGAATTAAGCAGCTCAGTATTGTAGTGGCTGCATTTGACTTGACATTTTATTTATAGCACAATCTGTAAGACAAACAGCCTTTCTCAGAGGCAGAAAAGCCTGCAAAGTACAGGGGGACGACAAACGAACGTGTTTTTTCACGAAGTGCACGCAGTATAGAGCTATGTCAGCTGTTCCTGGAGCAACTTGAAGCGCAATTGCACACAACTGCGAACCTGAGCAGCTCATGGCAGGCGTGTGCAGTGCAATGTTGCGCCCCTCTATTGGCCACTCTTTGTGGCTCCTTTAAACCGAAAGCCTGCACAAAACACGACCACTGCCCCATTTCATAAGCTTATCCGAACTTAAGAACGCAAACGCTGCTCTCGTTCGTTGTTTTATTCGTTTAAAAAAGCCAAGCACAACGTGGATGGGGAGGTTAGTCGGCGGCGCATGCGCACTAGCACTTTGTGCCATATTGGAATGAGGTCGTGAACGACTAAGGCGGAAAAAAAAGATACGGCATCTAAAACCGACTTGGAAAAAACTCCTCAGCGGTAAGAAACGATTCCAGACTTTATATTTGCACATTTTAAAGGCTACTGCATCGCACCGGTGCGTCGAGAAGCGAATCGGTGGCGTCTTCGTCTTTTTTCCCGTCTCTAAAAAATAAAAAAATATAGCCATGACTTGAGCTCTATTGCTTAAGCTGTGACGTTTCAGTAACTTGACTTGGTTACGGGCGTTTTTAGCATGTGCCCAATCAGCCCTCTCTACTCCCATTAGCCCAAAAAACCACCTCCTAGTGCGGAATATCTGTTAGAAAACGCTCCGTTCACTTTCTAACCTCCGTCACGGCAGCGACTGAGGTGCCTTTAGGAATGAAAGTTGTCTTAAATGTCTTAAAATGCTATTGCCAGTTATCCAGCGTTAGCCTGGTACTGCGTTTGGCCATGAGTGCCTCGAGTTTTCTTTCCAAAAAAAACATCACAGATGAAGGCGAACGGTCTCGAAAGCCGTGCTTTTGCACGTATGTTATTTTTTCTTTTGCCAATACCAAAAGAAGCTGGCTGTTTTCGCCGTGTGGTTGCATAAGACCGTGATGCCTGCAGTTCCTCTGTTCTTGTTTGACCACTGCGTTTGGTTCACCTTCAGATGGAAGTTGCCCTGGTTGCTCGTATCGAAAGCAAAATGGACCAGAAAGTGGCGGCGGTGGTTTTAGTTTTATTTTCTGGTCGTACTGGGAGATGTTGAAGTTGCCTGTGCTGTGAAGCTGTAGAGCCATTGTTGTGCGGTTTGGCTGCACTCTGTTTCCAGAAGCTTGACAAGTTTTGCGTCAGTGCCGATAGCGTTCATTAATACACTGATATTCCACAGTGATATTAGTCATATTAGTGGTGCTGTGAAAGGGCTTTAAAATGAAATGTGCTTTGTCCTCGTTCAAAAGGATATATACATTATATATGAGTGTATGTATATGTGTATGTATGTGTATATATATATATATATATATATATATATATATATATATATATACACTCATATATAATGTATATATACATATATATACATATACATATATATATATATAAAATATATAGATTGATAGATAGATTGATAGATATTAGTCATGCCCCCTTTGTTTTTTTCCAATACCAATATTGAAACCTTGAGTATTAGCCGATACCTTATGTTTTTTATCAATACACTTATTTATTTGAAGCTGTTCACTTAAGATGAGCATCAAAAAGTGTGCCATCTCATATATAGATATATATACATATACACATATATATTAGCGGTGGATATTGCAAAAATATAACATTGCAATACTTCAACAATTTTTTTTTCAATTTTATATACAATTTTATAAAGACAGCTGATCAGCTGGAACAGAGAAAAAAGAGCCAGTAGTGCTACATTTTAAAAAATCCTATCAAAAACTGCAAATACAATGATTTTTATTCCATATTTAAAAGTCAAACCGGACTAATTTTGCTGTCTTTATAATGTAACATGCAGTTGGTAAGTGTTCTACAAGTACTGACGATGTGTGCGACATGAGAAAAGCATAATATATTGTATAATCACATAATTTATCATGATAATATATACTGTTACATTGCCCATATACATGTGTATGTGTGTGTTTATGTAGGTAAAGTCAAGTCATTTTAAAGAAGTCAGTTCATTGCATTTGGTTTAGTTCTGAAGGTTCATTTATTGGACATATTTTCCATGGTGTAATGGAAACCCTGTGTAATGAGTAAAATCCCCAAGTTATATGCGCCTGCCTTGGGTGTGTCTTACAGGAATTACACCTTGGTCTGGTGCGAGGTAAGCATTCTATCAGGGTGCTTATGTCTTCCCCAGATTTCTAGATGTCATTCTTTCTCACTAAAGTCTGAGGTTGTTATCAACATAGAATGCATGGAGAGAGAGAGCAGGACTGAGGTATCTCCACCCATAACTCCCTGACTCATCTGCCCTCCTCTAGCACACCTGTTACAGTGTTATGTTGAAGTTGGAACTAGGCCTGTGCAGTATTGATTGAATTCAATATCATGCTGTTTTTCAAACGTATCATTTAATGATAACATTTGGGAAACAGCATGAAGTTAATAGGTACTGCTGCTTGGTACTAAAATAACCTGACATGGCTTGTTTTTGATTGGGCTGTTTTATTCTGTTTTCTTCTTTAAAAAATGACACTGTATTGTAAAAGTCAACCAGACACATATCACATTTACAGAAGGGAACCTTTTAATTTAGTCCTAATGTATTTTCACCTCTTCTTTCAAAACATTGTAAACCAAGCAAATGACACATTGCATTTAATAGTCAGGTCCAGGACAAAAAACAAACTGCTTGGCAACAGGAACTCTGCTATTTGATGGAATAGAATGCTATTTGTGATATAATATTCATTATCTGTGTACCAGTATTACCAAGACTGGAAAGTCAATATCATGGTGTGTCAGTATCATGATATTGACTATATCAGCCAGCACAATTTTAGGAGTGAGGTTAGGTGCTACTTCTGTAGATGTAATAATAATAAATTGATAATAAGCTTTATTTCTATAACACTTACAAGGCAGCAGCTCAAGTTGCTTTAGAAGACAGAAAGAAAACTTAAAAAGATAAGACAAAGTGCATTAGAAACATGTACTCTGTTAGTAACAGATACATCCAAAGTTTTTCTGTATCATCCTCAGACCTGAAGGCCTAATGCTTGACTTTAGCTATGTTTCTGAAAAGACAAGTCACTAGGGATGGGGTAATATGACAGTATTTATCTCTATCACAGTAAATTACATCAAAATATGTCACAGTATATCACATTATGCTTTTCTGAGCATAGTGTGGATGTGGATAGTACTTAGAAAACACTTCCTAACTGTGTGTTGATAACAAAGACAGAATAGTTAGGCCTGGTTAATTGTATATTGGAAAAAAAAGTGTTATGACATATTGTGTATCATGAAAACTTCTTGGAGTATTGAGATTGCACTGTTGCCATATCGCCCACCTCTTCAAATCACAGCCTTGTTTTTGATGTTTTTGGTCCTTGAAACAAATATCAGAAGCCATCATCATGTACAGATTGTTTCAAGCTTTAGAAGAGAAATGAAACCCTAGCTTATCACAAGTATTCCATCATCTTTTATTCTTTTTAATAACCCATAACTCTGTTAAAAAAAGTTCAGTTTGTTGTATCATCAGCATGAGCTAAGCATATGAAAGCTAGGTCCATGTTTGCTGGTAACCTTGCAGAGGAGGAGGAAAAAGTGCAAGTAAAGGGTGAAGAAGTAACTTTCCTTAGATAGATCCCTGTGGAACACCACAAAGTGATTTCAGTTCTATTTGATGCATGCTTTCTAAGCTAAATTAAAACTTGTTGGTACGCTTTTGTGACATAGTTGCACCAATACATGAATACAATTTACATCTTTTCTATGAATATCAAAGATATTTGCCATGTGGAAAGCTTCCTGAGGCTCAAGAAATATGCCTAAAAAGATGCTTGCAGCAAAGATGCTTTAGGAAATACTTGCTGCTCAAACTCTAAACTGTACAGCCTCGAACGACTTCTGAGACTTGTTAAATATGAATGACAAAATACTCAACAATGCATATTTCAAAAATGTCTGTGGCATGTCTCCGTCTCTCTAGAGGACTATAAGTGCATCTTTTGTTGTTTAAAGAAAACAAATGACGCACCACCAGATAAAACTTCACAAAATGGCAATGAGAAGGACCGCAATGCTCCTATCAGTCAGGTCAGGATTCCCTGACTCCAGTAGTCTTGTACACAATGGCGGGTGTTGCGTCACTTGCTATGTCTTTTTTGGCGAGTGGCCAGCGATAATACTGGGGTTAGAATTCACAGGATGGGGTAACCCTCACCACCCCTCACCACAGTTATTTAAATAGTACGTATGTGTTCTCTGCCTGCGTATGGGTGAGGACTTTTATCAATTGCAGGAAGTAGTTGGCTTTCCTGCCGTCCCTTGTTGAGTTTGGTGATGGTATGGCAGTTAATGCAGTGGAATGTCCCAAGAAGTCAGTCCTCGTTCCCTCTCAGCCTTTTAGCTAAGGTTGGGCAGTTTGCATTCAAATGCATATAATGTTTCTTTCCACTTTTTGCACAAAATACAGTGTGATATGATAAATTCATTATTATTATTATTATTATTATTATTATTATTAATGTTATTACATAAGCCCTATACAGTAAATGGGCAGTTCTGCATAATTAAATGGTTAAAAAGTTAACAGCGTCATTCCCAGTGGTTTGATGTGAAATGCTCTGTCCTAGAGAAACTCAGTCAGAATTGTTCACCGTGGTGGTGATAGGAACCAGATGTCATGCGTATAAAAACTCGAAAGACCAGTACATTCACTGGTGGTTTTGGATAGTAAATGAAATGGCTGTAATTACGTTGTAGACACTGTGACCCCTGATTTCTGTTATTACCACTATAAAGAAATCTGAGTTGGTAAGTTTTTCTACAATGAACCATTTCACATCAAACCACTCTGAATGACTCTGTTTACCTTTAACGGCTGAATTACGCAGAAATTTTTAAAAATCCCCCTTAATAAATGCCAGGTTCCTTCTTAAGGGGGAATTTTAAAATTTCCACATAGTTAAATCATTAATGTGTGGTGAAAAAAAAGTCATTCAGACTGGTTCGGTGTGAAATGCTCACTTCTAGAGAAACTTACAGTCACAGTGGTGGTGATAGTAACAGACGCTGAAGCGCTAAATGCTTTTAAAAAGCCAACTGACAAAAATTAGTGTATGAAATAGTTATGAGCGCAGTGCCTGATGCTCAAGACACCTTTTTAGACAGTTTTGAGCTAAAGTTTTACCTTAATTCTTTTTTTTTCGCCAAAGCAGATTTTCCATTACTTTACCATTATTAAAATTACATATAAAAACATCACTGTCCAAAAAAGGAAGTATCTCCATTTTTTTGTAATTTTTAGTTTTTAAACAATTTGAGCTCAGCAACTGCCCTTCACATTGTGTGAAAATTTTGTGATGAATGGACCAATAGAAATGCTCCAAAATTGCTTGAAAAAAAATCTTTTTACATTAACTTGCATTAAAAGTTAGAACGTTTTTGCCCTTTCCTGTAAAATTACTATTTTGAAGGTACTTGTTTTTCTTTGGATAGTGACGATATGTAGGTTAGCTGGTCCTTTTGGATATACAATACAATGCACATCAAAACACTCTGAATAACTGACTGTTTACATCTCAACTATTAAGGTATACAGAAGTTTTAAAAATGCAGAAATTCTCCTTTTTTATATAACCTACACATTGGACACACTTTATTATTTAACAGCTTTAAAAAGCTTTTTTTTTTAAGCTTGGTTCTTTGGTTGTCTTTCCATTTTCGACAGATACAGTGTGAGTACAAATGTGGTTGTTTGTGGTTAATTGTTTTCAGGCTTATGTTATTCATGGTATAGTATAATTCATATTGATGGACAATGTCATACCGGCATTCATTTTTCACTCATATACCTCCTCTTGCTTTCAACATAGACCTTATTTCAGCCTACGGTTTCTTTTTGAAGTCCACAATAGCTTTTCTTTTTTCTTTTTTTTCTTTTTTTTGGTGCTACAACCATTTGTTCCAGAACGTTCTCAGAGCTGGAACTAATAGTTCCAGAATGTTCCCTAAAACTTTGGCTTAATTTAGAAAACCTTCAGAAAATAGTAGTGCTAGAACAAGTAGTTCCGGAACGTTCTCTAAACTTTTGGTGGTTACTGGAAAAAGAGTAGGCAGGTCTTTGAAGCTGGCCTTAGCTGCTCTTTTCTTTCTCGCCACCATTGGAGACCACTGTGACACAATTCCTACCCACCACCCCCCACTCCCAGCACAATGCGTTTGTGGCTGGGCCGTGCTCCGGGGGCCCTATCTCTCAGCGGCCGGGGGGTGGAGGTGGTGCTGCCGGGGTCGTGGAGTTGATCCTGTCGGAGCGGGCGGGTCGCGGTCAGCTAACGGCCTTCAGAGAGAGCCTGTCGGACTCTCGTCTCGCCCTTTAATAGAGATGTCAAGCTTCACAAAGACAGCTTGACAGCTCCGGCTGAATGGAGCCCTAGAGTTAATGTGACTTTGTTTTAGCCATTTTTCTCCAAGCTTTAAACCCTCTTTTTTCTCAGAGTTAAGCTTTAAATGGTTTATATCAAGTTTCTGAGTTGTGGAGTCGACTTTGCTTTAGCTGTTTATTCTCAGCTTGTAGTCTAAACAAACTTGTTTTTAGAAAAGCAAGCTTACATTTTTTTTATTAGTTTATTTATTTATTTATTTTACAGTTTTGATTCTGTTTTAGCAGTTTTCTCCCAGCTTTCAGCCTAAGTTGTCTTTTTTTTTTTTAAGCTTTTGGAGTTTTGGAGTCTTAAACTTAATCAGCTTTAAAGTAGTTGTTTCTTTAACTTTTGATTGCCTTGCTCATCGTTGCCGCCCAGTTTTAGGCTCACTTGTTGTTTGAGTGATGTTGTAGCATCATTAGGTTAGATCTTTTTCACACCAGTAGGCAGATTTCCTGATAAGTCCTGAGCAGTGTGCTTTCAGAAAGTGTTTCATTCTTTTATGTCAAGGTTGCTGTAGTTAGATCTCAAGAAGTCAGAAGTAGGTTTTAACATGCAAGCTGTGTTAAATGGTACCAGGAAAGATTACATAGGGTGGCATACTGCTTTTTTGTTGAATAACCAGAGGCAAGATACACTGCAGACTTATTATAGGCCAAACTTCCTATTTAAAGGGAATTCCGCCTTTTTCATTTAATAACGTCTTTACTTCTTGTATTCACCTCTTACTTCTTGAGCATTCAGCCTCAGTATTGCAGTATAGAATGCTCACTTTAAAAAAGTGTCAGATTATTGTTTTGCACCCAAAAACAAATGATTGACAAAGGAAAAAAAAACAACAACCAGATCATTCTTATACAGAGGAATTCTCCTTCAGCATTAGCACATCAATAGGGATTGTCTAACAAGTACAAGTCATGCCTGATATATCAGTTGTGGGAAAATAGAATCCCATTTCCATGCGGTTTGAAAGCTGTGCTGGTGACGTCCGTGTCCTTGCAGACATTTATAAGTAAGTTGTCTAACAATTTGCTGCTGTCGCACCAAAACCTTCTATCTCAGGAATGTTGACTTATATGATGTCATTTTGGGACACTTCTATTGTTCCATTCTTCATGAAAAATTCATATTGTAAACGGCAGCTAGAATTCTTAGTGTTAAACAGAAAAAAATAGCATAAGGTTTTGATGTTACAGTGACAAATGATATTATTTTTTTAGGAATTAGAATAGTTTTTGTTGTTTTTGGATGTGTTTTTCATATATGAATACACTATTTGTGAACTCATCACATACCAGATTTCTACACTTGTGGTTATTGGGAAGGTCATTTATATTTAAGCCTTGAATATGGTATTTTTCATGTATTATGTAAAGTAAACAGGCACCAGTGGCTTCTTTGAATTGTTTGTGACATTTTTAAATGATCAAAGTACGTACAAAAGCATAGTTCATATTAGTTCATATTTATTCAAAAAGTAGCTGGCTAACAAAACTGTCAGTACCCCTCTTGTCACTGGGGTGGTACCCTAAAGGGTACATCTCAGTGCCTTTAGTCGGGGAACATAATTGTGCCATAATCCAAGTTGTATTAACTCCACACACCCCGTCTCGTCTCCAGGCTTTTTACTTTATTGTTCTGTTTTAAAACATTAGGTTATGAAAATGTACAAATACTTTTCACCTGAGAAAAACGTATTTAAGGTTCACGATTGGACCTTAAAACCACTGTTGTACCTTTAAGGGCACATTAACATTGTTTGTACCTTGACAAATGAAAAATGTATCTGCACAGTACCTTTATGTCTAAAAGTGTACCACGTTTTAAAAAAAAAATTAAAAACCTGTGTTCCAGATGTCGGTGAAAATATTATGTTAGTAGCTTGCTCATAGAAGCTTGGACGGCAGACGTTGCAGTTTGAGGTGTGAGATATGCATTGCAGAAGGGTTTTTTTATTGTAGGTTTCAGTCTCAGGTGCTCCGCTCACAGTAGTACACTGGCTATCTGATGTAAACTGCATGCTAAATTCACCACAGCTCTCAGAACCTCTCACAAAGAATTTAAAATGGCTCTGGCTATCCATACTTCTGTGTACTAGCGTTATCAGTCCTATAGGAAACAAAGGACTGTTCCTCAAGCTAAATGCTAGTATCTCTATAAATATGCCTTTTGAATTGAGATACAGGCCTAGTCACTGAACCAGGAAACATGCTATTCCTGTTCTTTTTTTAACTGTAAGTTAAAAACAGTAAGTTTGCTGTGTGTGTCGACTGCAGCTCCACTCTTTCTAATGTCAGTTTGTTTTGTTATGGGTGCATCACGCTACTCAAGCTGTAATTGGTTGTTTTGCATGTCAGTCAAACGGCAGTTCTTAAAACCTATCCAGTCTTGCTTTTGAGCCAGCCTTGTGGCTAAAGTGTGGGGCTAAAGTTGGGCCAGGAGGACTTTTATTTGGCCCAACAGAAAATTGCTCTAACCTTTCCCCCTCACCCAATGATAGAACGTAAATATTCTGTGTAATTATTGAGCTTTTTTTTTTATAGTCAGCAAAGAATTTTTTAATGAAAATTATTGCCATTTAAAATTTAAATATACAGTTATATCAACTGATGTTACTGTTATTGTAATTTTTTTTTCTTTAAATTTGGTAACGTATCGTCCATGAAGCTTTATATCAACTGGGCCCAAGTATGGATTTATAGAAAACTGGGGGAGCAAACAAGTACACAAACTGAAACAGTTGTTACCTTGCTGCTGGGCATCATGGCAGGACCTGTTTGAAAGTGGCAGCATTTCTCTACAAAAAAAAAACACACACACTCTAGATTCCCCCTCCCACGCAGACACTCTGCATGTAAAATGCGGCTTTTACGACGCCTGCTTATCTCTTGTTTTCCTTTCTCTCTCATGATCTCTTTCTCTTTCTCTTTCTCTCTCTCCATCTCTCACCATGTCTTCCTCACACTTTGTCACTTGAGCCGCTAAACATTTTCACAGCTTATGGTCTTTAAAGCAGTTTGCATCTTGTAATCTTTTTTTGTTTGTTTTCATTGTCAACTCACTTTCTTTTCATTTCTCCTACAGAAGCTGTGAGATTGAGTTCCAGGATGAGCGCTGTAGAAGCGCTGGAGTCCGGTAAGGAGAGAAATTTGCAACTTACATATTAAATGCTTATTTTTTTTGTGCTGCGTTATTTATGCACGTCTCATGCAAGCGCCAACAATGACAAGCCCCAGACTTCAGAGTACAGCCACATGTGTGTGTGCTTTTCATTGAGTATAAATTTTGGTGTGAAAGCTTTAATTGAACCGAATTAAGTGTAATGGAATTAAGTCCTTTTAAAAGGGCTGTTTTGTGAACCTTAGTCTTTAATGCTGAGTTAAAGCAGTGTAAAAGGATTGGGCTAATAATAATATTAATAATAATAATAATAATAATAGTTACTTTATTTAGTTATACCCAGTATATTTGTATATTGTTGCTGTCGCAAACATTGTTTGTGTTTGCCGTAACAAAAATGTTGCTGTCACAAACATTGTATATTGTTGTTGTAACAAAACATTTTGTCACTTTACTGCTTGTTAATTTCAAGAGGTTTTATTCCAAGTAACTTTGTACAATTTCTAGTCATAAAAGTCATCATGAAATATTCATTCATGAAATAATTACACAATTGAAAGGGTAGCTGGCATCTTTAAATGCTTTTTTTTATATAACAGCAACAGTTCAGAATATAGCTATATTTATGTAGTTACTTAGGGTGTAACGGCACTCATAATTCATAATTTGATTTAATCCAATACCTTGGAGTCTCGATTCAGTGCATTTGTTGACTTTTTTTTTTCTTTTTTTTTAGTTATCAAACATTAACATTGTTCTGCAAATTTTAAGGCACAGCTACTTTATGTTAATGATTAACATGAAAAATATAAAAATAGTAATTGTAACTTGTACAAACATTTGAACACCCTTCCAGTTGTAAGCTCTCATAACTTATTAAACCTGTTAGGCCTTAATTGACTTATTAGGACTCAATACACTGGTCAAGAATCAGGAGTCATCATTAAGAATTGTCAGCTGAGAGCTCTGACTCTTTAAACCTTGTGCTAACACTCAACATCTGTTGGCTCCTCTAAGCAGCCAGCTGAGGATCTTAAAATGAAGCTAATTGGTGCCTACAAAGCAGGAAAATGGATATAAAAAGAAACCAAAGTACTCACAAACTCACAAAGTCATTGATGAGTTGCAGTTAAGGGGAACTATTTAAGTCAAGGCAAGACAAAGCAAAACCCCCATATAACAGCAAAGGACTTTTAGGAAGATTTAGCTGACACACGGGTAGTAGTGCACCATTCTGCTGTGTAGCCTTGTTCGCACAAATATGATCTGCCTGAAACAGAAGGAAACCTTACCTGTGACCTCATCACACAAGTCAGTGCCTGTAGTGTACAAGGCATCTAGGCAAGCCAGAAGCAAGGAAACAAGTGCTATGAACTGATGAAGTAAAAATGGAACTCTTTGGCCACAGTCAGCAAAGATAATGTTTGGAGAAACAAGGAGCAGCATTTGATGAAAAGAACACCTTGCCAACTGTTAAGCACGGGGTTTGGTGTGAAACATTGCACGGGTAGATAGAAGAATAGGCTCGACTAAATATAAGTAAATTATTGAAGATGTGAGACAGCCAGTCAAAAAACTAAAGCTGAAAAGAGACTGGCTTCTGTAACAGGGCAAAAAGCCAAAACATCTCAAAATCCATCATAAACTACTTCAGGAAACACAAGCCGAAGCTTTTGGAATGGCCCTCACAGTCCCCTGACTTGAGCGTCACTAAAAATCTGTAAGTAGATCTTAAACACGCTGTGCATGCCAGATGGGCCAGGAATATCACAGAACTAGAAGCTTTCTGCAAGGAAGAGTGGGTGAAAGTTCCTAAAACGAGAATAGAGCGACTTCTAGTTGGCTACAAATGCATTTGCAAGCTGTGATCCCAAAGGGAGTGTCACAAAGTACTGACTTAGTAGGGTGTCCAAACTTTTGCAAATGCCACAATTACTCTTTTATGTGTTTCTATTTTTTTAGGTTCATCAAAATGTGAAGTAACTGTGCATTACCATTTGCAGAAAGTGTATTTATTTTAAACAGTTTGTTGTAGAGGTTGTGTTTACTTCATATTACTTGAAAAATCAACAAAAAGTGTACACACTTTAACACACAACTGTATATGTTTTTATACAACAAGAATAAGGAATTGGCGAAAATGTGAATTTACTTTTCAGTTTGTCAGAACATTCAACATTTTAAAAATACAATATTTAAAACAAAGCTGTGCTCTGTAGTGTCCCAGTCTAATGCTTTAGCCAAAAGCTACATGTTAGCCTCAAGTTAACACACTAGCCACAAGTTAACATAGTAGTCACAATATGATACGATACGTTACGATACAATTCAGTACAACATGTTGTAGTTACATTTAAATTGATACATGAAGCTGTAGTTATATAGTGATATGTAGTTATATAGATGTGCTATAGATATAGATATGCTTATATTTGAGATTGAAAGGGCCCATATCCCGGAAAACTGACTTTCCCTTGCTTCTTTTTAAATAAATGAGTTTGAAGTAATGTGTAAACACTGTTAATTTTAAAATGTACCGTTTACCAGTTTATGCAATCCATATATGAAAATTAAGCTGGTAAAACAGCACATGAATTTCAGTTTCTTTGATGTCACAAGAACAAACTCATTTACACACATCCACCTGTTCAACCCACAGGAGTTTAGCCCTGCCCATTCATACTGAAGTTCTAAAGAGTGTTTCAGCTCTAATTTCTTTTTGCATGAGGCAAAATACAGGGCAGCCAATCAGAACAGAGTTTGTGTATGTTATCGGTCTTAAATCATAGCGAAAATCCTTTTAAAGGTGATGATGCATCAGTGAAACTTCTACCAAGTCTGTTTGGTTAAGGCTGTATGTACAGTGAACCGTGTCGTTTCAGATGCGGACTCTGGTCAGGATGTGTCTGAGTTTAACTGGGATGATTATCTGGAGGAGACAGGAGCTCTGTCTGTGCCCCACCATGCCTTCAAACACGTGAGTAAATAGCACCCTGTTAATAGAACTACACCTCCTCTGCTTTACACTGCTCTTTCAGTTCCTGCTGAAACTGCACTGACATCCAGACATTAGCCTGATTTGAGGCATGCAGCCCGTCTCTGTAATTTGGAAAATGTACACACCTCTGTAATGCATTAAAACAGTAGGCCTAATTACTGTAACAGAGATCTAATGTCTGCTATTTTTAGGGTAACTGTTCAACATCAGCTGTATAGCCGCACAGAATTCAGGTTTCATTCCCACTATGAACTGCCACATAGCTGCATAGTCATGCAAATATTTCATTGCTGTTTACGAATGAGATTTGCATAAGCACACTAGCCCCTTATCGGTCTCAGAGTAAAAGTCCTGATGTATGGGGCTGGATTCATGAAAGCTTAGGAAAAAAACCCATGAGGGATCTTAAGACAAAAGGTTGAAAAAAAAACACTCAAAGGTTCATTCTGGCTTAAAACTAGCATTTAATATACTATTTGTCATGTTATGTGGTATTCTGTAGTGCACCACTCAGTCTCATCAGTTTGACTAAATCACAATCCATCTGTGTTTTCTCACTACATAACTCAGCATGCTTTCCGCAAATAGCTCACACAACCACTGGGAATCCCTCCGTCAAATTCTGACTCCAAACCACTGATCTAGAGGCTAAAAATAATTTGTTAAAGGAATTACTCAATCAGATAACAAAAATTCAAACAGCCCACCACAACTATCCGCCCCAGTTTTTTACAGTGCGATTCCACCTTCAACATGCATCATCAGAAGGGAGTTTTTCTAGTCTTTAAACCTTGTAATCTTGCTCTAGAGACCACCATAGCACCACTGTAAAAGGTTAGTAGGCATGTTTACAACAGATAGTGATGTCTGAATTTTTCATTTTGGTCAGAGTTTCCTTTAAGTTCTCATATTCACCTTTTAGAAAGTCTTAATTGTATTCATAAGCTATTTACAGCAGATAATAGCCTGCACTCTTAGCAAAAAGGTTCTGTATAGTACCAAAAAAGTTTTTTTTGGCTTGTAACAATAGTGGAACCCTTTTTGGTGCTATATAGAACTCTGTCAATCTGAAGAACCATTTAATGTTGCAAAGAGCCCATTAATCATGCAAAGCGTTCTTTGGGTGTTCATGGTTACTGTATAGAACCGTTTTCTTAAATAAAGAACTCTTGAAAGACCCTTTTTTAAGAGTGTGTAAAAGGCAGCTGCAGATGTTGAAAAGGTTTTAGCTGCTAGGCTATTTCAGTTTAATTCACTTAGCGCCTGAAGACAACATGAAAACAGGGAAGAAAGAACTAAATAAAAAAGTGATAGTAGAATAGTAACGCATAAATTAAGCCAACATTAGCTATGGAGTCAGTGAACATAAATACAACTGTATTAGCCAGCTAGCTAATCTGCCTGCTGCAGCAGCTTCTGAGTAAACATTAGCGTTAGTATTTAAGTTAAGTTGTTTATGCTGGGTAGTGTTCTGTAGTGCAGAATTGCCCCTCAGCCTCATCAATTTGACAGAATTTAAGACTTTGTATCATTTTGTCCATGTTCTCTTACAATACTCGGCATGCATTACACTAATTGATCACACAACCGTTGGGAATCCCTACGGAGCTCGTCAAATCCTGGCTCCAAGCCACATATCTAGAGACTAATAAATTAATAAATACTTTTTAAAAGGAATTATTCAGCCAGCTAACGAAAAAAATTTCAAATAGTCCGCCTCAAGTATCCACCCCGAAGCGTTTATAGTCTTTTAAAATCTACTTCCACCTCCAAGATGCATCATCAGAAGGTTTTTTTCTAAAACCAGGGAATCTCACTCTGGGGACTAGCACTGCTGTAAGAGGCGAGTAGGCATGTTTACAACAGCTGTAGTGATGGTTTAATTTTCCATTTCAGTCAGAGTTTCCCTGTAAGTTCTCATATATTCTCTTTAAAAAGTCTGCATTATTTTCTTAGGTAAGCTATGAGGCTATTTGAGTACAGCTTGTCATAGACAGCTGTAGATACTTGATGAAGAGGCTTCAGTTGCTAAGCTATTTTAGTTTAATTCACTCAGCACCTGAACACAACATGGAAATGGAGGAAAAACAGCTAAAATAAAACTTCAAATAAACTAGAAGTGAGAGTAGAATAGTAATGTGTAAAATAAGCTTACAGTAACTGTACAACCTTATTAGCCAGCTAAGCTAGCTAATCTACCTGCTTCAGCTGTTTCTTAGTAAACACCAGCAGATTCAGCAGTGATTACAGTGTCTAAACAGTCAGTAGACTTTGGTTGGCAAATCTCAATCTAAAACAAATGTAGGGCTTTTGCCAAATTTAAGAAGATATTTAACATATTTTTTCCCCAGAATGCTGCTTAGAGTTCTTAGAATTGTTCTTAAAGGAGAATTCCACCATTGCTTTTCAAAATATGTGCGTAATTAAATAATTAAGATATAATCAACCGAATTCACAATGGACTTTCCAAATCAGAATTGTTCACAGTGTTGGTGATAGGAACCAGACGTCTGAAGTGTTTAGCTCCTCTAAAAACTCCCTCACAGAAAGTTATAAATTATACTAAAAGATTCCAGGTATGTTGCCTGAGGCCTGAGACAGTATTTTGAGAGAAACATTAGGCCTAAAGGATATTTTTCAGAGTATATCCATGGCGGAGAGATATATGCAAGGCATTATAAGCCTCATGCTTTTATATTCACTGATGTTTTTAGATAGTAAATGAAATGACTGCGTTTGTGTTGTGTGACTCCTGGTTCCTATCACCACCATTATAAAGAAGTCAGTCAGTCAGTCAGTTTCTCTACAATGAACCACTTCACATCAAACCACTCTGAAGGACTTTGTTTACATCTCAACAACTGAATTATACCGAAATTATAAGGAAAAACTGGCTAATTTCCCTTTAAGAGAAAAGGTATGAAAAAAAATTAAGCAAGTTCTAAATAGCTTTTCTGGATAATGTCAATCCTAATTTATTGGCTGAAGTTAAAACAGCTCATTATTTTAAAACACTTTTGTGAATCCGCCCCCAAATCCAGGCTGATCTGTGCAAATACCTGCACTGATTTGAAATTAAAAGACAAAAAACAGATTCTAGTTCTACCCTCTTACCCTGAGAAAAGAAATGTAAGTTTGTGTCTGTTTGCTGTCAGATGGATCAGGGGCTGCAGACGGGTCTGTCTCCAGGTATGAAGCTGGAGGTGCCTGTGCGCAGTGAGGGTGATGGTGCCTATTGGGTCGCCACCATCATCACCACATGTGGGCAGCTGCTGCTGCTGCGATACGAGGGCTATCAGGATGACCGGCGTGCTGATTTCTGGTGTGATATCATGACGGCAGACCTGCACCCCATTGGCTGGAGCCGGCAACAGGGTCGTCCAATGAGGCCACCAGAGGGTGAGATGGGGGGAGGGGAACTGTGACTGTGTTCGAAATGGTTATAATTCACTCTTCCATATGTTGTAGTCCCATTCCGTTTCAGGGTTGTACAGTGTTACCATATTGTTACATATGCTAGAAAAAATGAGTCCTGTATCAATATAAAAAAGATGAGTCCAAAGACAGGTTTAGATTTTTAGCCTACATTATTTTTTTTAATTAACTGATTAAAGTATAAAATGCATATTACGTAACACATTAAATAACAGACATGAACTATATTTCATTTCCCGATTTGAAATTTGTTTCATTAAAAAAAAATAAAAAAACTAAAAATTAAATTCAAATAAAATTCTTTAACTTTGTTTAATTAGAAAAAGTGTAATTTCTGAGTTTAACATATTGGGGGGAAAGGGTAAATAAAATGGCCCGTGCAAAAGTTATGCCACATTTTATATTTCATGCTTTTTTTCCCACAGACATGTTTAAATATCATAAGTTCTTTGTAAATGATGCATTAACTTCACTTAGCAAATCACCCAAACATGTTGGCCAGGGGTTTTCAAACTTTTGTATACAACTGTAAATGCATTTGGGAGTTCCTGCTGGTGTAGGTTCTCTGTGTCAGTGATGTACACTAAAGCTAAATGTGTGCGAATAGCACCCCCTTGCGGGCAAATTATTTATCTGTATATTTTGCAATATAAGTATTAAAATTCAACAGTTCTGTTTCTTTTACATTGGAAATGATACGACAGTTTCTTCCTCTTATTAGTATTATTAACATTTTCTCGGTGCTACAGTATTTCAATTTGTGACTCTTTTCTAGCACCAGTACTGCCTGCTCAAAAAGTTTACACAACAGCCCTGGCTATGGTACATCATATGCGCACTACCTGTTCTGGTGCATTGTGAGTTTGTAAGAGTGCACTGGAAATTATATTTCTGGGCCTTACCACAAAATATGAAAATAGGGCCTAGTTTCAGATGTACTCAGCATTTGTTAATTCTCTGTGCAGATTCTTTCTGTAGATTACTCACATGAAGTGGGATTTTCGATCTGTAGTGAAATGCTGGCCTGTGTCCCACACCTGCAGGCTGGGTGCATCCCCAATGCTTTAACATTCTGGAAAGTGCCCCAGGTCTCTTCACTCATTCAGTCGTTCTAGTGGGTGATTTGTCTTTTACCTCGGCCACTGACCTTTTAAACAGGGCTCATTGTTTTCCTATGTCTCATTGTAACTCTCTCCCAGGGGCATGCATATTCAGTTCTGGATGGTCATAGCTTTGCACTCTTTAGTTATTTTCCTCCAACAGTGCGCCTGATTCATCTCAGCTAATTATCTGCCTACAGCACTGCAAATATTATAAACAAGGCTATAAAATATATATAAAATTCTTTTCATAAGTACAGTTGTATGCAAAAGTTTTGGTGCCCCTGGTCAGTTTACATGTTTTGTTTGTGAAAATAAGTTAACACGTTATCTGCAGAGAACACACTTCTCCACATTTTAATGTACAATTATTTATTTATTATATAATTAATTACTTATTTGCAGAATTTAATATATTAGGAAAAATGTGGCCTGTGCAAAAGTTAAGGCACACAAATACATCGCAAAAAACTAAAAATTGTGCACTAAAATTTGCATATTTGCATAATTTGCCATATTTAAATTTGCCTGTTTGTTAACTTGTTAACTTATTTTTACACGTCATTTTAAAGGGGGTGTTCTAGCTTTTACATACCGCTATAAATATCTGCAGACATTTTTTTTTATATTTAAAATTAAATTAAAATTTGTTTACATATTTTGTTTTGTTCCTGTCCACTTGGTGTGTACTACATGTATGCCCCTGTCATTTGTTAAGCAAAAAAAAGTAATATATAGCTAATTATAGCTAATTATCCGAGTTCAACCAGGTATATTAGGGTTGGAAGATCTCTAAGCTGTGCGGTGTTCTGGGCCTCCTTTATTGAATTTGGACACCACAGTTCTGTACCTTTCATGAAATACCGAAAGGTCTCTCACATAGAGGTAAAAACGGGCTTAGCAGGACAGAATTATACCACCCAGTCGCTGTTTGTCATGGTGGAGATTATGATGCTTGTGTGTTTTGCAGACTGGCCATTTAGCCAGCAGTTTACTATGACTGTAAATGTCCTCACAGTAAAAGCTGAACATGAAAAGTTCAACACTATGTTGACATCGTTTCTAGAGTTCCTGTGTTTGTCTGATCAAAACCTCAAAACACCACAGTTAGTGCTACGTCTCAAAAAGGCCCATGTATGAAACACTTGCTCACTGATGCCATCTCAGTATTTCACTCCACATCTTTATGCTTTAGCATTGCTCTTTCTGTTTTGCTGTGTCATCACTGAAAGTATCATTAGCCAGTTCTGAATTCTCCCGTCTTAAATATTCAAATATTAAATATACTGGTATAAAAGTACCAGTGATTTTCTATGTAGCGGTACGCACTGAACTTACCATGTAAGACTGAACTCATACCGAACTTATCCTTTAAAATGACACCTTCCCCAGCTGGGCCTGTGCATCATTGAAATGTGGCTTACACTGTGGATGTAGTTCAACTGCTCTTATTGCTAGCAGCATTGTGCTAAATCCTGTAAGTGGTTGTTCACACTTGATTTGTTGGCCGCATTAAGGAAGTGGGGGAGGGGAAAGACTGTTTTGTGGGTTGTATGTGCTCTATTTTAGCTTACAGCTCAAAATTAGATAGAGAATGTTTCTTTTAAGCAGATATTACATGCCTTGTTCCCGACCTAAAATAGTTTTAATATTTAAAGATAATGAGGGACCAGTTAGCATCTTGTAATAGTCTTGCCAGTTGGTGGCTGGAGTATTTGATTCTTTGTTAGACGTTAGCATTTCTGTGTGGAATTCCTCTGTACATAAGCAAAGTAAGAGGAACTTCTTTGTAGTAATAGTACACAGTACACTGTGTAGGCAAGGACAACATAAATGGATTAGCACCATTCTTGCTTTCACCCACTCAGACCTGGAGGAACAGACATAGGAGGACAGAAGCAGCAGCTTAAAGATTTAACGATGAGGCCGTTTAAAGATCGGTCCAATACAGCAGTTTAAAGAGCAGTCAATACTAAGTGCTAGCAGTTTGAGCTAATCAGCTTGAACCCATAGACTTCTAAGGTTATTACATAAGTAATTACATTTACATATGATTTTTATGTTGTATTGATAGGTCTGGGTTTGCATGTCCAATTTCCTTCCATTGCCTTCAGTGTCAAGAAATTACATAAAAAGCTGCGATTTTTCTACAAAACTGTGTGCACATAAATGATTGGCCATCAAATTCACATCATAATAAAATATCTTCTACAATCTTAAAAAAGATGGTTCTTCAAGGGTTCTTGAAGAAACCTTCACATGATTAAATTGTAGTTTGCATTGTGAAAGTGTTCTTCAGATTGATGGAGAATGTGCTGAAGATGCTGCTACATAGAAACAAGGGTTCTATATAGCACCCAAAAGGGTTCTTCTATTGTAACAATGTCAAGCTTGTAATAGAAGAACCCTTTTGGGTGTTATGTAAAATGCTTTTCAAGAAGGTTCTGTATAGAACCATATACAACACATTCTCCATCAATCTGAAGAACTCTCCCATGATGCAGAGAACTCTTTAATCATGCAAAGGGTTCTTTGATTGTTCATGGTTCTACATAGAACGATTTTCTGAACTGAAGAACCCTTGAAGAACCATGTTTTTTTTTTTTTTAAGTGTTTACTTACAAACACAAATGTGGTCTCAATTTAAAGTTTAGAGGCTGCACTTTTAGCAGAATTTCTCAAGTTGTTTATTGTTTATGAAACATTGTAGCTATAAAACATTACCATGCTTTTGTTATTGCTGCAAATAACTGTAACTTCTGGTGGTTAAAAATCTGAAGACTTAATTTCCAAGTGCTGTAAATCTTTCTGTTAAAACGTTGAATATAACAAGTTTTTGAAAAGTATAACAGCTGACATATAATGGAAAATAAATCTTCATTTCTCTAAAAACTATAGCATTGATATTTCTTGTATGTGTGAGGCTAACTCCCAACGGCGCATACTAAGTGGTCTATAACGCATTTTGGAGAGAAACCCTTCATATCATTCGACCAAAACGGTTCCAAGTCAGTTTCAGAATTGGGCTTGAGACTGAAATCCCTTTGCTTTGAATGACCCTATACCTTAATTATGGTTATTAAAATAAATGACTGAACATTCCATTTTGCAATCAATACAATAACAATGCCTCTGAAACGTTACCAAATACTTCAGTAGTGACTGTTTCAGTAGACAGTTTTAGCTAAATTTGAGTATAACTCAAAAACACTCGCCAGTACATGACCTGCAAACACAGCTTTGAACAGTTGCACATAGATACATGCATAAAATCATATTTTTCAGTAAAACACAAAAACTGTACTTAATTTCAGAAAATGTGTTTTGGAAGTGACAGTTGTTAATGTTACACACTGATTTTCAGTAAATGGAATGTATTTACTTGGGATCTAAGTGCTCACCATGTGGCCATGAGGGACAGGGATGAGGGACCTCCTGCTCTGAAATGCAGGGGTGTGGGGACTAAAACTCTTTGTGTTTCAGTAGTGACATAAAGACATGGTACTGCATTTTTTTAATGAAGTTTTTTTTATTTAAAAATCAAACTCATGATAAATCTAAATCTTTCAACTTCACTTTAAAAGAAATCAAAAAGGTTTCACTGGGAAAAAAATGTAAGGATTATTTTCACCAGAAATGTAGGGGTTAAGGTTTAGGACCGTGACCTCCCAAAAGAAAGTACATATCTATATGTTCACACCTATAAATGATGATTTTGTATATATTTAGATTATTACTATCTAAGTTAATGCCTTTGGTTTTAATAGATCATAACGTAATCTTTGTAAATACCTAAGGTGTGAATACTGAATTGTTTAAGTTGTTTTTTTTTTGTTTGTTTTTTTTTTTTGCTTCTACATCTACTAATTCTGTAAAATGATCCATACAGCTTGTTAAAGTCTAGCATATTACCTGGAAAGACCTTTTGACTGACTCTGGCTCTGTGTTTAGGTGTGCGGGAGAAGCATCAGGACTGGGAGGCCTTGCTGGAGAAAGCTCTGTCTCTGTCAGAGTCTTGCAGCGCACCAGCCAGTCTTCTGGAGGGGGTGAGATACATTTCGTTTCCCTATGTCTGGATGAGAAAAGGATAAATATTTTACTAATGTCATTTTCGGATCTGATGACGTAAGTCTAGGAAGCCTTGACACTGTTGTTAAGGATGGAGGTGCTTTTTTAGTATACTTTAATTATAATGCATTTCCACAGATCCCTGTACCACAAATATAGCCAATCAGACAAGTTATGTTGGATGTAACAGTATGATGTACAGTTATCTATGAAAGTGGACAAAATTACAGACAAAATTCACACTACTAGATGGCTGCTACTACTGATTTAGCGATGCGCTAGATAAATATCTTGTACAGTTTCAGAAACCACATACGCAAGTTTTATTTTGCGGAACAGCTTGATGCAGTTTGGGCAGTGCAGTTGGCACAGTGTTAATTACTGAGCCAATAATTAATTTTTCACAAAAAGAAAACCAGCTTTGACGTGGAGGTACCAATATGGGCACGACACCAACTACAGAACGGAATGGAATTGTAGGAAAAGGAGATTTGTGTAAAGTTATCACGTCAACAAGTGTGGACCTTAAGTGTATGATGTATGTTTGTTTCCTGTTTGCATGGACATAGGCCCAGCGCGGCTGTAATCCTGTAGACCTGCTAAGTCCAGGCCTTAGCGTGGAGCTGGTGGATAAGGAGGATGCAGAAGTGGCCTGGGCTGCGGTTATTGAAGATAACGTTGGGGGGCGACTCCGTCTCCGCTACTCTGGCACTGAGGAGCTCCCCGACAACCCTTCAGTCATCTGGGTGTTCTACCTGAACCCACTGCTTCACTTGCCTGGCTGGGCCAAAGACCATGGCAGGACCCTTAGACCTCCGTCAGGTGAGTTAGCTCCATTAATGTCTTAGCTAAGCTAGGATTAGCATTAGCATTAGTTCCAGTATGTTCTACACTTTTAGAATGTCTGACGATTCTAGAATCTAGAGCAAGATTCTCAGCCTTTTGTAAACCAAGGCCCACATTACGTTTGAGAAATAAGTTCACTACCCAAGATGGAAGCTTTTCTTGTTTTGCAAAGTTTGCAATAGAATATTCCAGTTTATTTATTGGATTGAAAGGGAAAGGTGTAATAAAGGCTGGATCTTTGGAAATCAGATTTTAGTAATATTAGCAACTTATGTTGTGATTGAAATGACTTATTTCTTTTGGTTTTGCTTAGCTACTTCCATGGCTTTAGCATTCTCTTTTTGCCTCATTCAGCACATTGCATCATGGGCCATGATCATGATCATGGGCGCCTCTCTGAAACCCCGTGCTGTCTTTAAAGCACCACTGCTCTTCAGTAGAACGAGCTAGAAAGATGTTGTTTTTTTCTTGTTGAAACTAGATAAATGAAATGCAAGCCCAAGTTTGTCCTTGTGGGTCATTTACTTCCTACGCAAACCTACAGCGTAAATTTACCGAAAACATCCGTACCCTTTCCATGCACTTGGCATGATGCTTGTTTAGTTGTTTTGTATACAGATCGGTCTCAGTCCACCGTCTTTATTTGTGAAATGTCACACATGTACACAGACCAGCCACTTCATTAAGTACACCCCCTTGTATCTACCCTCTTTGTTCTACAGTTACAGACTGTAGTCCATCTGTTTCTCTGCATACTTTGTTAGCCCCTTTTACTTTGTTCTGCAGTCTTGCGCAGGTACAGATGCTGTGGATCAGACACGGAGTTTTTAAACACCAAAAATATCCAGCCATGTCAGTATCACTGCAGTGCTGAGAATGATCCACCACCGAAATAGTACCTGCTCTGTGGTGGTTCTGTGGGGGTCCTGACCTTTGAAAAACAGGGTAAAAGGGGTTAACGAAGTATTCAGAGAAACAGATGGACTACAGTCTGTAATGGTAGAACTACGAAGTGCTCCTATGTGGTAAGCAGAGCTGATAAACTGGGCAGTGATTATAGAAACAAGGAAGTGTACTTAATGAAGCAGCCAGTCAGTGTATAGTCAACATTCTGCGTGTGACTGGCTTTGTTACAGCTAGTCAGAGTACATGATTTGCGGATTTGAAAGTCAAAGCGAGCGCATCCATGCGCACTGCCGAAGAATGGATGTGTAGGTTGGTTTTGGTTAGGTTGCTCTAGCCAGTTGGAGTTTCTGATTCAGAGAAAACTGTGGAGGGAGTGTCTTAAACAGCTTTGAGAGAGAGAAGAAAGAGAAAAACAAGAAACAGAACTCAAAAACAGAGAAACAAACAAGGCTCTAGAATTGCTGTTTCAGCAACGAACGATGCACAGTATGACAGCTCTTCAGGTCCTGTATCATTCAGAAGACAGGAGTGATTTTGGCATCATGATGCAGATGAGACAGACTGTGTAATTACAGAAAATGACAAAAAACTGACCCTTATGTTGTGTGGGGTGCTTGACAGGAACTCATATATAAGCAGTGTTCCATAAAAACGCATAGTACACTGTTCAGAAAAAAGGGTATAAGCTGAAAACAAAAATAAGTTAAAAAAACAAACAAAAAACTTCAAATAACATATTTTAGGGAAGGATTTTATGCAGTTTTTTATGTTAAAAATTTCTTTCCAAAACGTTTATTTTTTTTCTTTTCAAAAAAACTGCAAAAAAATAAGATCTTTTGTTATGCCGTTGTTTTATAGGTTCATTCACGAATGAAGTGTGTAGAATATTTAATAAATTAGGTTTTATTAGCTGAGGTTATGTTGTATCTGGGTAAATAGAACACTTTACAGTAAAGAAAAAATGTAAAACTCAAAAGCATGCGGAGGCCGAAGTGTCTCAGTGTAGGTCTTAAAGGGTTAATGCTGTTAGAGTATGGTCATGAGTGTAGTATTTCATGTGCTGCTGAGAATCTAATTAGTTCTCCTTTATTTTTTGTCCATGTTGTGGATGTCTGGTAGGGCTGTCTTTTTGCATTTGGTGGCTTTTCACTTTGGTTTAAGCAGACACACACAGCTTAGGTAATCAATAGGATGGGGGAAGGGGAATTGGGCTTAGCTGACCATAGAGCAGAGTCCACTAGCTTGTTGTAGTTAAACATGGTTGTGCGTTTGTTTAGGTCGACAGAGATGCTGATGTAGGCTGTGTGATTTTGTTTGTGTTTGTGTAGCGCTGCTTCCGTTGCGTACTGAGGAGCAATGGGAGGAAGTGAGACAGGCCATTTCCAACCAGCCAAGGGACTCCAACATCAGTGAAGAGTTCTATAAGGTGAAGGCATTTCAGAAATCTGTGCATTGCTCCTTTATGCTGTAATTAAATGTTTTTTATAGGCCTGGGCAATAAAATGATAACTATTGAAATTAAATATTTATAGATACTGCATATTCTTTTCCTCAGTCTAATATTAGCAGCGGTCATCTAAACGTCGGACAAATTTTGCTTCGGTACTCTAGGTGGGAATGTGCATCTTTTACTGACTAGACAGGTAAAGAGAAGAAGTCTAGCCACACTCTCACAACAGCAAAAACTAGTGTGACGTTTAGGAGGGTCAGCAAGCTAGTAAAGGTGTAACTTTTTTATACAGTATTGAAAAATTGGTTGCAACAGTGTATCAAAATTTAAAACGGTACTAATGATACCTCCCTTTGTCTCTTCAGAGGATCTCCCATGTATCTTCTTTCATAGAAAACTCTGTCACAGATCAAAATGTGGCATCTGAGCATAGCTTAACACAGTAAAAGTGAGTGAGGAGGGGCAAGAGCTTATATGCACACACCCATACTTAAGTGCTTTGGCTTGTAATTAGATTTATAAATTCTAAGGGTTGTGATTTCATATGTTATATTATATTTCATAGGTTTATTTTGTCAGAAGGCTAGACGATAATATATAATTAGAGCTATGAAGAATCAAGACGTTTTTAGCACAAAATATAATAATAATAATAATAATAATAATAATAGTAATAATAATAGTATGTAACAGATATGACAGTAATTTGATGTTATGTAATGTACATAATATAATGTTAATATTAATGTAAACTCACTACATATTATTAGCCCAAGTTAATAAGCATCTATGACCTGACTGGAGATAGCTAGAAGTGTATATGCATAGTTTAAACAATAATCAGCAGTCAGTCAATCAAATCAGTAGCTTGTAGCTTTTTTGTCATGGGAATAACTACATGAGCTATCCTTTAGCTAACAAACACATTTAAGGGGTTTAAGCTTAAACTACACTCAACAGAAGCAACAGCAAAGAGTCACTTGTAGCACTGTGTAATGGGGCTGAATATATTAGTTGCGATAGTGCTTAAAACTAAACATTTAGGATGGTTTAATCTCTGCTGTATTCCTTTATCAATGACAGCGGCAGGAGTCAAGAGTCTGAGTCGACTCCAGAAAACCCAGAGTTGTGCATCAGTCAGTAGGGTTACCAGAACAAGTTGTGCTCTTGAGCCCTCATATACAATTCAAAAAGGTTCCTCAAGATCAATTGTGTGTTAAAAATGAAGTAACTTTTTAACTGAAAACATTGGTAAGGTGATATGTAAGTCTTGTTTAGGATGTTTTGGATAGCAGGCTGTAGGATTGTGCTGATAGACTCTGTGACCATTCAGGATCGGCCGGCTATCACTCCGCACTGCTTCGCTGAGGGGATGAAGCTGGAGGCAGTAGATCCAGCTGCACCTTTCACAATCAGCCCTGCCACTGTGACTAAGGTAACTCACCCTCACCTGCACATTTATCTACACTGTTAACCATCAGCCGAGCTACTGTTGCCAAGGTAACGTGCTCTGACCTGCCGCAGCCTCACCGCTGTGCCAAAGGTAACTGACTGTCGCTCAGATGTGTTGAAAATGATCTCCCATTTCTTCTGATTAATGTGCATTAAATCATCAAATAATTGATAGATTGCGTGTCATTTCACTGTTTGATTGTATTATTTTTGCATTTATTGTATATTTTGTTATGTGTTTACAGTGCAGTAGAGCACCACTGGATGCAGGACTGAGGTTTCAGTGGTTTAATTTGCGTAAATAAAGATAAAACAGCAAAACCTAGTCTACAACCAGTGCAGCCCGCTCTCCATTTAGCTAGAAATGTTGCTCTCTTCTTCTAGCTTCAAATCACACACTGACTTAACAGCCCTTGGAAAAAGCCTCAGGCTGTTACACAGCAGGCTGAGGCATATAACTCTCATAAGCATGCTTTTATTAAGATGCTTCTACTTTACTATGTCATTGTGCCCAAATTGTGAATAATCATGTCCTCAGTCTTAAAATGTCTTCATTTGTCTTGAATTATGCATGACCCGACACGCCAATTTACGGGAAATAGATCTCTACAGCTAGAGCTAGAGATTCAGTTCCACTTTTTGTGGTGTTTGTGGAAGTTTCCTTTTAATACTGATTTGAGTGTAGTTTGTTTTAGATTTTTTCGGTAGGGTTCAGAGTGGTGTTGGAAACATGGTTCTTGAAATATGGTGCTTGCACAGAGCAGTTTGCTTAACAACGACGGTGCTTTTATTTGATGAACCAAGGACAAGTTATTCAGCATTCACTAACCTTATTGTCAGTAGTCATGAAGAAAACTTAGGTATGCACTGGAATATGTGCAGGAAATTGAGAGAAAAAACTGAACTAACCTGCAGGGCCTGCAAAATGGTACAAGTCAAAGTGTCTGTTTCATTTTTAAAACTGAAAGAGTAAAACATTTTCATTTTAGTTATTGAGCATTTACATTTTAGGTACTTATATATTCATGAGACATTTAGGTACTTAGGTGTGTGTGTATGTATATATATATATATATAAAACATATGGGACACATTACATATAGGTTCTTGCATACTGTCATTGTCAGAACAAAACTTTTATCACTGCATTTGTGGCATAATTTGATGCTGCCAGCTGCCCTTTGCAATGTATCAAAATCAAAACTATTTACTTATAATAGTATAATAGAGTGTTCTCAGTATTTCCTGTGACCACACAGTTGGTCTCATTTTCTGTTTATCTTGGTCCAATTAATACCAATTACTAATTTTGACTCACTAGTCCATAAAACCTCCACATCTCAGAAGTGCAGTTATAGTGTTCTAGTGCAGATTTTCTTCTTTTGTTGTCTGTTTCCTTTTCTCAGTAACGACTTCTTGACAGCTATACAGCCTTTCAGACCTTTTCGTAGCATTGAGTTGTCTTCTCACAGTGGAAAGATGGACAGAAACACCTGTGGATTTTTTGTTTATCTGATGGGGACAGTTTTGGTCATCCACCATGGGTTCCATTTTCTCTATCATTTTTTGGGAGTTTTGAAAACTCCTTTTCCCACTTTTTCTTTTACTTTATCCTTCCTCGTGCAAGTGGATTATCTTGAATATAATCTAATAAAAAATACAGAATATAGAAATATAGAAATGTGCAAGGCAGCTGAGGTGAGTTTGAGTAGTTGCTTGTGTGAGAGTTAGTGTCTCTCCAAAAGATTACAATGTCCATGATCTTTGAAAACACTTTGTGTTGAGAGGAGCTGGTTGGTTTTAATATTGGAAGGATGGAAGAGTTAAAGAAGCAGTAGGGTGAACCAGTGTTAACATAAATTATATACAAATAGATTTGATGTTATATTTGGAGGCTTCTGTGTTATATTCAGTTAAATATGTTTTCTAAAATTTGAAAACAAATAACTTATACTTAATGTTTATTTTTGCTGAAAATTAAATAAATGAAAGGTGGTCTCTGACTTTTTTGCACAGTGCTACATGTACTTGCATGATAATATGGGAGATAATTACATATGATGTCCTGACATTGTATAAAAACAAGTGTGTGTGTGTGTGTATCAAACAGGTGTTTGGTGATCAGTTCTTCCTGGTGCAGATGGATGATATGAGAGAGGAAGGGCAGAGAGAAGGAAGTTGTCGGCCTTTTCTTTGTCACAGGGACAGTCCTGGAATCTTCCCTGCCCAGTGGAGCCTGAAGAATGGGGTCAAACTCAACCCTCCGCCAGGTCTGACCTTCCACTGTGCACTGAAGTTGATGGATTCAGTGGAAATGAGTTAGAATATTAAGTTTTTTGGTTATTCTTTCACCCGTAGTTTAACCCTTAGAAGTCTACAGTTATTATAATTGTTGTACACATTTGCCATAACAGTTATTTATAGGTAATTAAATAATTACATAAGGAATTACATAGTTAGTTAATGAATTAGATGTATATTCAATTTACTTTGTTTTAATAAGTTCAAGTCCTTTTTTCCATTTGTTTGAATTACTGTTACTGTTTTAGTAGATTTTTATTTAATAGAATCATCATGATTGCTATATTTAAACTCATTTAAGATTTCTAATTTGAAATAAGTAAACATCATCCACAGAGAACACACTTCTGCAAATTTTGATGCACAATTATTCTTTATTTGGCAAATTCAACATATTGGGGAAAATGTGGCCTTTGCAAAAGTTGTGGCACATTTTGTATGTTATGGGTATTTGTCAATATGTTAAACCCATTTGCAAAAAAAATGACATATTTGTCCTCTGAAGAGGTTGTGTTCATGATGAAAGTCAACAAAACAGATCATTTTACTAGGAGTGTTTAAACTTTTTCAGGTAATTGCATTGTAAAAATACTCCTATTCCACTACTAATTTTTGGTTCTAAAGCAAAAGGTTTAAAATGGAAATCTATGGGCCAGCGGTTACACAAAAAGAAAAGATGCCTGACATTTGGTTCAAGCAAATAGACAGTTTTAAAAAACTACCTAAAACAATTTTTTTTATTTATTTTTGAGTATTCGATGCCTATTTTGCTGTTGCAGTTTTGGCATATTTTGAATAAACAATGGTCAGTTCAGGTCATGGCAAATTGTTAAGTAAACATGAAACAAAAACACAGCAGGCCCACAGATTTGCTGAGATTTTTTAATATGGCCCTTTTAGTGGTTGAGTTTGACACCCCTGTCTTAGATATATCACTGACTGAGATGCAAGCTGTAGTCTAATCAGGTTTCAGTCGCTTGAGTCAGCAGTGGGTGTTAATCCTTTAAAGCTCTTTACTGAAAAAGTCCAAGCTGTAGCATACAATGTGATAGGCATCAAATACATACTATGAGATGTCTTTTATAAGCTTTAAATGTCTGTGTTTAAGCTAGAACACTCAAAGAATGTTCATGTGCACCAGCATTAGATTGGTGCTAACATAGTGTTCAAGGTCCTACAGATGTGCTAGATAGAGGTGAAATTAGTAGTATTGTAGTGGTAGATTTTTAATCACATTTTTTACAGCATTTTGACATTTATTCCCTGAACTCAAAGCCTAACTCCACTGGAGCCAATGATTGTTTAATCATTAATAGAAAAGCATATATCATTGAGTTAATCATGGAAAAACACATACTAACCAACACTGGCAAATCATTGTAAAGGTTCATGCAAACTTGGTTTGATCTGAATGTCGCGTTTATAAAGAGCCGTCTCTGTGAGAGAGTGGAGGATGACTCATATTAAGATTGTTTCAAGCTTGAAACATTTGAATAGCAGATAATGGTCTTTATTTTGAGAGAATTCTGTAATCACTGCCTGTTATGTATAACGTATCTCTATTGTATGTGTGTGCAGGATACCAAGGACAGGACTTTGACTGGGCTGACTATCTGAAACAGTGTGAGGCAGAAGCAGCACCCCAGCACTGCTTTCCCTCTGTGAGTGTCATTCTGTTACAAACAGTCAGAACAATTCAGCTGTGAAATGACTCACAGCATTCACACTAAGATATACAGTGAGAATTAATTTGCTTGCTAACGTGTATTCATTTATTTTGAATAAACCATTACAATTATATTGGTGCATCTCTTTGTAGCATAATAATTTGGACGTTGTATGAGTCTTTCTTTTCCTTGTTTTAGGACCCATCTGATCAGTGTTTTAAGGAGTCGATGATGCTGGAGGCTGTTAACCCTCTTTGTCCTGAAAACATTCACGTGGCAACAGTGACCAAAGTCAAGGGACAGCATATCTGGATTCGATTAGAAGGTGTGAGAACATTCATTTTTCGTTATGTAGATTGCTTTTATCTGTAGCTTTTGACTGTATGCAGAAGTTTGAATACCTCAAATTTTAGTGCATAAAGTCTTTTTTTTTTTTGCTGAGAACAAACAGGGGCAGGCAAATGTTGGCATAGGACGGTATTAGTCAATGCACTCTTAAAAATAAAGGTGCCTAAGTGGTTTTTGGCTTTGGTGTACAGTTCTAAGAACAACCTGTATAAACTTTACATTATGTGGAGGTTCTTTAAACTTTAAAAAGGTTCTTCACCCTCACACTTTTCATTTACAAAAAAGGTTCCATAAAAGACCATGCACTGAAAGGTTCTTTAGGCAACCAAAAGTGGTTCTTCTAGCACATCACTCCAAGGACAGCTTCAGTTATAAGCATGTATGTTTTTCTATAATTAAGCCACCTGTACACTACTTGACTTACAGAAATTCTAATAGACTTCAAAGATTGGAAGCATTTCACACTTAATGCTGGTCCTTAACAGAATTTTTAGGTGATTGGGCTAAGAGAGAGTATTAAGAGAGTACAGTTATCATGTGATACAAACAAATCTTGAACTTGGCCAGACGTGTTAGTGCTTTTATGCACACAAACTATGGATGATGGATGTTGTTGGAAAACACAAATAACTTTCGAACTGGATAAGTATTTTACTACAAACTAGTCAGCTGATGTGCATGAATGTTCTGGATACTATGATGTGCATGAGCGTTCTGGATACTATAATGGCACTGAAGTCATAGAGACACTCGTGCGTTTGCCAGTACTCAGTGAGCGGTTCTTTCATCTCTTCATATACTCATTGATTCGCCTTTTTTCCTCTCTGCTATCTCCCTCGGTAGCTATTATCTGAGTCACTCATTCAGTTAAGTCATCTCACATTACAGAACATGTAACATAGATAGTAATCCTTTAACTGTACACCCCTAGTTTCTCCTTGCATTTGTATTGGAAGCTATAGCAAATCAAGAATGCACAACCGCCAGACTAAATACAGCACATTCTAAAACAGTACAGGCTTGGGTGGATATCATTGCTGCCCTAGATTACTTATAAACTTAGTTATCAGTGGCTTCCCTCCTTCTTTTCTTTTAAATACCTCTGTGTGTTAGATGCTTGTTGGTTTGCTTCTTCTACGATTGACTAAAAGTTGAATGTGAAATGGTAAACTTCAATGGAATTCTCCATTGAATCATAAAATGTGAGGGGGATTCTTCTTAAATTTTTATCTCTATGATGTTGTCTCCAGGGCTGAAGCAGCCTGTTCCAGAGATCATTGTTCATATGGACTCCATGGATATCTTCCCTGTTAGCTGGTGTGAAACTAATGGCTACCCTCTGCTGCACCCCTGCAAGCCCAAAGGTCAGTGTCCATATATGTATGAATGTAGGTGTGTGTGTTTATTTCTCTTCTACGTAAACTTGCAGGTTAGAATATTGATGTGTACCCCTGCCACGTTAGCCGTTTAGAATTGGATATTACTAAAGTTATATTTACTACTTATTACTAGTCCAAATTAAAATGAATATAAATGATGAAATCTCAAAAGCCATTATCGTCCTCCACATCCTTCTCTATAATTGTGCATAACGCTTTATCTCTGAGATATGGATGGAACAGTTGTGTTATTGCCTGCGGATGTTTCAGTGTGCTATTGTCCTTTCGAAAAGGGATCCTGACCTTTTTAGTAGGCCTATTCATCTGCCTATTGCGCCCTCCTATGTACAACCAAGAACAGTCCTCAGTTTGATTGATAAATCTAGTCAAATAGTGATGGTTGTTTATTGGAAATGAAGTCAAATTAAATGGATATTTTTAACCAGTAGCATTGTTGAGCAGTTTTTGTTTATGTGTCTTTTAATAGTTAATTGGCTAATCATTTTCATCCCTACTTTGCATGCAATGTAAAGTTGTCTGTTCTGGTCAGCTTCCACATCACGTGCTTGGACAGTTTTATCAGTGTTCTGCTCTGCTGTTCTATTGATTGTTTCTGTGTTTCCTTATTGTAGTTGAAAAGCAGAAGAAAATTGCTGTGGTTCAACCTGAAAGGCAGTAAGTAAAGAAGTGCAGTATGACAAATGACAGTGTAATTTTGTTAATTGAGAAGTAATCTCTTTCTTTTCTGCACTCATAGCAGAGCTCCATCGAAAGACTCCTCCCCCGATGCCCTCAAACAGCCTCTCAGCAGCCAGACAGAGATGAGTGAGTGCTTATACTTCAGTGGCCAAATACACCCACTCGCATGCTGCCACAGAAACATGCGCATCCTTTGTTTGGAATCACACTATGTGCAAATGCAGTTTTTTGCTCACTCACATTCTTTTACGCATACACATTCAAACACTTGCAGAAACATTACTCAAGGATATGCCCTTGTTTAGTCTGTGTACTTAAACACTCAGTGGTGCTGTTCATCTAGCTATATCCACAAATGTTGTTTTGTTATTATTTTTTATTTTTGTAGCAACTATTGTGAGAGGGGTAGACAGATTTGCAGTGTGAATGCAGACCACCAAGCCAGTGGATCATAATGGTTTTTTCACGTGAATTTGTGGCCAAAATAAAAGAAACCTGTTTATTATATATATACACCCCTAGTTGTAATGTTGCTTTACAGAAAATTCCCATTCAACCTAACGAGAAACTAAAGCAACATTTATTTGGAGTCGCTACTTCACTGTTGGAGCTAATAGAAACTATACATGTTGGAAACAACGTCAGATTTGGCATCTTGCAAATCTTAGACATAACAGAGCATTTACATGTACACAGTAAGCATCTTTTAAAGTGAATAGTGCACTCTAAATGTTTGGATTTTCATTAGATTGAATTATAATTTTACCAAAATTTAATAAAACTTGTCCAGCCTTGCAAGAGTTGCTATGCAAAGCCTGTTTTGCAAGTTCAGATCTTGCCTTCAGCATATGATGGTAGTGTGAAGGGAGACTGATTGAGGGAGGGAAGAGAGCTCTGAGAATTTGGACTAGAGTTCTGAGCGGCCTGTGCTTGGAGCTAGAAGGCTGGCGTAGGACTAAGGATCAGGGAGGAGGTGAGGTTGTGGTGGCAATTGTAAAACAAAAAATCATCACAGGAAACATAAGGTATGTGGGAATGTATAGGCTGTTTGATTGGAAGGAGGAAAGGTTTCAGGTGTGTGCATCACCAATTTTAGGAATTCCATAACTCCATTTTAGGACTAAAAGATAATTATTTTTTAATATGGAAATTGCAAATTAAGATTTTCAAATTGCAAGAGCTGCAGTTTTTTAATTGTAGCCTACACTATCAGAAACATTTTCTTAAATTTTAATTGGGGAAGTTTAACCTAAAAACGCAGAGCTTGTGAACCGCCTGTAGACAAGCAGAAGCAACCAAACCTCCATGTGTTGTGACATCAGAACCACAAGTTACCAGCTTTCTGAAACACGACATTCAGGGGTCAAGCCTTAAGCCAGAAAAAGGTGGATATTTTGGTCTTGTTCCCAGAAAACAGGCCTGGTCCGTTTTTTATATATATATATATATATATAAAAAATATATCGCAGTAACAGTCAGAAAAATCAAGGTTAGATATTTTCCACAAATTATTCAGCCTTTATTCGTGAGCGGAGCATGGATTGGTCAATTTGGAGTTGGCTTACAAGTTTGGACCTAGGCTGCAAGACATTTTAAGGCTGTGAATTTTAACACTGTGTTGTACTGGACAGGTCAGGCCAATGGGAAATACTGCTGCCCCAAGATCTACTTCAACCACAGATGTTTCTCTGGGCCATACCTCAACAAGGGCCGCATTGCTGAGCTCCCACAGTGTGTGGGTCCAGGGAACTGCGTCCTTGTGCTGAAGGAGGTATGCAGTCGCCTTATTTCCTTTGTTCTTCTGCCCATTTAAGGGCATATAGCACTGCTTTATTGTATTACATTTTACTTTATCATATTAACTTTTCCTGATAAACTCAAGGGCTTAGGCAATGTACTTTAGACATTCAAGCTGAACATAAAATGAGCTGTCTGTTTCTTAACCTTGTATATGTGCCCTGTCAGGTCCTGACCCTCCTCATAAACTCTGCCTACAAGCCCAGTCGTGTGCTCCGCGAGCTGCAGCTGGACCAAGAGGGCCGCTGGCAGGGCCACGGAGAGACGCTCAAAGCCAAGTAAGGATGCTGACTGTCGTAATTTTGCAGGAAACAGATGGGAAAAAAGTTTCATGCTTAGTCAGGCTTTTGGTCAGGATCTCAATTTTTTCTTTGCCAGAACGTTTGTTATGTATGAACCATGTACTTATTGTCAGTGAGCCTAAGTAAAGGATGATGGGAGTAGTGTAAAATCACAAAATCATTGTCACAAGTGAGCTTTTGTAGCAAATATTGAAAAAAAAATTGTGTTTTATATTTTGATAATCTAACCTGATTGTCTGATTTGTACAATAATGTAGGTACAAAGGAAAGAGCTACAGGGCAACTGTAGAGATTGTTCGCACTGCAGACCGCGTGGCTGAGTTCTGTAGAAAGACATGCATTAAGCTGGAGTGCTGCCCCAACCTATTCGGACCACGCATGGTTCTGGAGCGCTGCTCGGAGAACTGCTCAGTCCTCACCAAAACTAAATACAGTGAGTACTGTCTGGTTTTCCATCACAACAGATTATCTGAAAAAATATTTTACAACAAAAAACAATCAGATTAACTTAAAGGGCATTCCAGCCTAAATGACGTATTTAATATAGTATTTAATATAGTATTATGTGTAATACTCTTTATCACAGCATTGCATATCAGCCTCAGTTTTGGATTTTATGTCATTTTATTATGTATCCGTCACTGTTCTTTCACTACAGTACACTACAAGCATTACAAGGATTAATTATAAATAATAAACTTCATACATATATTGGGAATCCCACCACAGTGAGAAATCCACTGATGTAATGGGTAATTAATATATAATATGCTAGTAGAAAAAATATATAAAAAATATATCAAATTATTTTCTGGTTTGTAGTAGTAATGTTCTCTGTCTGACCTCGTTCTGCAAAAAATAAAACCTTTCAACAGGCCACCCCCCATGTATCTGCCCCAAAGTGCCTGTAGTTTTTCAAAAGTTCTTCCCACCTTCAGAATACATTACAGGAAGGGGTTTTCCTATATAAACCGGAAAATATTGCTCTCAAGATTACTGTGGACAGGGAGGAGACATATTTACAAAGTAGCGATTACTTTTTTTATTTTGGCTGGAATGCAGCCTTGATTTTGTTCTTACACAAAATGTTTTTATTTTAAAAACAGTAATAAGTAGTAAATATAACTTTAGTAAAAGGACCCAAGACATGTTTTGTGTCTGGAATTTGCTTATTTTCAACTGTTGCTTAAAGGGGAATTCCACAGATTTTCTACATTTCTGTCTTAACTCAGTAAGAGAAGGAGTTTTAGGGAAATTCTATAAAGTTAAGGAAATTCTATGAAATTATTTCTTTACAGAGGAGGTGATGGGAACCAGTGTCAACAATGCAAATATAGCCATTTTATTCACTATCCAAAAGTGGCTGGTGAACTTACATGTGTCTTCAAAGTTTTTGTGTAATGTTGATAATGGTATACTAGTGGTAAATAAAAAAAAAAAGAAAAGAAAGCTTTCTTTGAAGACTGTTTTGTCTGTCTTGCTTTTTTTTGAGGAACCAGTGATGCAAGACCCCTACATGTATGATAATCATTTTGCTAAGTTTTAGATAAGATACCACATACTGCCTGTACTTTTCTGGGTTTTAAAATCATGTTTTAGGCCAAAACCTTCTAACAACTATTGAAAATGATGTCTCGGATATCAGGCAGTGTATTCATTAACATTTCATATAATAACTTTCTGTGAGGTAGGTTTAAGGGGCATTAAACTCATCAGACATCTGGTTCCTGTTTCCACCAATGTGAAAGTTTCTCTAGAATGGAGCATTTCACATCAAACCTCAAGGTTTTTTTTACATCTTAACCTTTTGATTGTGCAGAAATTTTTGAAATTCTCCTGAATTCCTCTTTAACTGCTCTTTATGTTTCACTGTTTGGGCCACAAGCCACTCTTTCCAGTTGTGCACTTGCTCTACTTGTGCTGATGGATGTCTGCTGACCTTATGTGTTGCCTGTAGCGTATTACTATGGGAAGAAAAAGAGTCGCCGTGTGGGGCGACCCCCGGGTGGTCATTCCAACCTGGAGGGGGGCGTGAAGAAACGAGGGAGGAGGAGAAAGAGGAGGAAGCAGCTCTTTGTTCATAAAAAGAGACGCTCTTCGGCCTCAGTGGACAACACGCCCGCTGGATCTCCTCAGGTAAGTCTGTGTGCTTTTGTCGAAAACAGAAAAACAAAAAAAATTCCAGCGCAACATACAGTCTACATGGTAGAGTAAATAAGGCACAGTGATTTATTGATATGAATCTGCATTTTTTACAGTTGCATGCAGAATTTTAAAAATACTCCCAGGCAAATTACATGTATTGTTGATTTTCTAAGTAAAAATAAGTTAACACATCCTCTATAGGGAACATACTTAAAAAACTTTTCTACAAATTCAGCAAGTAAACAGTAATTGTACATTAGCATGTGCAGAAATGTGTTCTATGTATAGGGTGTGTACTTATTTTTACTTGGAAGATCAACAAAATGTAATTTGACCAGGGGCGCCTAAACTTTGGTATACAGCTATGAATGTTCTATATTGCTTCTGATGCATTAATATGTAAAACACTTTCACATACTGATTTACAAAATAGACTATATTGTGCCAGGCACCAGTGGACACAGACATACATAGAAGCCCACAGCTGACTGACACTTTATTGAATTACGAAATTACAAAATGTGGTAATGTTTTATCTCTCTTGCTTTTCATCAGGGAAGCGGTGATGAGGAAGACTTAGATGAAGATGACTCTCTGAGTGAGGACACTGGCTCTGAGCTGCAGGACGAGTTGATGGACGACTCTGAATACTCGGAAAAGAAGTCACAGCCTCCGACCCCTTCACCTTCTCCTCCCGAAACTCCTCGGCCCAACCGCCGACGCCGCAAAGCTCGCTCTCCCTCGTACTCGGATGATGAAAACAGACCTCCTTCACCTAAGGTAATCACATCTGTGCAGTCTCTGTGTGATGTGGTGTATGGTGGATTATGTTACAAATTGGTGCCCCGTGTGAAGAAGCTGTCTTTCTTTTATGGTTGTCATTTTGGCTTTTTTGACTACAAGCCCTAAGGCTTTTTATCTGTATTGTAAGAAGCCAGTCATGACTGCATGTTTAACAGATAATTAGCAGTGTTATAATAACAAATACTCTTTGTATGATGTCATTGGCAGTATTTACAGTTAACACAGAGGGATACTGAGAGTCTGTGAAGGCCTGTGGAGAGGGTTGTTGGCTGAGTCTAAGGTTTATTTGTGTTTTGTCTCGTGCAGAGCCCATTTGCCGAGGCTCCTCAGAAGTTGTGCTTGGACAGCAGTCCATTAGAATGGAGTGTTACAGATGTGGTGCGTTTCATCAGGACCACTGACTGTGCTCCACTGGCACGCATCTTCATGGACCAGGTGATATTTTTGGAACTCGCACATGTAAACATTTCTTTAAAGTAGTACTAGTTTGCTTTTGCATATACTGTGGCTGAACAATATTGGGGGGAAAGTGACCTTATGATCTTTTATGTTTGGGCAATAAATATTGTGATATTTACAAATTTACCAAGATATACTATTCCCAAATGGGACTAATAATCAGTATAGCAGTGGAAAGGTTGTTGTTTAAAGGGAGAATTAAGGTAGTAATTTAATATTCTGGCTAGGACTACACAATATAGGCAAAATGCCATATTGTATATTGATATTGCACTATACAATTTATTGCAAACCAATTAGTGAACCCTTGATGTATTATGAGTCCCCCCATTATTTTGACCTGTGTTATTTATTTTTACTGGATGATTGCCTTGTTTCATCCAAGCACTTATAGGAAATCTGTGATTGGTCAAGATGTCACAGTACACCATAAAACTTTTAAGTAAGAAACTGTTAGAGGCTCTATTATATATTATATAGATGTTGCAATACGGATTAGAGTATGGTATATTGTGCAGCCTTATTATATACTATATGACTATACAAGGGATGCAGCAACTGTTCTGTAAATTCGATAAATTAAAATGTTAGAAAACTATCGAATAACCAACACTTTTACCACTTTTATGAAACGGTGCACTTCTGTGGGGAAAGAAACATTTGTTTATCAAGTTAAATGCTAGCTTGTCACCAGTAGCACGCAGTTTAAGGCACCACTAGGTTTTAACTCCAGGCGCAGTCCAGATAAGCTTCCTAGTGCTCCATATTGCTAGATGGCTTGTTCTCAGTTGTATTTATTTCCCAGAAAAAAATGAGTGTGAATGCTAACAAACTGTCCAGACCGACACAGCAAAGTTTTTTGCGAGGGCTCCAGTACAAAGTGGGTTAAAAACTTATGAAATATGGCCACTTCCCCATTCACTGGTAAAAGTTGACCAAAGAAGTTGTTTTTATTTTTTAAGCCGATAGTGAGAATGACACTGAAGCGTTCAAACAGCACCAGTGACATTTTGAAGGTTGCCAGATTGGGCAGGATCAGCACTTAATATTTAATGCTACTTCCTTTGAAAAAAAAAATTCAGTGATATTTTTTCCTTTGCCTTTAAGAGCTAAAATCATACTTAATCAGTTATTTTAATATTTACAATAAATGATTCTTAGTAATAATAAGGTGAAAAAAACAAGTAAAATTACAATTCTGTAAGTAGAATTAAACAACTTTTTAATGCTTTTCTTATTTGTATTATTCAAATATTCAAGCTACTATTCCATAGAATATTTAAAAAAAAAAAAAATATTCAGTAGTTGCAGCCCTTCAATATACAGTGTTTGACTAAAGTCATTGACATGCAGGACTGTGTTGCTATAGCTTGTTCATACATAATAAGCACTGTGTGTGTGCTGCCTGTCTTTCAGCTGTTTTCATGTTCTCTTTCTTGTTTTCTTTCCTCTTTAGGAAATTGATGGTCAGGCTCTGCTCTTACTGAATCTGCCTACTGTGCAGGAGTGCATGGACCTGAAACTAGGTCCCGCCATTAAACTGTGCCACCATATTGAAAGGGTCAAACTAGCTTTTTACCAGCAGTTTGCCAGCTGAGAGTGACGTTACTCCTGTGGGCAAGTGGGTAGGGAGGGTATTTTGGGGGGAGAATTTATTTTCCATTGTGTGTGTTCCTCACCAGGTTGTCAAGATGCTGGATGCAAGGCATCAAAGCTTTCCTTTTCCTTTGAGTTTGGCTAGTTTGTGTGTTAGAAATATGCTACTGAAGGGGATGTTTTGTGTCTTCAACAGGAGAACTTGTGGTGTTTCTCATAATATTCTCTGATCCGACAGAATTCGCCTATATGCGCTATATATGAGTTTGCTGGAGGTTCTTCTTCTTGGTTCAATATTAGGGTTAAACTCAGTCATAGAAAGTAGTCCCATCTATTTCCATATTAACTAAGCTCCTCATTTCTTGAAACCTTTAATAATAGTAGAGCGGACGACAATGCAAGAATCTTAAGCACAAAGACCAATTGCCCATGTACTGTAAGTGGTATGCAAAAGTGTACATAGTAGAGTTTGTCTGTACATATTGTAAATATCAGATATTCCTTTTAGTGGGGCTAAATTGTCCCAGTTCTTGTTTGGTTTTCTACAAAGTTTGAGAATTACACTGTAAGTAAACAAGAACATTATTTTTCAGGCATGTTTTGTCTGACGTTTGGTATTGCAGTGGGATTTTGTATAGATGCCAGTAGCACTGTTCTTTCTGTTTGACGATCACATGTTCAAACAGAGACATGTTGCTGAAAAAAATATATAAACAATATATAAATTTAATGTAATATAGTGGATAATGGTGTTCTCGTGATTGTTGTTGTGGTTAGGATTCAAGCACATGAAGGTTCCAGGTTATTGTAGTCATGGAAGTATTGATAGTCCTGATTCCAGGGTCTGTCCAAACCTATATTAATAAAATATGTAAGTCTATGATTGGTTTAAACTTACATTAAACTTGGGTTACTCATATTAACTGTATGTAGAGTGCTTTCAAGAGGAAGGCAAGAAACCTTATTTTGATTTAGCATCCATTTCCCTTTTTCATTCTAAAGGCATTTGTGCTGAAATGGTGAAAGTTGTTTTTGTAAGCATATTATATGTCCTCATGCCATGTTCAGTTTTTGTTTGCTCCCATATTTTGCCAATTGGGTCAAAGAACATTTGAATTAATGTTAATTTTACCTTTTAAATGTATATGTTTGTGAGCTGTTATTTAAAAGAAAATAAACTAAATCTAATGCCTTGTCTCATTCAGGAGTGTAAATAAAATAAAGATGGAAGTGTTTGAATTTCTTTGTGTATTGCATTAATTATTTATGGGGATATTCTGTTATTATTCAAGGAGATTTTCACCCATTAAAAATTCGGATTTACAGACAATGGTAAAACACAGTGTGGTACGAAGCCCTTAATATGCCATTGCAGAAGAAAAATTGCAACATTGTGTTCCCTTGCAGTATTTTTGCATTCCCTTGCAAACTTTTAGCGCTCCTTGCAAGAGGTTTGCATTCCCTTATAATTTTTTTGTATTCTCTTGCAAACATTTTGCGTTCCCTTATAAAATCAAGTGCATTTGCAAGAGAACACAAAATGTTTGCGACAGAATGCAAAATGATTGCGAGGGAATTCAAAATATTTGCAAGGGAATGCAATGTCATTATCTTTTTTCTAATCACATTCCCTTAGGGCCTCCGTAGTACGGTGCAGGCTGACGAACTACACTTGCGTATTTGTACTACAAGTCCCAGCATGCTGTACGCTTTACAAATACGTCATAGCCTGTCGATACCCAGCGAGAGGTAAAAGAAGTTGCTGAAGATAAGGGGGTCTGGGGATATATATGATGTACACGTCTTCGTTATAGGAAGCGGAGGGTGGTCTAAAAGAAAAGATTCAGTTAAGAGCTGACTGGAGAAGACTGGACTGAGCTGGATGCGCCGAGTCTCCGGGTGGGCTCACACAAACGCAGTCCAGCCAGGAGAGCTTCGTCTTCGTCGTAGTGGCATTTAAAAGAGAAGTAACCTACATGCGTTGCTCTGACAAGACAGTTGTTTTAACTAGCTAGCCGTCTAGAAATGCTGCTTTAGGTCGCTAACTATGTTATAACTGTTAATTACCCAGGACTGAGAAGTGTACTGTGATATATATGAGCTGTTTGTTTGGCTAGACCAGCTGCGACTTCGGTGTTGTGAACATCACGAACGTCTTATAACCAGACCTACTTATCAAAAAATACTGCGGGTTTCAGCACGGTTAAAACCATTTATATATTTACCATAACCTACGTGTTGGTAAAGTTATGACCAGCGGTGTAAACTGTACTTTGCATTTAACGGTAGTTAGCATAGCAAGCTAACAACTTGCCTTGAATCTGCTAAATGCTAGCTAGGTTAGCTAACCTAACTAACAAGCTGTTTAAATAACGTTAGGATGTTCAGCCATGACTTTCTAACTGATGTTAGGTAGCTAACAAATTAATTATGACATGACGCGTTAAAAAAATGTATATTACAGTATCCACTGCAATATATACCCCAGCTGTCGAGGTCTTTAGGAGGATGGGAACACAAGAGGAGGGAAAATCCATTAACGTTAGCTGCTCTTTCCCATAAGTGAAGCATCCGCGTATTGATTCAGTGCTTACCGTTATTAGTGATCCTACAGGGGTTGTGCTCTTTTTTTGGGAGAGACATCTGACATCTGCTTTGCACCTTAAGTACCTAAATACCCCGTTGAGTTGTACAAGCATGGCCAGTGCCGGTGACGGGGCTGCACAGGCTCAGCTTCTGCCCGCTCTGGCCCCCTCCAACTCCTCACCTTCGGACACTGACAAGGGTTGCGCCAACGGTGACCTGATGGACTCCTTCGGCATCTTCTTGCAAGGCCTTCTCGGAGTGGTGGCCTTTAGCACCCTTATGCGTAAGTAAACTGACCCTGTCTCTTAGTTCTCCCTTTTTTCCTTCATTGCGCCAACATGGTCTTATTCTTGCACCATAAAACTTTATAATTACGTTGGCAGCTTTTTTAAATGTCACCTCAGGCCCATGTCTTTCTATCAAGTGCTGGCTTTTCTTTACCGGTGTGACCTAAGAGCAGAATTCCACCGATTCCTTTTTATTTTTGCAGAATTAAATAATTAAGATGTAAATAAAGTCTTTCTGAGAGGTTTGATGTGAAATGCTCCATCCTAGAGGAACTCTGCACACTTAAAAAAAAAAAGATGGTTCTTCAAAGGTTCTTTAGTAAATGTAGTTGTTGTATGTAGAACTATTTCATGCTTGAATGGTTCTTTGCATGAAAAAAATGGTTCTTCAGAATGATGGAGAACGTACATTTTCAAAAATGGTTCTGTGTAAACCTTTTTGAAAATGGTCCTATATAGTGATAACAATAGGTCTACTGTTGTTAGAGGCTTGACACTGTGACTGTTGCAGAACCCTTTTTGGTGCTATATAGAACCATTTTCTGAAAAGTTCCGTAAAGAAACATCTGCAACACACTCTCCATCATTCTGAAGAACCATTGTACCATTCAAGCAACCATTCAAGCATGAAATGGTTGTATATAGAATTCATGGTTTTAAATGGAACCATTGCATTTTCTAAAGAACCACCTTTTTTTTATTACTTCAAATTGTTAGTAACGTTGCCCGATGTCTGTGACATTTCATTATATTTTTTATTTTATTTTTGATTTACCACCATATACATAGATGTAAAACAAACATGTACATATTACTATAAAAAACTCATTTTCTGTAATACATAAAATGGCTATGTTTGTGTTGTGGACATTGTGACCCCTAGTTGCTATCACTAGCACTGTAAAGATTTCTGAGTCAGTAAGTTTCTGTATAGTGCATCATTTTACATCAGACCACTCTGAATTACTTCATTTAAATCTCAGTGGTTTAATTATGTAGGAACTTTGAAAACCTTTAAAAATTACCCTTTCAGAGACTTAAAGAGCTATGTCTTAAGGGTGCTGGGTGGTATCAATAAAAATTCTATAAAAACTAAATCCAGTTAAAAATAAGATGTTGCTGGTTGTTGTTGTTGTTCTTCTCCTTCTTCTCCTTCATGCTAGCATGATGCAGTATTCAGAAAATTTAATATACATTTTAGAAATCCATAACATTGTATGAATTATCACCTGGTGCTAGATGAATACATTTCTGTGTGACTTTTAGTTTTCAAATACTTCAAGAGGACAAAGAACAATTAAGAATTAATGCATTTTGTGTCTGCATTCTGCTATGATTATGCATGTTATCTATTTGTATATTTGTATGGTCTTAACCAGCACAGATAAACCCTGTTCCCTCTTACTATTGCAAAATGAATTTGTGCGAGAGCGGAATTATTTTACTATCTAACAGAGGCATTGTAAAGAGGCCTGCAAAATTGCTCTTTGTTTTGCTGATGCAGGTTTGTAACGTTGCTGTAGTAGGCCTAACAGCTCTTTATAAACTGTTCTAGAAACTACCTTGCTAGAGGTGCAGTTCCTCTTTGGCACTTAAAGAGTGCGTAAAGAAAATGGCATGTTCTTCAAAACATCCCTCTAACTGAACTGATGGCAAGGTGTACTTCATTCTAGAGCATAAGAGGTTCTGGGGTAAACTCTAATATGAGCCTGATGCTTTGTTTGAATTGGAACGTACCTGAGGTAGGCTTTAATATGAACCTGATCCTGTGGTTTAATTTAAGAGCACCTGAAATTTCAGATGCCCACAACTATAATTTTGAGTTAACTTAATTGCTCACTCAGGACCTAAGAAGTGTACTATGACATTGCCAAGGCCTATCACAGTCTGTAGAGCTAATGTGGCAGACTTTGTGTTTGTTTAGGCATGTGTGAGCTTGCGTAAGTCACACCTGGTACATGCCTTGGTAGCACAAGAAAGACTAGTTCAGCAGAATCCCATGCAAGACTGGCCAATTGGACTACTTTTTGTAGTTGGTTGAACAACTAAGATGCATATAGGAAGGTAAAATGCATCTGGTACTCTCTAGCTTTTCAGCACAGTTGGGAAAGGATGATTACCCTGTAAAGCAGTCTCTTTTTGTATTCCTGTCCAGCCCCCAGCCCTTTTGAACCCAGTTATCAGGAGTGCTCAATGGCTAAACTAACAGAGTCCCATGTGATACGAACTCCAAAAGAATGAAATATGAACTAACTTTATGATTGTCAAGAATGGGGACTAAATACTTAAGCTCTGAATAATTTTGTAACGAAAGAGAATCAACACTAATTGTATTGTACTTTACATTAGCTATGTATTACTGTCATTTAAAGGGGAACTCCACTGCTTTTCCAACATTTCTTTATAATGAAATTATAGTAATAGAGTAATTTGATGTGAAATACATGCAATTTTTTAAAATGCATTAGTGGCGTGAAGGTACGTGCGGATGTTGTGAGGCAAAATAGTACCCAACAAAAACATTTTTCCCCACTTGTACCACTATTTTATTAATAAAATGGCTATATTTGAATTGTAGACATTGTGACCCCTCAATCATGTTACCACCACTTTAAAAAAGAAATTAGTTTTTACAATGAACCACTTTACATCAAACCACTCTGAATGATTTTGATTATATCTCAGTGATGGAGTTATGCAGAAATCCTGAAACTTTTCTAGAAATCCCTTTTTTTTTCAATTGATTATTCTTTGCAAAAAGTTTTTGTACCAAGATTATATATATATATATATTTTTATCTTCCTCTGAGCTTATATTCTACAGAGGTTTTGGTATGTAAATAGAAGCGGAGCCAGTTGTTGATTGTGGGCCAGTTGCCACCAACATCAGCAGTACACATACAAACAACTATTGTCAGAAACAGCGAGAGCTTTATTGATGGGGGTTGCCGTCACTCATGGTCAATAGGCTAGTTCTAGCTGCCATAGTTTAGATAAAAAATTAAGTAAGCGATGGAAATCCCTCCCATTTAGGCCAGGGTGAAATTCTGTATTACTCTTGTTTGTTAGATATTGCGATTACAGTATACTTTAGTGCAGGTTACAACGCTCAGAAAGTGTACTTAAGGGGCCCATATCCTGCATTTTCTCTTTAACTTTGTTTTTTTGTTTGATGTCTACTTATAACATTTGTGTGGTTTTATGTACAAAAATGGTCATTTTTTTGCATGATCATTTTCTAACATTTCTTTAACTCTCTAAATGTTTTGTTACTGTGCCTTTAGGATGGATGCAAGATATATAAGCTCTGCTGTAATTGGCTGCCTTGTATTGTGCCTCATTCTGAAGAGCTGAAACACTCCTTAGAATTTCCTTAGCTAGTTGTACTCCATTGTGCCTTATTCAAAAAGCAGTCCAGGCTAAAACACTACTTATAACTGCTCTATATGTGAATGTTTTGGTTTTTGTGACATCAGAAAAACAATGACTTTGTTTTCTTTTATTATGTGGTGTTCATGCATTTTAAAGAGTGAATGAAACTGTTTACATAGTACAACCCCATTTCCAAAAAAAAGTTGGGACACTGTGCAAAATGTAAAAAACAAAAAAACAGAATGCAAAATTATTTAAACCCTATATTTAATTAAAATAGTACTAAGACAACATATCAAATGCCCATTTTGACTTTGATACCAGTAACACATTTAAAAAAAAAAAATTGAGACAGGGACAACAAAACACTGGTAAAGTTGTGTAATGCTAAAAAAACACCTGGTGGAGCATCTTACAACTGATTAGGTTATTTGGCAACTGGTCAGTAACACAACTGGGTATAAAAAGTGCCTCCCAAAGAGGCTGTGTCTTTCAGAAGTAAAGATGGGGAGGTGTTCACCATTCTGTGAAAGAGTGTGCAGTGAAATAGTGAAGCAATTTAAGAAAAACGTTTCTCAATGTAAAATAGCAAAGAACTTTCGTCATATTCGGTACATAATATCACTAAAACGCAAGTTAAAACTCTACCATGCGAAGAAGAAACCATATATAAACAGGATCCAGAAACATCGCCGCCTTCTCTGGGACTGAGCTCATTTAAGATGGACTGAGGCAAAGTGGGAAAGTGTCCTGTGGTCCGACAAATCAAAATTTGAATTTCTTTTAGGAAATCATGGACACAGCATCCTTCAGGCTAAAGAGGAGAGGGACCATCCAACTTATCAGTGCACAGTTCATAAGCTAGTATCTGTGATGCTAAGGGGTGCAGTATTGTACATGGCATGGGTGGCTTGAGCATCTTTGAAGGCACCATTGATGCTGAATGATATATATACAGGTTTTGGAGCAACGTATGCTGCTGTCTAGACAACATCTTTTTCAGAGAAGGTTTTGCTTATTTCATCAAGACAATGCCAAACCACATGTATAAACGTATAAATAAATGTATACATTATAACACATGTATTATAACAGCATGACTGCATAGTAAATGAGTCCAGGTGCTAAACTAGCCTGCCTGCAGTCCGCATCTGTCACCCATTAAAAACACTTGGCGTGTAATGAAACAAAAATGTGAAGACCACAAACTGTTGAGCAGCTGTAATCCTTCATTAAGTAAGAATGGGAGAACATTTCACTTTCAAAAGTACAGTGATTGGTCTCCTTAGTTCCCAAAAACTTGAGTATTGTTAAAAAAAAGAGGTGTTGCAACAAAGAGGTAAACATGCCCCCGTCCCAGCTTTTTTGAAACGTGTTTCTGGCATCAAATTCAAAATGGGGAAATTGTTTTTTAAAAAAACAGTAACATTTCTCAGTTTCAACATTTGATATGTTGTCCCTGTACTATTTTCAATTAAATATAGGGTTTAAATTATTTGTATATCATTGCATCCTATTTTTATTTACATTTTGCACAGCATCCCAACTTTTTTGGAAGCAGAGTTGTCCATCAAATACTTCTGTTTCAAAAAAGTGAGGATAATTAGCATTTCCAAGGAATGGGCCTTGTATTCAGATTCAATTAAGCATTACAACAGATTTGGTTATGTGCACTAGTAGTACATGCTCTGTAGTTCCCTAATGTGAGTTTCACTGTTGTGGTGTAACAATATTTTTTCTAGGACCTAAGTGACTAGAGTCAGAGGACAGTATATAGTAGCACAGCCCTCTCTTGGTAGCTGTTATTGATCCGCTCTGTGGATCATGCCTTGTTTAAAATGCTTTTCTTTCCTTTTGTCTCTCCTCTGCAGTGAAACGCTTCAGAGAACCCAAGCACGAAAGAAGACCCTGGAGAATCTGGTAAACCATCCACCATTTTGTGTCATTCGAAAAGCACTTTTTCTGCAATATGACCTGCAGTGTTAAAGTAATACTGCACTGTGTTTCAGTCAGTACTGAAGCAGAAAGTCTCTATAGCTTCTTTATGTTTCTTGGAGTTTACTTGCCACCTTTATATAGAGTGACAGTCACAGAGGAATGGCGAGAAAGTTGTTCGGCGGTGACATTTGAAAAAATCACAAGGTTTAAAATTTTGACATTGACTACTTTTGCGCATTAAGTGAAATTCAGACAGGACTTCAGTTTCAGGACACCTGGAACCCATAGGTAGGACTGGCACACTTACTCGATTAAACTTTGTTTAAAAGAAAAGAAAAATAATAATTTAAAATGTGCCGTCTCCATGATTTGACAGTGATTATTTGGCTGCTTGGTATGCTCTAGAGAGAATGTCTTTTCGCTCATAGATTAGAAGTTGCATTTACATTGTTTTTACTCTTCGGCTAGTCGTTCAAAAAACGCAGTCGACTAGACTTCATTGTCACATTAAAAACAAGATGTGAGTTTTCTGGACATCTGTTGAAGGTATTTTCTTGGTATCTTGCTAGTAGGGGCTGTAGAAGATACTTTGGGTTGAGGTATGAGGTATGAGTATGCACTGCAGAGCCTCAGGCGCTCTGCTCACAGAAGTATACAGAATGTCTGATGTAAACTGCATTCTAAAATCACTACGACTCTCAGAAACTCCCCTCTCATGGAGAATTTTAAACTGGCTCTGGCTATTGGTACTTTGGTGCACTGTGCAATGGGAAGCAAAAGGTTGTTTATCAAGTTAAAAGGTACCAAGAAGCCTCACCAGTAAGCATTTCAGAGTATAATATAGGCCTAGTCACTGAACCAGGAAACATTAATGATATCCTGTTTTCAGAAGTTATTTCTTTAGAAAGCCAGTAAACAAGAGATTCTTATGCGCTTCTTGACCAGTAAAAGTACTTTGGGCTTTAGCAGAAAAACTGATTTCTGTTCTCTTCTCCTGTCTCTTCACTGCAGTTTTGACTACCACTGTATTTCAGCTAGTCAACTTCTGACACACTGCGACTTATTAGTCAACTAGTCCATGGAAGCCCTAGCATAGATGTACAGTACATGCTGTAGCTCTTGCTGTTGAAACACAGTGGAGTGTTGCTTTAACACTGAACAGAACCCTTTTTATTCATCACTGCACCTGGCTGATATGTGATCTAACAGCCGTCTTAGCCCCAGCAGCTGCTCAGATAAAAGGTAATTTACAGCCAGGTGAGAGCTAACAACGTCTCCTCCCTCTCACTGACCCTGCCCACCCCTCCACCTCCCCCAGGTTTCTGGACACCTCCAAACAGGCCATTGGGATGCTGTTCATTCACTTTGCCAATGTCTACCTGTCTGACCTCACAGAGGAGGACCCATGTTCACTGTGAGTCTGCGTCGTCATTGTTGTCATTGTCGTTGATGTCTGCGTTGTGTGTTGCCTGTGATCCTGTATGCTTCTCTGAGTGTGCTTTTATTTGTGTGAATAACTTGTGATTGTGATGATCATTTTTCCTGTCTCATGCCCACAGATACCTCATAAACTTCCTGTTGGATGCTTCGTTGGGTATGTTGGTGATCTATGGCGGCATCAGGGCTGTTAGCGCTGTGGTCGAATGGAGGCAGTGGGACTCGCTACGCTTTGGAGAGTACGGTAAGGCTAAGTTTATTTTCTTTTCAGCAAGACACCCAACTCACTAGATAAAAAAAATCAAGCCTGTTCAAGCAGAGACGAGGAAAGGATGTTTCTCTTGAGCAGTCCTCACTTTCTGTCTAAGGGTATGCAGCTCACAGTGAAATCCAGCCTTGTGACATATTCCCACAGTGTGCTGAACCTTATAATAAACTCAATCAGGCAGCTATTGAAGCACCTGCCTATTGGATTCTATCACAAATGGGTCTGTTGACACCTTTCATGAACATGCATTTGCTGTAATCTGACCGTGTTCAAATTTCAGTTAACCGCATGAAAAGCCCTAAGGACGCTTTGTACTTTAATTACGATCACTCAAACAACATTCGGAGGTGATCTGAGATGGATCTTGACCACATTTAACATCATTGTAAATGGACTCCGTAAGGTTACAGAGCCTCCATCTTTCAAGGTAATGAAAGATGAAGGCAGCATAAGTTTGTAGTTAACTACAAAATTAACTGCCCTCTCTCAGTCTAGTCCAATTAAAAAGTCCCAGCCAAGCTTGTCAACTCGCATCATAATGAGGGAAAAAGGTTAACAAAAGTAAAATGTAAATAACGCATGCGTTTATGTGGTTTTCACACACAGAAAGTAAAATCAGCATTGTAGCATAAAATGAAAATGGAATCTGGTCAAAGTATATCCAGATACAATTTGGTTATGAAATCCATGTTAATGCAAAGTGTAAACAGGCCCAACTGTTTTTTTGCACATAATCAACCGTATACTAAAGACGTGACAGATAAAGATTATGTTGAAATATGCTGGATATATTTAAATATTTTCTGTAAAAATACTCCTCCGCAATTTCTCTTAAAGCGTTAAGGCCATAAAGCATTAAGGTTATACAGACGTGCTGATGTGGTTTAGAGCACAGTATGACTCACTATGAGCTATGAACAAACACTTTAATTCAATGCAAATGACAAACCACTTCTAGGTTGCATTCACTTTTGCTATGTGCACAGAAGCACTATGTTGCCACTGTCTCATTTGTTCAGGAAAACACGTTATTAATTAAACGAATGAGACATTGGCACCAATAAGCTGCTGCAGTGCAAATTGAGTGTTAATGGTTATCTGTCATGTGTTTAATCTCCAGTAATAATTTTTACTGATTAAGCTAATCTGGTGAAGAGGTCGGTTTTGAATAACGTGGAGAAATTGCTTGCTGTGCCAAATTTAAAGCCTTGTTATCAGACTTGCTGTGGAAATTGTTATTCGCCTCAGTGCACCTGCAGTAATTGGCTAGTAGTATGCAAATGTCACCCATTCCACTGTTCCTCTGAACAGTGTTATTGTAGTAAATGGAGGTTGAACATTGCTTTCCAGGTGGGCCAAATGAATCATATCCTCCTCGTTTTCAACATTTTCTGTCCTGCTGTTGACCTGCATTCTAAACAGTCGGTCTCTAAACAGTCATTCTGTAAACAGTCGTTTGGTAAACATTTAAGCAAATTAGTTTTTGACTTCTGAAAATTTGTTAAATTAGTTCTGTGTGTTCCAGTTGTTAGTTTTGGAAAGAACAGAGTCCCTCACTGGTACTCTGTCAGAGTGCCCACCGTCAAGGACTGGTCATTTAACTAATTTACTTATTTTGTGTGTGTTTGTGTATATGTAGGGGAGCCGGTGCAGTGCACTGCCTGGGCAGGTCAGTGTGCACTCTATATCCTCATTATGATGTTTGAGAAGGTGGTCATCATCCTGGTGCTGCTCATCCCGCAGTGGAAGAAGGTCAGTGACACATGACACCTTGACTTTAGCCTTTTATAGGTGTATTTTCTAAGGCTGCACAGGTTAACATTTGTTAATTGTTATCGTAACATCAGCCTTCATAATACTGATACCGTAGAAGGCTTCAACATGCCTCTGACCAGACACTGAATATTTTATGGCAGTCGCAATATGCAGCAATGTAGTAGCAAAATGGTGTTTTGTCCTTATCATGCAGCTCTTTTTTACACAAATAAAGAAAGAATTTCTAAAAGAATTTCAGAACTGTGTGCAAAAGTGTTTTAGCAGGTCAGGGGATATTACTGTTCCAGCATTTGTTTTTAGCATGAGCTGAAACAAGAACAAGAAATCAGAGACCATGCTTCATTTAATTAATTTTCAGTTAATAAGTACAAGTTATGAATTTTTCCACCGATACTTCCGAGGTGGTTAGATATAACATAAGCTACTTGCATGAGCAAGAAGCAAGGCAAAGCAAAGTAAGTGGTGGGAGAAATCAGTTGTTTCTAAAACTGGTGTTTCACAAATAAATAAAAGATACAGAACAAAGTGGGACATCTACCAATCATGCAAGACTGGGTAGACCACCAAAACTGTCACCATCAGTTAAACAGTTCCTGAAGCTTTTATCTTTGAGAGTCTGAAGAAAATTAAGCTCTTCATGCTTCAAGTCCACAAGTGTTTGTCCATCTTTCCACTGTGAGCAGTAAGCTCAGTGCTATGAGTCTGAAAGGATGTGTAGCTGTCAAGAAGCTCTTACACAGAAAAGGAAATAAACAAAATATGAAGAAAATTGAAAAAACGAACAAAGAAGCTGCTGATGTTTTCAGAACAATGGACTGGCCTCCCTAGAGTTTAGACCTCAACTTCAGTGAATGTGTTTGGGATTACTTGGATCATGAGAAGCAGAAAATGCAGCCAGCTTCTAAGACTAAACTTTGGAGGTGTGGAAAAATATCCAAAGAATGGACACTTTTGAGGCTTTGTGTAATTTCTTGTTAAATATGTTTCGTGATTGAGTAATGAAAAACCTAATGAACATGTTTACAGGAAATTGAATAAATGAAGGGTGGTCTCTGACTCTTGCATAGTATTGTAAGAGAAAGTTAACTCTATTTAATTTAAATAATAAAATAATAGTAATGATATTAGTCATGTGATGTTATGGGCATTTGAGATTCTACATTTTGAAAGTATGTATGTCTTCCACAGCTGGCTATGCTGAACCCTATTACAAACCCACATCTGGAGCTTGCTATCGTCATGCTAATCGTTCCGTTCTTCGTTAATGTAAGTAACAGTTCAGTTGCTGTCGCTTTACAAGGCTATTAACCTACAGGCTACTGTCATGTTATATAAGGCTACTTACCTTCCCAAGCTTTAAGTTCATACCTTGTCTTTTGACATCTTTAAAGCTAATATACTCTTTGTAATAAATTATAAATTAGATACTTTAATAATAATTAATTATTATTATTATTACTTTACTGTTTCCCAATAAACAGTATTTTTATTTTAGCTGAGGCATAAACTGTATGGGAGTCTATGCCATTTTGTCAGATATTTTTCACCCTTGTGAAAATATATATATATATATATATATATATATATATATATATATATATAATTTTCCCACAAAAGTACATTTTTTTGCTGACAATCACATTTGAGTTGTTTGGTCTGTATCTGTGTGCTTCTGTGTGTGTGGCCAGGCCCTGATGTTCTGGGTAGTAGATAATTTCCTGATGAAGAAGGGCAGGACAAAAGCTAAACTGGAGGAGAGAGAGGTTGGGGACGACTCTCGTGGAAGCAGCAAAGTGCGTTACAGACGAGCCCTGTCCCACGACGACTCTGAGTCAGAGGTGAGGTTACAAATGCTAGCGAATCACCAGTAGTGCGTAGTAACAGTGATTCTTAAGAGTGCATGATAATCTGCCTTCACATCATGCAAAAACAGTATGATTCATGGTTACCTTTTGTTTTCAAGTCAGTGAAATGGTCCTTCCTGTCAAAACCACACACATCTTGGCAGTTGTCAGAAGACTGTTGGAACTTTTTGTTTGTTTGTTTGTTCTTAACTGCCTGTACTAAAATTTCATTTGAGGTAATGATGTTGGTTTTATTTGCTTAGTTCAGTCCAAACGCTTTTACTACTGCTCCAGGTCGGTAGTTAGCATGCTCCCTGCTGCATGTATGTCCATGAAGAAACAGCAGAATGGTCCATTCAGAAAGAAACTTATTAAAGCTCCACTCAGCGTTAAGACTTATGCAGCTGAGTTTAGCTTGCACTCGGGTATGAAGACATATTTGAGCAGCCTAAAAAATATTTCAGATAGATTTTATACTATTATGTAAACTTGTGTGTGTGTGTGTCTGTCTGTGTCTGTGTGTGTATATATGGAGAAATGTTTTTTCCAATTAATTTTGGACTATTTCTGTTGGTCCGTTCATCATGAAATTTTGATACAACATAAATGGCAGCTACCTTTTTCAAATTATGTCAAAAAAGGAAAATCATGGAGATATGAGTTTTTGTCCCAGCAGCAACACATAAATTTAACAATTTATGCAACCTGCTATGACAACGATTGTGTATCACTAATGGTTTTCTATTATCTTGTAGTGTGACAGGTTTCATAAATAAATAATAATAAAACAATAATAACTAAAATAGAAACAATGTTCATTTAATAAATAAGTGAAACACATACCTTGAGCTTTCCTTATTCTTATGGTATATTCAAATATTTCTGATAATATTTAATAGAATATTTGAATAATTTAATTTGGTAGTTGCAGCCCTAGTTTATTATGGCAGTTCTAAAATTTGCGTTGCTGTGTTGAATTGCTTTACCCATGCCCAGTGTTTTTCTTAACCTCTTAAACCAAAAGGACCCACACTTCCTCAATTATATAACTACATAAATTACATTGTATGTAATGTAATATGTAAACATTGTCAGAGTTTCAAAGCATACCATTTACTACCTAGTCTGTACAGTCTATAGATGGAAAAGCTACCAAAACAGCTCTTTTTGAATTTGTTTGAAATGTTATGAGAACTATATCAATTGCATATGTCCACCTATTCAGCCTACAGCAGTTTAGCTCCACCCATTCACAAATTCATGGATGTATAAGGAGAGTCTTTAGTTCTGAGTGCTTTTTAAATGAAACACAATAGAGGATAGTCAGTCAGAACAGAGATGTAAGGTTTGTTTTTTGATTCATAGGTTGACAACATTTAGCCTTTTTTGTGGAAAATGCTGACATTGATTACTTGGATGAATAAATCAGCTTATGAAGTTTAAATTACATTTCGTGTGTTAAATGGGCAGTTACATAACATGATGTCACCCGTAAACTCAGCTTTCCCTGTGCTCTGATCTGGTCTAGTCTGACTTTCTCTCTGGCTGCCTCTCTCTGTTTTTAAAAGCCTTTTCCTGTAGATCAGAGCAGTGCTTGCTCTTAGTCAGTATTTTTACTGGCTTACTAAGCAGGTGGAGCTGGGCGCGTGATTCGCCCCATAGCCTTTAGACAGAACCTCCTCCTTCTGACTCTTACACATGCAGTTATTAACTTTGGGCAAAGCTTACTGTACTTGTAAATCATTCTCTCCTCTTTACTTTTGGATCACTTAGTGTAATTCAGTTACTGCCTAGTCATTACCTAAAGATGAATTATTGGACAGGCTGTTTGCGTTAACTGCAGGTGTGTGTCAACTTTTTGTTTGCGTCAAGCATCTAGCCTTTATTTGTCTTCTTTTATAATGACTTCTATGTGAACAGTGTTGGTACGTATGAGTTGTAGCATTGTAGATTGATCTTTCTCTGAATTTACTGTTTATCTAGCTGTGCCAGATGGAAATTGTTTGTATTAACCAAAATAACTTTGAGTCATGTTTACTCAAATTCCTCTTTTTATGTAACATTTCTTTAAATAGGGTTTATATAGAGAGTAACAAATTGAGACATGTGAACTGTGCTGAAAGCAAGGCATACTTACTTTAAGTGTATCACACAATTTATATAATATATTATGTATGTTTCATAGGTATGTACTACATTCACTAATAAACCAAAAAAGTGTAAATTGTACTGGTTAAATCCACTGAGAGGTCCGTAACTCCTTGAACCACATGCTTTTTATTCAGTTATTAATTTTAAGATTTATTATTTAGTTACTGTGGTTCAGTTATTTAAAAACTACTATGGAAACTAGTATTATAAGTAATGTTGCTATGAGAGTGAACAAGTGTAGTTTGGCCTGTTAAATAGTTTAAAAGACTTTTGTGCTTATTACATTAATAATATGTTTAAGGTAGAGTGCTCGGAATACACTGTAGCAAATGGTCACATTTGAACAATGTGATATTAAGAAGTACCCAACACTGTTTAAGGATAATTTTTTTTCTGTCTTCCTGCTTTCATTTTTTTCTCTTTTGATCAGGTTTGTGTGTTTAGGCAAGCTACTATCTTGGGATGCAATGATATGGACCAGTGGAGAGATCCAGTATTTTTCATGCACATGTCTGCTGATGCCAGTACATAAACACTGAGGAAATGTAAAAGCTGGGATTACATCTAACTTAATTAGCCTTATTAAGAAATATATTGTCCATTCCTTTGGGATGAATTGGAAATTCGATTGCAAGCCAGGCCTTCTGGTCCAACATCTTTGTCTGACCTCACAAAAGCTCTACTAAGTGGGCACAAATTTCCACAGACATGCTCCAAAATCATGTGGAAAGCCTTCCCAAAAGAGTGGAGACTTTTATAGCTGCAAAGGGAACTTCATAATAATGACCTTGGTTTTTGCAAAGTGATGTCCTACAAGCTCTTATAGGTATGATGGTCGGGTGTCCACATACTTTTGGCCAGGTAGTGTGCAACATCATGGCAGTAAAATATAGATGTGTTTTAGCAGTACTAAATCAATGTCACAATCAAATATCAGTTTGAAATATTGGTCAAATCTAAACATGTTCGATCGAGCAGTGCTCTGCCAATACCAATATGATTCTGATGTCATTGTGCATACCTGTAATAGTTCCATGGTCGTTTGGACTGTAGTGCAAAAGATTTGAGTGTGCAATTTGATTTGAAATGGTTTAAATACCAGCTAATATTTTGTAGGATTGAAAAGTTAACAGTAGACTTTGTCTTATGTGTTCAGATTCTATTCTCGGCGGATGATGAAATGGAGGATTCGGACGGTGATGAGGATGTACGTAGGCTCGCTGGTCTCAAATCTGTGAAGAAGAAGAAGCACCGGCTAGGTATCCCTGTCTGATGTCAGATCAAACACTAGATTGTCCTTCATTCATGTCACCTACTCACCCTGCTGCCTTCTGCTGGCTGAATGTAGAGGACAAAATTGAGCCAGGCAATTCAACTTGTGTGCTAGGATAAGCAGGTAGGAGGAATATTGACACACCTGAACACAGAACTGCAGGTAGGAACTGATATTTAAATACCAATCATGGACCAGTTAGTTACGCTTTGGGAGCATCCTTATCATGAACTTCTGGGGGAAAAACAAGCAGCTCTAACAGCCAATCGCAATCTCTTTTTCTTCACAATGTCACAAGGCATCTTTCAATTGACTCTTCAAACAAAACAGTGATGTGTCTTTAAAAAACATGTCCTTTCAACTACTAAGCTTCATGACGAGTGGATTCTGGACCATCTTAATAAGTAAGCAGTTGGTGTGTTTGGACTGACTATATTGTGCTGGATGATTGATCCCAGCATCTCTGTTCATGTCTCTCTGAGGTCTTTGTGCACTGGAAGCAGTGCTGGTTCCTTATGCCTAGATTGGTTATCACAAAATACTGTATGGCCGACGCGGTTATTTTTGTGGAAAAATTCTGGATGTGCTTTACCACGGGCACCGAACAGCAAGATCTCACTCAGCATCTGTCCAGCCTTCAAGCACACCTGTACGTTTTTTGTCTCTTCTCATTAGTACGTTGTCCTGTCGGTGACATCAAAATTCTTACGATATTCACAGGAAATGCAAATAACATGAGTGTGCTGACCAAGATTGCTCTGGCAAAGGTTTGTTGTCTGTCTGAGTGGGTCTGTCTGTGTGTTAAACTCAGGAACAAATGGTTTGTCTGGCAGTATTATACGGCAGTGCTGTGTAACACCTTGGATATAGCAAAGAAACTGGCCTTCTGTAGCTGTCTATATATCACTTAGCTGGCTACATATAAAAAGTATGGGAATGTCCCAAAAGGTAGTCCCTTTTACATGCTTCATTTTGGGATTTTTGTGAGTTTAAGGGCAAATTTCCCAAGCAAGGATTATGCTTAATTCTGGACACAGCATTCTGAATGGAGGTTTTCCTCTAAAAGGAAAATGTAGACCAGGACTAGGCCTAATCCCTGTCCTGAAAACCAACTCTTAATGTTTGGATTAGAAATTCCATACACCTCAGAGATTTTGTGTACCTGTGTGTTTTCGTCTTTCTTGTGGTGTTTTACATGTGTGTATTTATTTGTATGTGGCCTTCTGGTTTTGCAGTGTTTTTTTGTTATTGTTTGTTTGTTTGTTTGTTTTCATGCCAAGTTGGAAATTGGGTACAGGATTCCTCTTTCAACTTTTGCACAATTCCTTTAAGCACTGTGGTCATTGGATATTCCATTATTTATGTAAAATGCTTTCTGAGAGCTTTTTGTTATGCCTATGTGTTCTGTTTTTGTTAAGGCTTGCAGCAATGGGGAACCATTTTCTCTAATCCAGTGTGTTTTTTGTTTGTTTCTGGTCATGTATTGCAAGTTTTCCTTAATCCTTTAAGGTTCTTATCCTAGTAAAAGGGTTCTGGAGCTTTTGGGAGTTCTCTGCCTATGATAAAGCACAGATAATTTTATGGGAGTTCTTCTGCATCATGTTTTCTCAACAGCAAAATTCATAACTTAAAGGAGCTGTGCCAGCTTTTAGGCATCCTCTGTAGATTGTAGCTTTTTTCCCCCCTGAGGGAAACTGAGAGGGACATACAAAATGGGCATGCCCTCGTGTGGTGTACCCGTTTACTGCCGCCAATTGTTTCTGGTGTCCGCTCTCATCCTCAAGCTAATGGACCAAGTGTTGTGCGTGTGAGTGCGTTCTGAAGTCTCAGAGACAAATTAATACTATGGTTTTGTGTCTGGCCTGCTGGTTTACAAAAGATTACTGTGATGATTTTCAGCACTGCTGATAAATAATGGTGACAAATGGAATGGAACTTTTCTTTGATAAAGACTCACTTTGTTGGAGTTTGAACAACAAAGTTACAAAATGGAGAGGGGGCTTGAGTACTAAACATACTAAATGATTGAAATTACTGACAACTTGCATTATCATTATATATGCTTTTTCAATAAACACTGTAAAAATATAAATTCTCTGCTTATTTGTTCATGGCTGGTTAGATTGTGTTATGCTGCTTTTAAAGCATCTCTGCATTTCAAATGCGACTCTGTGTGTTCAGCAGTTTTGTGAAAAGGTAATTCCCTGACCGGGAATCGAACCCGGGCCGCGGCGGTGAGAGCGCCGAATCCTAACCACTAGACCACCAGGGATCTGGATTGTCTTCTGGCAGCTGTAGTAACTCTGTGTAAGATGAGAGGCATATGGCATGTGATTTAGAGCAGTGTTTCTAAACCCTGGTATTAGAGGCACGCTGCCCTGTATGGAGCGCTGCTGGTGACATCCTGTATAAATAAAAACTCATTAGGATCTCATTCCCACATTTCATTACAATATGGCCACACATTATTTTTATTCATACAGGATGGCACTTTTATAGTGGGTACGTTAAAAGAGGATAAGCACCAAAATGTGCAGGGCAGTGGGCCTACAGGACCGGTCCAGAGAAACACTGATTCTGAGAATAGCATGAATTATGAGTGTCTCACTGACTGGTCTAAGGCAGTGGTTCTCAAACCGGTATTCAGGGACCCCTAGAAGATCCAACCCTACTCGCAACCACACCTAGGGACAGAGGAAAAGTGTGGACCACCTGGACTTCACTGAGGACCACTTTGAGGGCTGCTGATCTGAATAAAACCCCTCGGATACCCTGGAATATGCAGTTGATTATCCAGTCCGGAAGGCAAGAACCTTAGATGAGGGCCTCTGTTTTCTATGTTGCAGATCTCTGCAGATATTCTGACAAATTATGCCACATTACATTGCTTTGCTTTTCTGAACAAATTGTGGATATTGTCAGTTGTTCAAGAACACTGTTATAATTATATATAATTAGTTTACTTGGATTTTGTGCAGCACAGTCAATAAAAATCCCTGTATTCATAGTTTTTGAGGAGTACTACTGGTTCTTTTTTTTGTTCCAACTCATTAAACCTCAGGGAAAAACTAAGTATTGTGATACTTATTGAGTTTCATGAAAATGTCTTTTAAGTGTTGTAATGTTATGTTTTTGCCATATTGCCCACCCCTAGTCTAGAATGTGTTTGGATGGCAGGGGAAATGCCACTTTCATATTTTCATGCCACATTCAGCCACATTGACCTCTGTTAGTGTGAATCAGTCATGTGTTCAATGCATTGTACCGAGTTGAGAGTTTACTAGGTTTACCCTGCATGTTCACACAAATTGTACATTCCAATACAGCAAAATAACCAACCAGCTCAACATTTCTAGCATCAGTTAGTGCGCAACTGAGTGTTGGAATGGACAAAAGTGACCTGGGTGACTTTAAACATTGCATAATTTGCCGTTAAGTGTGCAGGGTGCCATCCTGGGTTCTTCATGCACAGCCATTTGCAGGGGTTAACAAGAATGGTGTGAGAAGCAAAAACAGCTTGTGGGTCAAAGGCGCATGACAGGAAATCTGCAAGCAACCCGACACACTACAACCAGGCAAATGACAACTGAATTCAACATCGGTGTGTAGAATGTCATGTTGGGACATACCACCTTGTCAAAAACCGGGCTGGGTGCCAACGATGTCTGCTAAGAACAAGAAAGCCTGTCTCCAGTGTGTACAGGAGTGTAATAGTGAAACTTTTAAGGAGTGGAGAAAAGTTGCCTCATCAGACGAATCCAGATTATTTTTGCATCAGCTAGATGGAGGGATCAGAGTTTGGAACAAGCAGCTTTAATCAATGGAGTCAACATCAGAGGTTCCTGATGGCAGGATGACGATCAGAATCAGAGTTAATTGTGCAAAAGTATGTTTGGACATACAAGGAGCTTGTCATCAGTTACGCAGTCACAAGTAACTCAACGTGCGTATGTGCAGCAATTGTTCATGAGTGTAAAAGTGTGAGGTAAGAAACTTTGCTTGAGCGAAGCGTCGCCCTGAAGGGAGAAGCTGAAACCGGTGATGAGCCAGGTGTGACAGGTCAGCAATGATATTTTTTTTTTTTCTGCATGCTTTCTAGTTCTGGACGTGTGCAGATGAAGCAGTGTGGTAGATTATCATTGGTCTTTTCTGCAAAGCTGCAGAAGACTGGTGGAAGTGGTGATGACCAACTGTATAATGTGTGTAGAACTGAAATGGTAGCTCTTGAGGTTGAGCTTCTTTAGCTGCTGCAGGAAGTACCTCCTTTGCTGTGCTTTTTTTTGTGATGTTGCTGTCCCACTTCAGGTCCCTGATGATTAATTTCCAGGAGCTTAAACTAGCTCCACTGTAATTTTGTGAAAAGGTGTTTCCCTGACCGGGAATCGAACCCGGGCCGCGGCGGTGAGAGCGCCGAATCCTAACCACTAGACCACCAGGGAGTTGTGCTGCTTTTGAGTATGTGTAGGACTGGGGGCACTTGCCAGCTGACTCTAACTGGGATACCCCTAGATCTGAAGTGAAGTGAGAAATCTGGTCCTTGAGAGCCGGATTCCTGTGGAGTTCCTGCACAAATAGAAATTGTGAAGTGATTCTTGGACTCCACAGATTTCTGCTTGCAGATCAGGGGCCAGGGCCTTTGTATGGCCATCACCATACACAACCTGTCAATACCTCAACACATTATTGTAACACCAGCCAATGAAATTAGTCACAGGACTGAAATAAACTGGGAAATGTTATGTTTTGTGTCAGTGTGAATTTGTCACCAGTGAGTGATGTGTTCTGTTAGATCCTAACTGGTTTTAACTGGAACAAATGAAAAAGTGAATTTCTCCAGATGCCATCCAGTCAGGTTTTTGAAATGTGTTGAGATTGCTGACAATTATCAATGCTGGAATGCACATCAAGCAGTAGAAATAATGTCAAAAAGAAAATGTTTGCATTCAAAACATGTACAAATGTACAGCAGAAGATGAGTAGTTGAGATTTTCAAAAAACAGTATTAGACCTGTTATCATCTATAGTTCGTCTTGACTCAGAACTAGCCTACAGGTCTGCATTTGCATTTATCCTGAACATTCAAATCTTCCTGCATTTTAGTAAAATACCCTGCAGCTGCCAACAGTTGGAGAGGAAGGTGATTTGCTTCTAAAGCCAAGTTTACCAGATGTGATGTAACCTTTTGTCTTTCCGGATGGTGAACGTGGAAAAATATACCTGATGCGTTTCAGTTGTTCCTGCATAAGTGAGAAAAGTGCAAGCATCTTTTATGTGTAACAAAGAAAAAGCTGTATGACCTCTAAGCATTCTTTGACTGTGTTGTGGGTGTATCTTCCAACATGCTCTCAAACAGAGTGAAGTCATATTTACTTATTAAACATCTCGGCCTACCAATTAGCTAGCTAACATAAGAAGGTGATTTATTGTTAAGCTAAATAAATATCACATTACTACATCAAATATATGGGTTATGGTTACTGGATTGTCTAACAAGCAGCAGACAGCAGGGCTCTTTACCAATGACTATGTGTCATGATGTCTTTAAAGAACATCATTACCAAAGGTGGTGAGTCTGCCTACAGAAAGGAGGTTGAGCAGCTGTTCTTCTGGTGCAGCAGCAACCATCTATTCCTGAACCCACAAAAGACTGCAGAGATGGTGGTGGACCTCTCCCTACACACCCTACATCAGCGTCTCTGTGGTTTCCACTGTGGAGTCTCTCTAGTTTGTGAGGCACCACCATATTCCTCACAAAAACAAGCCGAACCTGCATAATCAGAACAGCGGAGAGGATCATTGGATGTAGTCTGCCAGTGCTTCACAACATCCACAACAGCTGGGTGATGAAGCACACTGGCAAGATTACAGCTGACCCCTCTCATCCTGGGCATCCCCTCTTCCAGCCTTTTCCATCTGGTAGAAGATTCAAGGCCAACAAGCCAGCACAACCAGACATGCTAACAGCTTTTTCCCCCTAGAGCTGTAGTGCTCTTCAGCCACAGTGGTTACCTCGCAGTTTAAACTTAAACTGAATCAAACCACCCTTTCTGTATAATTGTGTTTCATAATACTTATGTGCACAACTATACAAATGTACACTTTTATGAATGTTTATCTTTTTTGCAATATACTGTATATAATAGTTATGATATTATAGGTCTCCTTAGACCCTGCACATATGTATATATTCATTTAAACCTCAATCCTAACCACTAGACCACCAGGGATTTGGCTGTAGCATTCCTACCTGGATCATCTGTAAAGCTGTAAGAACACCTGTTGGTCCTATTGTAAACCTCAGCCTTCCTACCTACCTATATAACTAATGAATTTAACTCTGTTAGAGAGATTAAGCTTTATTCTAATATTCATCTACAAACAATATTAACAAATGAATAGCTTAGTAAATGATTGATATTACTGGTATATATAACATTATTATATGACATTCTTATCAAGGATGATCTGTAATATACTGATGATCTGTAATATACGCTATTAATGTTTCAAAGAGATTCCACTCTAATTAGTGGTAATTTTGTGAAAAGGTGTTTCCCTGACCGGGAATCGAACCCGGGCCGCGGCGGTGAGAGCGCCGAATCCTAACCACTAGACCACCAGGGAGCTGGGTATAAAATTTGGAAAATCACAGTGTAACCCTAAACAGCACAGCTCTGTCCATAATACAGAAGTGAGAGTCATTCTAACCAGATAGCCCTCACACTAGTTTAAAATGAATTAGCTTTAAAGGGACACACACCCCCCCCCCAGACCTGAGGCTGAAACCAAATGGACTAGGGCATATATTCCTAATGCATTCCTCAACTGACACAGTCAATCAGAGCACAAGGCACAGTGGCTCAACATCTATTCTTAGCTTGCTCTCCCTAAATACACCCCTCACACACACTGAAGAACTCCAGTCATTCACAAAGGCTGACTCATGCTCCCAGAAGAGTGTCCTGTTATTTTGTTTTGCTGTGTGCAGGCTGATGTGTCTCCTCCTGCTTTTGGAAAGTGCTATGATCACTGTGGACGCCCCTGTCATTTCCCATTTTTACAGCTGCCTGTCATAAGGGGTACTTCAGGAACTGCTCATTCGACAAAATATCAATCTAAAATAATAAACGAATTAGCATACTTTCATTTGAAGAAACATTAAACTAGGATTCGGGCTTTGGTTGTGATACAAGAATGAATCTATTCTTAAGAACTTTTCATAACTGTTGTGTGATCCTGCTTTGATATTTTTATAGCATCTTAGTACACTCTCAGAAAAAAAAGTAGTAAACTGTCACTGGGGTGGTACCCTCAAGGGTACATCTCAGTACCTTTAGGCAGGGAACATAACTGCACCATAATCCATTGAAATTATATTTTCTAGGTTGTATAGATTCCACACACCCCGTCTCATCTCCAGGTTTTTTATTTTATTGTTGTGTTTTAAAACATGTATATAAATATGAACATGTATATAAATATGAATATATAAATATGAACTTTTCACCTGGAAAAACTTATTTAAGCTACACAATTGGAGCTTAAAACCACTGTAGTACCTTTGAGGGAACATGTACTGCACAGAACCCTTTTTTCTAACACTGTAGCATCAAATTAGTTTGAAGTTTCATAAGGCTCAATTAGATCATTTCCAGGGACCAAACTAAGTCTGTCCTGTGGAAAATCCTTGTTTGTTTTAATGAAGGCCATGCTCGAGCTCTTCAACTGGATACTCAGTCTCTTTTTACCTTACTGTACATTACTCTGCAAAAGTCTAAGACCACCCTTCCTATTTGATTTAATGTCAAAACAGACGCTAAGTATGTTATTTATTTTTCAGGAGATTCTTTTGGAGATTACATATAAAATAATCCACTTGCATAACAAGGGAAAACTCAAAGTAAAAGAAGACAATGGGACACGTAACAACCATGCAAAACCTGGTAAAACCAAAAGTTTAATCGTCAGAAAAAGAGCACTTAAAAGCTTTTATCTTTGAAAGAGAGGAGAAAATCAAGCTCCACTCTTGCTTCAGAACTGAAAAAATCCACAGGTCTCACTGTCCATTCACTGAGAGAAGACATCTCAACACTGTTGGTTTGAAGCTGTTACTGAGAAAAGGAAATAGACTAGAATAGAAGCTGCTGGTGTTCTCAGAACAATGGACTGACCACTGCAGAGTCCAAACCTTAACATCACTGAATGTTTTTGGGGATTACTTGGATTGTGAGAAGCAGAAAATGCTAAACCAACTTCTAAGACTGAACTTTGGAGGTGTGGAAAAATTTCCTGCAGATTTCTCCAGAAAAGAATGGATGTTGTAAAAGTAAAAGTAAAGAGTGGACACTCTAAATACTGAAAAAACGCTAATATATTGTCGCTGTCCAAAGAAAAACATGTATGTCCATTTTTTTTTTTTTTACTTTTACTTTTCTACAGCATTTGAACATGGCAACTACCCTTTACACTGTGTGAAAATTTCATAAGGATTTGGCCAATAGAAATGCTCCAAAATTGCTGGGTATAAAATCTCTTTACATTAACTTACAATGAAAGTAAAGAATGTTTTTGCCTTCTCCTGTAAAGTGACCATTTTGGACAGCGACTATATGTAGTTGTTGAGACTTTCTGTTACATACACGTTTTCATTTTTTTCCTAATGCTGAAAAATGAGTAACCTGTTTTTAATGGACATTTGGGCTAGAATTGCAAGACATTAAGGGTGGTCTCTGACATCACTTTATGTGTAATATATACAAATGTATCATAATGGAAAAAAAGCATGTTATGTCAGTCATTTCATTACGGGAGGGTACGGGTGAGGTGATGGCAGGAGAATGTTTTGTGTTTTATTTGTTCAGCTGTTCATAGTGAGCATGCTCAATGAGAGGGATCACCCCCTTCAGCCTGAACGGTCACTGACGTCATGTCTAATAATATACCATGATAACGGAAAGAGAGATACAGGACCCGAGAGAGGATATCAGTGAAGGCAAGATATATAAAGAGCAGGACAGAGAAGAGCGAAAGAACAAAAACGGTCAGCTTGCTGCTGGTCAGGACCACACGAACACACAACATGTCTCAGGTACGTGCTTAAGTTCTTAAAATTAAAAGTACCAAACAGGGTTCTTTGGGGTAATACTGCTTTTGAAAAATCACCTTTGGTTCCCAAAAGATCCCTCCAGTGGATGTTTTATTAAAGAAAATGTAATTAAGGCCTTCTTTCATTTTCATTGTCTCCTTCTTCCCATTAGCCAGGAGAAGTGAAGAAAAAGAAGCGGCCTCCCTTTAAGGAGGAGGACTTGAAAGGAGCGCGCAGTAAGCTGGGGCTGAAGGGAGAGGTGAAGAGTAAAACATATGAGGTCATGGTGGAGTGTGGTGAGTGCTGTTTATACCAAACCTGCATGGAAATACAGGCTGACAATTTTTTTTCTTATAACATCTTTACATTTATTACTAATTTCCCAGTTGCTTTTGGTAGGTTAAGAAAACTTTCTGAAGTCATTCTTTGGACCTTCGGTCAGTGTTTTGAAAGTGCCTAAAGTATCCTGTTTACATGTTTGCCCATTTTTGCTATTGACCTTCAGATATCAAGCAGAGCTGGCTTTAATAATTCAAAAGTATCATGATATAAAACACTTCAAATAAATCAATACTTAAATTAATAAATTAAATTCATTCATTCATTAATACAGTTAATGAAACTTCTTTCATTGCATATTAGTTGAATTAGATGGAGTGTATTCAGTAGCTCTTTCTGTTTCTCTCTCTAGAGCATATGGGCAAAGTGGCTCCATCCGTGTTTAGCGGGGTGCGTTCCGGAGCAGAGACGGCATTGGAGAAACCCAAACCTGCAGCAGGAAGTGTGTTTGGCAAATGAGGATGTCAATAAAGAAGAGGCATCAGAATGAAGAAATATGTATTAAAGGAAAAGATGAATGAGCCAGTGCTGTAAGAAATTAAGATGGTCTGGAGGACAAACTCCAGCCTTTGGTCAGTGAGGTTTATTTGACTTTATTTGATTTTATATACATATATATATATTGGGGCCCACTTGATTGAACTGCAACATGAACCGGTGTTTAAAAACACTGACTTGTTAAAATGTTACGTGTATATTCTCTGTTCACTACTATATGTTCACTTTTTTAAAAAAGAAATGCATATGTATTTGCCAATTTCTAGTCTTATGTTTTATACATTAAAGTTTGAACATTGTAACAGTTTACAACTGTGTTCTTTTCTTTAGGACCAAAAATGTTAAATTTAAGTACAAATGTTTTAGTGTGAATTTAGTACAAGGTTAGAAAATCATAGTTGTCAGCAGCGATAATTCATAAATCACAACATACTTCTCTATGAGTTCTCTGTGAATTCTATATTATGAATAGACTTTAATGCTCCTACTGCCCCAAGCATGGCACTTCTGCTGAAATGGAGCCATTCATTCATTCATCCATTCACTTTTTATATTATTATAATAAGTCATACTGCTAAAAACTGCCAATCTTATGTGCGCTTGATAGTTATAAGTAGTTTTTAAGTCCTGTTTTTAAACTCGAGCTATTAAGCTGGGTCGATGTCTATATAATAATGTATACATTTACTCTCTATCGATGAAAAGAAAGCTACTTTCAAGTATTCACTAAATTTCTGTGCAACATCTGCATCAGTTCCATGTATAAACTAAGCAACATTCCTTTTATTGTTTAACTATTACATTTTTAAAAATTGCAGAAACACATTCATTTTGATCAAAATTCTTCCTTTTAAGACAAATTCTATAGTAACACACAACTTCTCTAAACAGTTGAGAATCATGTATAATTTTTATTCTGACAGTATAATGTAGCTCATTCATCATGTACTCTTATGACTGTCACTAAATGCCTCAATATGCATGTGAACTGTAGTCTTCTGAAATGCAGACATTCTCTCTCAGTTGGTCTTGAAGAGGCCAGAGACAGTGTAGTCTGTGAGGTCTCCATCAATGAGCCCAGTGCCGTTATTATGAATGAACCAGCAGGGCACATTTTCTCCATTCTTCACATCATTTCTGAAGTCTTTCTGCCAGCCCCTATTAACACAGAGTCATGAGGTATAGAGTTTGCGTCAGGTATAGTCTATTGTAGTCTACGTGGAATTGAAACGCTGAAGCCTGTTATGCAGGAAATATGGTTTGCATTCATGTTGTGCTTTGCATAGTAAGCTCCAGTTTGCAATGCACTATCAAAACTTGCTGCTGAAACAGGGTTTTCAAGCAACAAAAGATAAGATAAAGATATATGAATTTCATTCCAAGTAGATTTTTTATTGGAATAATGTCATTTGGAATGTAATTTACACAGCCAATGAGTAGTCTAGACTGTGGAACAGGCATGCTTATTTCTCTTTGTACTGTAAAATTTACATTATGTATTTATATATTTCAAGACCTCGTTTCCAGTGTAAGCAAATGTTTAATGGATACTGTATATTCATATAAATCATAAACAGCATCAGTAAATATGTATTTGGTGGTTTGCATTCACCTTGTGACTACAAGCCTGTGTCCCTTCACGAACATGAAGGCATCGTGTTTGTCCGCATCCTTCCCAGGAAAGAGCTCGCTCACCTCAAACTGTACACCATGATAGAACTGTCCTATAGAGGGAAGGAGAACAAAGTCTGAAGCATCTGGACCTTCAAGCTGTAACAGTCCATGCTTAAACTGTCAGATAAATGAATGAATGAAGGAATGAATGCTTATATTCTTTGGTTATCAGAAGTCCTTTTCACCAAAAATGCACTAAAGTAACTTTTACAAAAAGAGAAAGTTGAACTTGGCACGATTCATTGGTCCTGTAATGTTGACTGTGTACACAAAGTTCGCCAAAGTTTGCTGCTGTTGTTTTCCTAAGTGAAAATAAGTTAACACATCCTCTACAAGAAACAAACTTAAATTTGCAAATGTTGCTGCATTGTGCATACTTTGTTTATTTGCTAGGTTTCCACATATTGTAAAAAATAAAGCATAACATACACTGACCAACCACTTTATTAAGTACACCTCTTTGTTTCTACATTCACTGTCCATTTTATCAGCTTGATTTACCACATAGGTGCACTTTGTACTTCTACAATTACAGACTGTAGTCCATCTGTTTCTCTGCATACTTTTTTAGCCCATATTCACCATGGTCTTCGGTGGTCAGGACCCCCACAGGACCACCACAGAGTGGATATTACTTGGGTGATGGATCATTCTCAGCACTGCAGTGACACTGGTGGTGATGGTGTGTTGGTGTGTGTAGCGCTGGTACGAGTGGATCAGACACAACAGTGCTGCTGGAGTTTTTAAACATCTCAGTGTCACTGCTGGACTGAGAATAGTCCACCGACCAAAAATATCCAGCCAACAGCATCCTGTGACCACTGAAAACTGAAAACATGAAACTGTGTAGCAACAGATGAGCTAATGTCTCTGAGGTGGTGGACTAGCAAGGTGGGTGGGCCTAATAGAGTGGACAGTGGGTGGACAGAGTGTTTAAAAACAACAGCAGCACTGCTGTGTCTGATCCACTTGTACCAGCACAACATATACTAACACTCCACTGCCACGTCAGTGTGACTGCAGTGCTGAGAATGATCCACCACCCAAATAATACCTACTCTGTGGTGGTCCTGTGGGGGTCCTGACCATTGAAGAACAGGGTAAAAGGGGGCTAACAAAGTATGCAGAGAAACAAATGGACTGTACAGTGTGTTACAGTCTGTAACTGTAGAGCCACAAATGCTCCTATATAGTAAGTGGAGCTGATAAAATGGACAAACAAGGAGGTGGTTTTAATGTTACAGCTGGTTGGTGTATACTTCAGATGTGACATCACAAAAACAATAACTATCGTATCATATCATATTGCCTTGCCTCTACTCTGAAGGGTGTCCCAACTGAGATATGTTACCAGGGTTGTGCATCTATATGGTACATGGACCTGATAAAATGGACAATGAGTGTAGAAGCAAGGAGGGGTACTGAATGAATGTTAAATACAGCAAATAAACAGTTATTGTCCATCACAATGTGCAGAAGTGTGTTCTCTGTAGATGTGCTGTGTTAACTTTTTAGTTAACCACTTTTAGTTCATTCTTGTTTTTAGCTGTAGGTACTCCATTGTACAAAAGCAAACCCTACTAAAAACCTGTCAGTTTCAACACAGCTTCAAATAATAAACTTATCACTGAAAACCTTTACTTTGAAGGAGAGAACCAGTGTCTAAAAGAAGGAAGCAAAACAACCTAACCTGATTGGTTAGTTTGTAGTTTTTACAGCACATATGCTTAGCTTGCTAAATTAGCTGTATTAGCTATTGCGCTATCTAGCACATTTCCATACTACCTGCTAGCCAACCAAGTTGTTTTGCCTCTTTCCTTTAAACATCACGTTTACCACTTGTAGAACCTTGTTCTCTCATTCAGACTGAAGGTTTTTGTATCAAGAAAAAATTGTAATTTGATGCTGTATCAAACCTTACTATGCTAACTATGCTAAGCTATGGGAGAACAGTGTTGCAATAAGTAAATTTGGAAATGAAAAGTTTTATTTATATACCATTTAGTTGGTGGTTCCTAATTTGATCAGTTTTGTTCATGTTTCTTTCTTAGGCTGAAATGTCATTAAACTTAAGTCTCGAGCTGAAGTTGAGTTGAGTCATTTAAGGGCGAGTATGTGAGCTGACTCAAGTCCCCACCTCTGGTTTACAACCCTCCGTAGTCCAGCTCAAAATTTCTCTTATACTCAGCTGAAAATTGCAATGCATGAAATTCATCATAATACAAATATCTCTTTCAGTTTTCCAGTTCTGTGGTGGTCTTACCAAGTAGGCCATGGACTCTTTGGGAGAAGAGGTGGCTGTCCAGGGTGTAGAAGCCCAGGTAGTCCTGGTGGTAGGGGTGCTTCTTCCACACTTTGTGCAGGATGATAACAAACTTCACCGAGTTCTTTAGTGTCACTGTTAGACTGCGATCTTTGGTTACTTGCAGGTCCATGCTGGAAGAAAGAGAAAATGAACTTCAGTTATGTTGATTAAATTGACTAAATTGATTAGTCATGTTGACTTACACATTGACTTGATCACATCAAACAACATACTTTTAAACCATTGATCTCAATGGACAAGATAAAACAAGATGGTTTACTCGGTTTATTGGACAGGTGAAAAGGAGACCCTCCCCACTCCCTGACCAGCTCAGACATGAGAAAAATGCTGCAAATATGTAATTTATACCCCACAGATGACTTTATAGCAAGAACAATTTAATGTTTAAAAAAATACAAACTGCTAATCTGGTGATCTGGTAGAGTAATTGAATGTGACTATTTTAATTGCTTTGTGTAACTGTCAAGTTGCATGGAAATATGTTCTGTGTGACCCATAACTACTTCCACCTAGTTGCATGAAAACTTCAGTGTGTAAAGCCAGACTTACGCATTCCCAGTAACTGTTGAGCACTTCTTACAGTACTAATGTAACAAAACATTTTTCATTTCACAGTTAACACTATAACATGTAAATAACTATTTAAAGATAGGGAAGCTGTACACTTAGATTGGTCTTAATAGAACTGTTATTCATTCATTCATCCATTCATTAATTTATTTTCATTTATGTTGTTCATTTATGTGAAGTTAATCTACCATGCTCTTTAGTGTCCTTCTCTCAAGTGTTCCAAATTGTCGGTGTTTTAATTAAACCCAGATTTAATTAATCCCCCAAAAAAACAAACCCAAGGTATGAACCAAGCTGTGGGTGTACAACACTAGTATATAGGCATGCAAGCAGATCAAAAATAGTTGTTAACATCTGCATTCAAGGACTGCCAGCAGCAAGATTGCAGTATCCTACTTACTTGAGGCCTTTGACAGAGGTATTGTCAGACCAGAAGAGTTTTGCCTGTTTGCCATGTTCAGACACAAAGATCTCCTGTGTGGACACCATTAATCTGATACCAAACTTCTCATGAATGATCCCAAATCGCCCAAAGTAGGTGTTCTCTTTGCTAGCAGGGTTCACCTTCTTGTCTCCAATGGTTTGTCCATTTACTACGGTGCCTGTTAAGAAAAAGTTAGATGTTAGAGAACTCTCACAAAGGACTCCTACAGTCCAAACATTTTTGCATACCACCACATGCTCACCTGTCAGAGGGTCTTTGACCAGGTTGAAGATGGTACCTGGTTTGTCATTGATGTTGAAGCACAGTGCATCATTTTTATCTGGTAACTCGATGATGAAATGTGGATCTCCATCAACTGTCAACAAAATAGTTTAGTTACCTTTTGTTTGAGTGTTTGGTTACTATGTAGAAGGTTTAATAAACATGATTACCCCAATTTATAGGTGATGAAAAATAACTATAACCGGTTGGAACAGTTTGACCTAGAATCAGATGAAGCAGAAAAACAAAATGGTTGTTTTCTTATTTCCATTTCAAATCACATTTGCTACGCAACAGAGATGACACTGAAGCTCAGAATAACAATGTAGTCTTTAAAATCTATTGAATGGGTTGAGTTCTTACTTGGAGTTGAAACGCCTGTATGCTGATCTGTGAATCAATGCAAAACAGATTGTTAGTGATACAGCACTTAATGATATGGCTTTCCATTTCAAATCACATGTGTTATGCAATAGAGATGACACTGAAGCTCAGAATAACAATGCAGTCTTTAAAATCTATTGAATGGGTTGAGTTCTTACATGGAGTTGAAACGCCTGTATGCTGATCTGTGAATCAATGCAAAACAGATTGTTAGTGATACAGCACTTAATGATATGGCTTTCCATTTCAAATCACATGTGTTATGCAATAGAGATGACACTGAAGCTCAGAATAACAATGCAGTCTTTAAAATCTATTGAATGGGTTGAGTTCTTACATGGAGTTGAAATGCCTGTACGCTGATCTGTGAATCAACGCAAAACAGATTGTTATGCAAAGACATATAGTGCCAAGACAAAGGTTCTGAACAAAGTTTCTCATAGACAGTAGAGTGTCTTTGGGAAATAGTCACTACAGCACTGTGCAAAAGTCAGTGAGCACACTTCATTGATCTAATTTTCAGTAAAAATGACCATTAAAGACAATTTATCCATTTTTTTAGGATCAGGGAAAAAAAAACAAAAAAAAAACACAAAAAACAGAAAACATATATTTAATAAGAAAACATTTTAAAAATTATAACTAAATATCATTTTTCCACTATTTGATGTGTCCACCTTTTGCCTTAATTACAGCATCCACTCTTTTTGAAAGACTTGTTATAAGTTTTTCAAAGTAATCTGACAGTTCAGTCTTAGAAGTTGGTTCAATTTTCTCCCTCTAACGATATACGCTATATTGCCAAAAGTATTCGCTCCTCTGCCTTCTCACGCATATGAACTTGAGTGAGATCACATTCTTAATCCATAGGGTTTAATATGATGTCGGCCGACCCTTTGCAACTATAACAGCTTCAACTCTTCTGGGAAGGCTTTCCACAAGGTTCAGGAGTGTGTTTACGGGAATTTTTGACCATTCTTCCAGAAGCGCATTTGTGAGGTAAGACACTGATGTTGGACGAGAAGGCCTGGCTCGCAGTCTCCGCTCTAATTCATCCCAAAGATGTTCTATCGGGTTGAGGCCAGGACTCTGTGCAGGCCAGTCAAGTTCTTCCACACCAAACTTGCTCATCCATGTCTTTATGGACCTTGCTTTGTGCCCTGGTGCACAGTCATGTTGGAACAGGAAGGGGCCAAACTCCCCGAACTGTTCCCACAAAGTTGGGAGCATGAAATTGTCCAAAATCTCTTGGTCTGCTGAAGCATTAAGAGTTCCTTTCACTGGAACTAAGGGGCCGAGCCCAACTCCTGAAAAACAACCCCACACCATAATCCCCCCTCTATCAAACTTTACACTTGGCACAATGCAGTCAGACAAGTACCGTTCTCCTGGCAACTGCCAAACCCAGACTCATCCATCGGATTGCCAGATGGAGAAGCACGATTTGTCACTCCAGAGAACACATCTCTACTGCTCTAGAGTCCAGTGGCGGCGCTTTACACCACTGCATTTAACGCTTTGCATTGCGCTTCGTGATGTAAGGCTTGGATGCAGCTGCTCAGCTATGGAAACCCATTCTATGAAGCTCTCTACACTGTTCTTGAGCTAATCTGAAGGCCACATGAAGTTTGGAGGTCTGTAGTGATTGACTCTGCAGAAAGTTGGCGACCTCTGTGCACTATGCGCCTCAGCATCCGCTGACCCCGCTCTGTCGTTTTACGTGGCCTACCACTTCGTGGCTGAGTTGCTGTCGTTCCCAATCGCTTCCACTTTGTTACAGTACCACTGACAGTTGCCTGTGGAATATTTAGTAGCGAGGAAATTTCACGACTGGCATCCTATCACAGTACCACGCTGGAATTCACTGAGCTCCTGAGAGCGACCCACTCTTTCACAAATGTTTGTAGAAGCAGTCTGCAGGCCTAGGTGCTTGGTTTTATACACCTGTGGCCATGGAAGTGACTGATTCAATGATTTGGATGGGTGAGTGAATACTTTTGGCAATATAGTGTAAGTAATCCCAAACACATTCAGTGATGTTGAGGTCTAGACTCTGGGTGGCATCTATTGTTCTGAGAATACAAGCAGCTTTTAGTTTAATTTGCAAATGTTCTTGTTTTTGTCTATTTCCTTTTCTCAGCAAGGCCTTTATGGCAGCTACAAATCCCTTCAGACCCTTTCAGAGAAGTTTTCTCACAGTGGAAGGATGGACAGAAACACCTGTGGATTTTTTGAGATCTGAAGCAAGAGTGGAGCTTGATTTTCTCGTCTTTCTCCAAGACGAAAGCTTAAAGTTCTGTTTATCTGATGGGGACAATTTTGTTGGTCAACCAGGTCTTGCACAGTTATGAGGAGCCCCATTTTCTCTATATTTTTTAAAGATGTTTTGAAATCAGTTTTGGAAACTCTCCTGACAAATAAGTAACTTATACTTAATGGTTGTTTCTGACAGAATATTAAACATTAAAACAGCTTTAAACATTTGGATAAACATTGAGATTTTTGTTATACCTTCAGTTAACTTCTCAGCAATCATAGTGTCCTCTGGCTTTTCATCAGTTTCAGGCTTAGTGACCACCATAGAGGTCAGCGGGGTGACAAAGTTATACTTCAGCGAGAGTTCCAGTGCTTCAGCCGTGGCGTTCACCTTCTCTTCAGATGTACCCTTGTCTCTGTGAGTAAATGGGAGTCTTATTTTACAATATATGGATGGAAATGTACTTGTTGGGATACATTTCCCTACTTTAATCATTCAAAGACCACACAGCATGTCTTTTCCCCCCACTTCTGTGATTTTTCATGTAATAACTGAACATTTTTTCAATTAATGAAGAAAAATGGCTGGTATAAATGAATGTACCTTTATAAATTCAAGCCGTTTTCACACTCACTTTTTATCCAAGAGCTGTTGGATGGTCAGATATGCCCAGAGACGCTCTGTGAAGTCTCCAAAAATGTACTCTTGATCAGGAAAAATGGTATCCCACTTCTGAGCAGTGGCCTGACCTTTTATCACAAAGTCATTCTCTTCCTGGTGAAAAAGACAGAGATTACATAAGAGCATTTCAGATGGAAAAATTCTTATTTTCACTGGACAGAAAACTAACGTTTAAACACATCCCCTACAGAGAACACACTTCTGCACATTTTAATATACAATTACTATGTAAATGTGTACAGTGAGTGATTTTTAAAGAGTTGATGCCTTATTGTCCTTTAAAGTTTCATGTCTCACCCCCTGAGCCGAAACTTCCACTGCAAAATCGTTCATCTCGATGTCGTTCAGTCGGCCTGCGACCACAATCTCAGAGCCGTTGAAGAACTGCTTGAAGTAGCTGCCAGTCAGGGAGTTCACCGTGTCTTCTGGGTATTTAAAATGCACTTCTGATAGGAGAGGACTTGCCACTTCATTGTAGAATCCCTTTACATAAACAATATTAGCAAGATGAGCAATGTCCATCATGTGTTTAACTTGATACATCTTCTCACTATCAGTAAAAAATAGCTTGATGCCTTTTTTGGTTACGAAATACAGCGCCAGTCATCAAAATAAGCACTTGGGGACGCAGACAGAACGCTATTGCAATGAAACAGGGGTTCAGGTCAAAAACAGCAGAATTATCATTTAAGGCCCAGTTAAATACAGCAGGTTCCTACCTGCAGCTGAAGAACAGCATCTGATGCCTCATAGATCCTGCGAGCCAGACCATCATTCTGCTTGGCCATCACATCCAGAAAATTATAGTCCACATCATAGCCAAAGCCCAAGCAGAAGAGGCTCATGTTTCCACCAATGGCATCCTGGACATTCTCTTGAATCTTGGACAGACGACCTTCACCTAGAAGTGAATGTAGCATTTTTCAAAAAGATCTCATTTTATTTTTATTAAAGGAATTGTTCTTTTGAACAGGGATCTAAAAATGAGCCATCCTTGAACAAACAAAAGGTATAAAGTGGTATGGCATTCAGTTTACCAGACCTACAGGACCCACCCTTCTTTTATTTAATTTCTAGTCAAAATGGCCATTATATACAAGTTATTTATTTTTCAGCCTCAAGAAGCAACATATATTTAACAGTATTTAGTGTGTTCACTCTTTGTCTTTATTACAGCTTCCATTCTTTTTGGAACACTTGCTTGTGTTTTTTAAAGGGATATTTTTCCACACCTCCATAGTTCAGTCTTAGATGTTGGTTTTATTTTCTGCTTCTCACGATCCAAGTAATCCCAAACTCTGTATGGAGTGGTCAGTCCATTGTTGAGGACACAAGCAGCTTCTTTGTTTGATTTGCAAACTTTTCTCAGTGAGGACTCCAGTACACCATTCAGACAACACCAGGAGCTCATCTTTGTTTGATTAGCAAATGTTGATTAGCAAATACTTTTGTGTTTATTTCCTTTTCTCAGTAACGGCTTCTTAACAGCTACACATCTATTCAGACTCATAGTGCTGTGTCGTCCTCTCACAGTGGAAGGATGGACAGAAACACCTGTGGATGTTTTCAGATCTAAAGCAAGAACGGAGCTTGATTTTCTCCTGTCTCTCAAAGATGAAAGCTTTAGGTGCTGTTTATATGATGGGGACAGTTTTGGTGATCTACTAGGTCTTGTACAGTTGTTAGGAGTCCCAATTTTAATTTTTTTTTTACTTTTTGTTTTGGAAACTATTTTTCTTCGACTCCCCCCTTCCTTGCGTAAATGGATTATATGTCTAACTTCCTATGAAATATCTCCTGAAAAATGAGTAACTAGAAATTTTTCTGACTCTGCACAGTATTGTATGTGCTTGCCTTTCACTGTCCTTTAAAAACAGATTTAATGAATGAAGGACCAGATAAAATCATAAGTCAATTTTTGGACCAGTGTACTGAATTAACTGAAATGTTACTCTAAATATGAGGCATTTTCTAAAAAACATTTTTGGAATTTTGTTTAAAACAGAAAAACTTTGTGTGCTGTGCTTTCTCCGCTCATTACCTACTGCAGCATCACCACTGAAGCAAGGAACACACAGACCTGGCTTAGGTACATGTTCAACATGATTTCAAGAAATTCAAGCAACTATTGATGTATACTCACATCAATACTTGCTGTAACTACCATTTGCACTTTGCAAAATGCTGATATGTATGCAACATATGAAACGCCCATATTCTTAAAAATCACAACCATTCAATCTAATGTCTAATGTCCCTTTTTCACTGGAACCTTAAGTTTTTGTCTTTAATGAGTTTTGTGTACTATGTCATATATTTGCATTCAAGCAAATACCTGCATTGGCACGTCCGTCTGTCAGTAGGATGATCATGGAGGCACTGTTATCTGAGATGATCTTGTTTTCCTTAGCTGCAGTTAGCATGTCCACAGCCAAAAGAAGAGCATCATTGATATTTGTCCCTAATGGAAAAAAAGACATGGGAAAGTCTCAGTAAAACGGTAATCTTTTTCCCCTTTTTTTATTAAAAAAAACAACAAAAACAAACAAATTCAAATGTAAGGTGGACATGCCTAATTATAGTCATGAAATAATGATAGTACATAATTATGAAAGCATAATGGTTAAAACAAATGTTTTGTTGTTTAAAGGATAACACATTTGTAAGTAAACAAGTCCCAGCTCCTCCTAATAAGTGACATAAGCAGCTACTTAGGGCTCCGTTGCCACTAGGGGGCCCCAACAACTTCTGAATTATTATTGTACCATTATGTTGCCTAAGATGCTTGAGTGAGGGGAAAAAACAGCAACAAAAAACATATGCATCTGGAGACAAAAAACAGAGAAGAACAAAAGCTTTAAGGTATAGGTATGTTTTTTGTTTTTTTTTTGGTGCTGACATTGTGGCATTTGTTTTGGCCTGTAGTTGAGCAACAAGAAGTAGTGGATCTGGAATCTCTGGAAACGAAGCAGGTTCAACTTATGCTTTCTGAATGAATCACAAAACCTCACAAAAACAGATGTGGTTAACCTGTTTTACAACAGTGGTTAAGAACTTTCTCTATTAATACTCAGGCTATGATTAATCCAGGTTTAGATACTCAAGGCTATGATTAATCCAGGTTAGGTTTGGATACTCAAGACTGATTAGTCCAGGTTTAGATCCTCAGGTCAGGCTGTGATTAGTCCAGGTTTAGATCTTCAGGTCAGGCTGTGATTAGTCCAGGTTTAGATATGCAGGCTGTGATTAATCCAGGTTTAGATATGCAGGCTGTGATTAATCCAGGTTTAGATATGCAGGCTGTGATTAATCCAGGTTTCGATGCTTAGCCTGTGATTGAAGGTGAGGTAGGTGATTTATTTTAAGAATATTTTTGTTATACTCCTTGAAGTACTCTTTACATCCTGATAGGAATCAATAAATTCAGTGCTGTGATGACAAATAGAAAAAAACATTACCTGTGAAGGCTACAGGACTGTAAAAACCCATCTAATCACTTCATTTGGACTGAATGAAATGATTGGAAGGCCTACCTGCCTCTCTACCTACCTACCTCATTATCTGCCCACATGCAAGTGCTCTGCATGTGTACTCATTTGCGCATGAGCACACATGCAGTCCACCATACAGCTCCCCACACACACACACACACACACACACACACACACACACACACACACACACACACACAGCTGAAAGGCAGCGAGCTAAGTTTACAAGAATGGTGAAGAATGTTACACAGCTTCCCGCAACAGCTTGAACTGCTAAACAAAAAAGAAAAGAAAGTCAGAAGTAGAAAAGCGTTCTAACAAAAAGAGATTGGATAAAGCAAGAGGTCAAGCCAGAGAGAACATTGGTGTATCTTTGCAGCTGTGGCGAAACCTGTTTATGGGGGAATTTATTTTCCTGAACTCCTCCTTTCCTGAGCTAGCTTAACATGTGCTAGTCTAGTAACTTATTAGATCCCCAAACAATCATCCGGTCACCAGCAATACACAAATTCGCCAGTTATAAATACAACCATTTCCAAAAAAGTCAGGATGCTGTGCAAAATGTAAATAAAAACAATGCAATGCTAAAAGAACACCTGGTGGTTGATTGGCAACGGGTCAGTAACATGACTGGGTATAAAAAGTCTTTCAGAAGTAAAGATGAGGATGGGTTCACCACTCTGTGAAAGACTGCACAAGCAAATATTGCAACAGTTCAAGAATAATGTTTCACAACCTAAAATAGCAAAGAACTTTTGCTTTTCATCATCTACGGTACATATTATTAAAAGACTCCAAGAGAATCCAGAGAAATCTCTGTATGTAACGGGACAAGGCCAAAAAACAATATTTGCTGGTGATCTTTGAGCTCTCAGGCGGCACTGCATACTGAAAAACGTATTGACAAAAGTATTGTCAGTGGACTAGACTTTCAAATTATAGCACTAAAGTTTGAGAAAACAAGAAATTAAATGACCGAGTATTGTGTTTTTGTACCATTTCCATTTTAATACAGGTCTGTTTTATTTGCATTTCACATACTGTCCCAACAACCCCGTTTCCAAAAATGTTGGGACACTGTGCAAAATGTAAATAACAACAAAATGCAATAATATGCAAATCATTTAAACCCTATGTTTAATTGAAAATAGTGCAGATAACATACAAAATGTTGAAACTAAAAAAATTTCTTGTTTTTTGAAAAAGATATGCCCATTTTGAATTTAATGCCAGCAACATGTTTCAAAAATGCTGGGACAGGGGCATTATTACTATGGTGTTGCATCACCTCTTCTTTTAACAACACTCTGTGAGTGTTTGGGAACTGAGGAGACCAACTGCTGTAGTTTTGAAATTGAAATGCAATGTTTTTGCTTGATATAGGAATTCAGCTGCTCAACAATTCGGGGTCATCTTGGTCGCATTTTTTAATTCAACACGCCAAATGATTTACAAAGGTGACAGGTCTGGACTGCAGGCAGGCCAGTTAAGCACCAGGACTCTTTTGCCACGGAGTAGTAAAAACTTTGTTGTTATAATACGTGCAGAATGTGGGTTGCTGTTGTCTTGCTGAAATAAGCAAGGCCTACCCTGAAAAAAACATTATCTGAATGGCAGCATTTGTTGCTCCAAAACCTGTATATATCGTTTAACATTAATGGTGCCTTCACAGATCTGCAAGCCAACCATGCCATGTGCACTAATGTACCCCCCACACCATCATGGATGCTGGCTTGCGCACTGTGCGCTGATAACAAGCCGGGTGGTCCCTCTTCTCTTTAGTCCGGAGGACACGCATCCATGATTTCCAAAAAGAACTTAAAATTTTGATTCATAAGATCACAGGACACTTTTCCACTTCGCCTCAGTCCATCTTAAATAAGCTCACACCCAGAGAAGGCGTCAGTGTTTCTGTGTTCTTTTTATATATGGTTTCTTCTTTGCATTGTAAAGTTTTAACTTGCATTTGTGGATGCAGCGACGACAGTGTTTACAGACAATGGTTTTCGGAAGCGTTCCTGAGAAAATGCAATGATTTTAACTACAGATTCATGTCTTTTTTAAATATACATTTTGCACAACAAACCAAACAGGGTTGTAATTCACTGGACCATTTATACAGATACATACCTCCAGCTGCGTATATGTTTTTTACAAACTCTTTTGCTGCTTTCACATTTTCCTGCGTTGCCTTGCTCACTGATGGTCTCCATTTTTGAATCGTATGGTCAAACCTGATCAGCCCAAAATGGTCTTCCGGATTCAAGTCGCTGAGAATGGTCAGTAGTGCCTCTTTAGTCTGTGAAAGGTTTCGCAAAATTCAAACACCAAAGTGGGCACAGTGTTAGCTATTGGATCTTTTTCAGTCGGACTTTACAATACTCCCTTTGAACATACCTGTTCCATCTTTTTACCACTCATTGATCCACTGTTGTCAAACACAAATACTACATTCTTTGGCAATCGCAGCAAATCAGCTGGGGCAAAGAAATGTACAAAGTACCCATTCACTATCTAAAACACAGAGAGATAGTCATTACTCAACAAGGAAGAGCTGTCTTTGATAAATTAATAAATTTTGTTTGCTTGTAAATGGCACTATGAAAAACTGAACCTGAATGTCACCGAGATCCTCTGCTCGTTTGACATCATACTTAATGAAGAAATCTCCATCTATTAGTGTACCGTCACAGTCTGGGCATTTCCTCTGCTGGTCCAGAGTTGGAGAAAAGGACAGGTGGGCCTGAATAGGAGGATCAAAGGAAGTCAGGACAATGCACTCATCTTACCACTGTCTCTGCTTAGTATTCATCAGTTTGAATGAATAGTTTCACAAAAAAAAGACCATTTACATGATCATTGATCATTTGCATTACATTTTTTTTTATGTAAAAAAAAAAAACATTTACTTGACTTTCCACTTACACCAAATCAGCCAAGACATGTTTGGTGTCAAATTTTTGCTTCTTTATTTTAGAACTGGAGCTACAAGGCTAATGTTGCTAAAAAACATGAAGTCAAAATTCCCCCAAACCGTTTGTCAATACATGCCTAAAACTTCTCTACTCACTTAAACTGCATCAGGTCGCACAGGCAAGTCGCTGTGATTTAGAACATTTTATGACTTTCTATGAACTATAAAAACAAACTTAAACTTCTCAGTGTAGCTAAAAGATTGAGTTGCCCTTTAGGATAACACGAATCGCTTCTTTCCTGACCACAATTTGGTATCATTCCACACAAGACAATCAAAGATGGTGCTACAAGAATTCGGACACATTGTAGGGTAACATAAGTGGAGAAGCTAAACGAGTGCACTCAGAAAATCAATACAATCTCCAATTTAGAAATTAACGACCACATGTTCTGCACAAATGAACCATGAACGTATGTGTTGGATGCTGGACCCACCAGTGACTCCCTGGACCCACCAATTAGCACAATGCCAAACTTAGTTTCTTATTCAAATTTTCCACTTGACTGGAAACTTTAAATGATGCTGTAGTTAGATTGTGGCACCTCAAGACATTTTACTACATGCTCCTGTACTCCAGCCTCCCAGAGTTTGAAGGCAGAATGGTCTTGGAAAGCAGTATATTGTGCAGATGATTAATATGGTTCCAATTATAGGCTGGTCCATGCCTTTTTACTACATACTCTTTTAAAACTAGTTTACGTAGCTTATCAACACCATTTGAAGCAAATTTATGAAGATTTTGCCACATTGGTTTTGGTGACTATTTACTTTTAGTGTTTGTTAGCAGTGTTAGCCTGGCAGCTCCAGTCTAAACCAAAGAAGAAAAAATCGGACATCAAACATGTTGAAGTTGATGTACTGCTTTTGAAGTGAGTAGAAACTCGTGTTAATTTGATTTTACACCAAATTATTCCTTTAAAAATGTACATGCAAAGAACAGCTAGACTGCACTGAAATTAAATGCTAGTAATTCCTAAAAATTCTAGCAGTGTTTGTTAATGAAAGTACTTATTATTTGCAATGTCTTTTTGACACTAGGGTTTATTAACCCTTTAAAATCCAAATATAATTTCAATTGTCAGCTGCAATGACGGCCAGTGTACTTGATTAGCCAGTATAGTAATAAATAAGGGTGCACAGATGTGTGATTTTTGGGCCGACCCCTTTTTAAAACAATTTCACGTACATATTTGATAAAGCAGATACCAATGCGCATTTTCATTTGCACAGGATTAAAAGTGCTTAAAATTGATTAAACATTTTAGCATAGTAGCCCTGTTTTACCTAAACAATTTTCTCTTCTAGAATAAAATAAACATGGCATCAAATTATCTGCCAATTATGATCGATCCCTAGAAATAAATTTTACATTAAAATAATCACCTTTTTGTCAGTAACAGTTTTCTCCACCAGGGGGAGCAGTTCATTGGTGATGAAAGTGGCATGAGTGTCCAGAAACGCAATGCCTTGCGGCTCATAAATATCTGCAGCAATCTGTAGGTAAGATTGTGCAAATGAAATGCAGGTTCCTGAAGGTGTCGGAGACAAAGAGAGATAAATAACAAGAGATTAAGCAGTTATTAACCTACTGCACCTCAAAGTGTTGGACCAGTTCTTTGGGTTTGACTCTAATCATGATCTCATATTTGCCAAAGCGACGCTGAAGGAGCTCCTCATAAGTAAGTGTGAATGTGATGTTGCTGTTGGCGGCGATGTTCACAGACACAGAGAACTTCTCCATCTTTCTGCCTGAGGCTCTGAAAAGACCAAAATGCAACACTATCATTTATTTGTGATAACACACAACCTTGAATGTTTGATTGCTTTTATAGGACAGGGTCTGTATTGCCCTCCTATCTTCCTAAACTTCCTATTTTCCTAAACTTCCTATTTTTATATTGCCCAATCTAATTTAAGGTCTCATAAGTTCATTATAAGATTTTTTACAATTTCACATTACAGAAGCAAGTCTTATCTTAATTTATAAATTACGTATTATCTTACAGAATCATATCTTCTCTCAAGTTAGGAAATCCTAAGCTACTCGATTGAGGTTGATAATTGATTGTTATGTCTGTTACCAAGCAACTGATAATATACTCACAGCTAAAACGTAAACAACAATCAAAACGACTTTAAAAAATGTAAGTTAGCTAGACTGCTACTCATATGCATAATTATTGCAAGGGAACACAATGTCTTTACCTTAAACCACAGTCCCTTAGGACAGGGCTGGTGAGCTCCAGTCCCGGAGGGCAGGTGTCCCACACAGATTTTTCTACTGACTCAACTCAGTAGTTTATTCACAGGATTAGTGGGTGTGTTAAGAGCAGGAACATCACTAAACTGTGCTGCTCACTAGCCCTCCAGGACTGCAGATTGCCACCCCTGACTTAGGGGCTCCATGGTAGCCTGATCGCACTCCATATGTCTGACCTTTTTTGCCTGCTGGTTTCAATTTGTGTCATACATCAGCACCAACTTTAAAACATGCAATAATGTTAGCTGAAATTTCACAACGTGCAAATTTGTCTTTCTTATTTGGCAACAAATATGTCATCTGACATGCACTAACATACAGAAACTAGTAACAAATTCATTTTGTTTTCTTGCTATCTCAAGTTACGCCTGTCATTATTTTATGTCATTTAATGCTTATGTAGGCCTTTTGTTTATTATATATCAACCTTTCCATAACTCACTTGACTAGACCAGCGGTCTGTCCAGACGACACAGCCTTCTCATACTGCTTCTTGGCTTTCTCCTTTTCTTTTACCTCTCCCACATATGTCTTGCCGTCAATCTCCCTGAAATTATGTTAAGGCACACTTGAAAACATAATTACGGACTTGATGACTTTCTGTGTAAACATGCATTGAACATGCAGGTTATACTTTTAGTTTTCAGTTGAATTGTCAGTATAAACTGAACATGACTGACATGCTGAAGTTGGTGATGAAGGCCGTCTTCGGTAACTCCACTTCAAAGAACACTTCCTGTGAGACGTTGGCCTTGTTCAGAGCTGTGGAGGTCATGACAGTGTGTGCGAAACGAGACGCCACCTTGCAGTCTATCTTCACATTCTGCACCTCTATCTGGATAAAACGGAGATGGAACCATCTTGAACAGGATCAATTTTAAATCTTTTATCTGAGCCCTGCGATGGACTGGCGACCTGTCCAGGGTGTTTCCTGTCTTTCGCCCGATGACTGCTGGGATAGGCTCCAGCACCACGCACAACCCAGAACAATAAGTGGCATAGATAATGTGTGTGTGTTATTAACCAAGTAGACTTGTGTGTATGAGGAATTTATCTTAGTAAAGCTGGTGCTTACATTAGTGAACTATACAGAATACATACAGTAAACAAATAAATAATACATTGCCATGAAGCTTCTCGGTGTGCATCAGTTTAAACAACATAACAAAATGCACATAATGATCTAAGGCTTGTCTGTGGCTACTCTGCCATGGAAACCAATGTCATGAACCTCCTGCTGATGTTGCTTCCAGAGGCAGTTTGGAACTCTTTATGTGCTTCATGCATAAGCCCTTGGTGGCCCTGCTCTGTGAATTTGTGAGGTCTACCACTGTGTGGCTGCTTCTTGATGCTTCCATTTTACAATAATGCCGCTGACTGGGACAGATTTAGCAGGGCAGTAATTTGAAGAACTGACTTTTGGCAAAGGTGACATACTGTGGCAGTGCCATGTTTAGAGTCACTGAGGTCTCCAGTATGACCATTCTGCCAGCATTTGTCTATTTAAATTACAGGGCTGTGTGCTTGATTTCATACACTTGTTAACAGTGAGTGTGTCAAAGAAATTTGAACTTAATAATTAGGAGGGGTGTCCACAAAGTTTTGGCCAAAATACAATTAGATAAACATTAAGAAGCTCTCTCTTGTACCTTTGGAATTGGTTCTTGTAACCCCCTAAAAGCATATTTGCTTTTTTTGCTGTAATCTGTAAACATTGCTAAAGTTTCAAAACATACCTTCAGCCTAATTTCCTTATATGGACTGGTCCAGACAGTCCATATAAGGAAATTAGGCTGCAAAACCAGTCCGTTTTTAATTGATCCATTTTTTGATGTCACAAAAAACAATACATTTACATACATTAGCCTGTTCAGCTTACAGCAATTAAACCCTACTTATTCCTGTAGATGTTATAGAGATTATTTCAGCATGGACTGCCTTTAGAATACAGGGCAGCCAATCAGAACAGAGATCATTTACATATATCAGTCTTAAAGGCACAGTAACAAAAACAGCTTGTGTAATTCTAAGAGATAAAGAGAGGTTGGAAAGTATTTTAAAAAATGTAATGAATTATAGCTGTTTTTGATACACAAACCAACACAGATGTCTTAACTAGATCTCTGGGGCTAAAATTGTAAACCATACAAATGTAGAATTTGCAAGTTTTTCCAATGCAATAATTTGCTTTACATACATGAGTTTAAAGTTACAAGATTTCATGACATTTTTTAATTCAAGTTATTTTCTTTCTATGTAAGTGAACTTTGACTGATACTGATCGCTAACGTGGGGGGAGGTCAGAGACTTCTTGACTGTTAGTCTTGTTTATTACTGGTGGAGTTGAACATAAAATCACATAGAAACAAAAAGCTTTACACAAATACTTGATTTTAGATGCAGTTAAACTTACCTCAGCGCTGTTCACACTTCGTTTCTGCAGGAAGGTCATTGCAAAAAAATTAGTGGTGTTTTACAACAGCGTGTGGCACAATGTGCATTACATCATTTACTTTTCGTAATGCTGAAAACTCAAACATATGGTGATACCTTTAAAAGCCTGCTGACGCTGCCATCACTATCCTAAAAGAGATGACAGAGTGCGTTCTATTTAATAACATATGACAAAAAAGGATCAACAGTGGACACTAAATACACAATAATATGCATTTTGTTCCTTTTGAATCATTGAATATTACCTCTCTTGAGACTATTAATGCACCATAAGACCCCAACGGAATGCACAAGTAAATAGACACACAAAGCAACAATGCGGTCCACACTGTGGTCATGATGAATCCGGAGATCAGCTCTGGCTCTGTACCAGAGCTCTTAGATAAATCAGCGTTGGTGAATCAGTAAACTGCGTTTACTCTGTTCAGCCAGTAAAAACTCTGTCCCGATTTGGTTAAATCTACATCAACCAATAGCTTATGCAAACGTTTACCTTACCAAGCCCTTCATCAGCTGATCCAGGTGACACTGTAACTGCTCAGTCCAGAGAACTGCACTCTCATTTTGAACAACATAATTCACACTGACTACAAATGAAAGTTTTACTAATAACACATAAAATAATAAAATGCTTGGGCATTATGTTTAGCAAGTATAAACAAACCTCCATAACAACGTTCCCTCAGTCTTTGTCTATTGAAATCCTGCTGTACCGCCACCAGGTTACAAATTGTGTCTTGGAGTGAATACAGATAACTTAACTTCTGTATTCTGAATACATATTCCCAATACTTGTTCCATTACATCCCAACACTGGACACATGAAACTGATTTGCCCTGCGAATGTGAACAAAGCCAAAGACCAAACAGCCCTCTAAGCATTGATAATGTGCCAATTAGAGACTTTTTAGGGGGCTGTAGCATTGCCAAGATTCAAACGTGATATCCTGACAATAAAGCAAAACCGTACAACGTTGCGTACTGAGGGCCGAGTGTCATTTGTGTAGTGAGCAAGGAGGCCTGACGTAAATCCAAGCAGACTTTAATGAACAAAACAAACTAGTAGAAACATTTAACACAAAATAACAAACTACTAAGCTTAACAAAGAAACACTTCCAGCACACCAGACATGAGGTAGTCACACAACAACTACATCTAACAAAGCAACAAGCAGACCAGAAAAACACTGACTCAAACAAAGGGCTTGATAAAGGCTAGAACAAATGGGGAACACCTGGAAGAGGGAGGCGACAGAGACTACAGACAGGTGGGATCCTATCAGGGAAGGTGGGGGGGAAAAGGACCAAAACAAAAACACAAGCACATGGCAGAAAGCACATGCCTACAAAACAGAGCAAGAAACAGACACAGGAACAAAAGGGGAAACCGAGACACTGAGTTAGCGAGTGCTAAACTTTAAAAATGACAAAAAGGTTACAATGAAATGCAAAAAGGAAAAAGTTCTGTTTAAATTATACAATGGAATAACCTGTAAAAAGACCTTTTTTTGCAGTGTAGAACAGTAAAACTCAGAAACAACACAGATAGTTGTTGGTTATAAACAAGGTTATGTCAAGGTTAAATCATATAAAATGTGTAAACAAGATGTAAGCTCTCGGTCAATGACCCCAGTGCCATTTTTTTTATAAACGGACCAGCAAGGCACATTTTCTCCATTCACCAGCCCCTCCATCTCTGCCAGCCACCGGTTAACCAAAGCCACACACACACACACACACACACATACACTTTCTAAGCCGCTTATCCTTCTGGGTCGCGGGGTAAACAAAGCCACACGACACACAATTAACTCATTCCTTTTCAAGTAAATTCTGGCCATCTGGTCTGTCCACAGTGACACATTTAGCATGTGCATAAAGTGAATGTTATGCTATAATTCCCATTCTGTTCTGAACATGACACGGAGCATAACGTTCGCTTTCTGTTCAGGGAAATACGTAAACACTGAAATCACGCTTCCTCTGGCAAATTTTTTACTAGCCCTTTTTTGCACACGTTTTAATAAACTGCTGACACATCAAGGCTTGCATTTCTTGTATTCACAGGAATTGACAAATACAAAGCATTTTAAAATAACTCTTTAAAGCCAGTCGTGGTCACAGCCGTGTCTGTTTACACTTGTGAAAGAGGTTAACATTTGCTGCTGCTATAAATAATCTCAACAGCGATGAAACACATTTTTAGAGAGAAATATTTTTGTTCGTCCGTCAAATCCAGACTGGAACTTTCATTCCAGCGTTTTAGTGGACTCATTTTGATTTCATTTGAATGGGTGTTTTTCTATTGCACTGCAGCTGCCGTCGTCTCACTTTTATCGCTTCCACTTTCAGTGAAAATGATAAGGTTTAATGGAGCTCCCGAGTCAAACGCGTTGCTGTATAATAGGGCTGCAGTGTCCGGACTCGAGACGTTTTATTAACGTCTCGGACTTGTCTTGGACTCGGTTGTTCTTGTACCTGTCTCGGTCTCGGCCACAGGTTTCACCAAATATATTCTCTGGTCTCGACCGAGTTCAACTAAACTACCGTTAAAAAAAAAAAACCTTCTTACTTTTAACGGTCACCGGCGCGCGCTGACCTTCGCTTGGAGTAAACTGGAGCGAACCGCAGCGAAGCTTAAGCGTCTTTGAATCGTCTCAAGGGCAAGGTGAGCTGTAATTCGATGGAAATGTAAACAGTTTCGTAATGAAATCTTTGTAAAAACCCATTCAGTGTGGTATACCACGGTGAGAAATAACCTTTAACCTCGGCCTTCCTTTAAATTGTATTCGTGTTTTGCCGCCGAGCGTTTGAACGGTCCTCCTGGTATCGCTCTACCACCGTGTAAGTAGTGGTTATTTCATTTCTGCTGTTTCGTTAACGTTTTACTCGGTAAATTGACGTGTTTCATTATACTTCTACAAGTAGCCAAGGCGCTGTGCTTTATCGTGTTAAATCTAAAGTTATTTAAAGCATTTTTTTCGCGGATGTATCTCGTCGAGTTTAAGATAACCTACAGCTATCACGACGGAGGAAGCTAGCTAGGTTAGCTAACCTAGCTAACTCAAACATTTGTCCGTCCGGTATGTCTGTTCCATACAAATGGGTTTTTTTACTGAATTGGACAGCCTTACATGATGTTTATCACACTGTTCTTCTAACTAACTGTTGCTAAATGTACTCAAAGGCGCATATTTGCACCTAGCTAACTAGTTAGCTAGGTTAATGGTGTAGTTTAATGTTGCTAATCAGAGTTAAATTGTTTAGCGATGTTAGGTAGGAAGGCTGGTTTACAGTTTGACAAGCTTGTTTTAGTAAAGTGTTACACAGAAGTGAATAATTTCAGTTTTCTGCATAAAGTCTACTGTACTGTATTGTATTCTCTCAAAACAAGGGGCAGATGATCCAAGCAGATAAAAAGGACAGGGAGGGCTGTTGATGTCATATGAATGACATTGTTGATTGGAACATTTTGTTTTGCCCATAGAAAGGCTTTTGTTTGACTTTCTGTCAAAAGGGAATAAGAATATATCTTGATATAATGTTGATGCCAAAACTGAAAACAAGTATTACCTAAAACAGCCAAGTAAATGAACTAACTTGATTAAAGCATTAAGACAAAAACAGACGGGCTGTTGTTTTTAGTCACATTTTCATGCTATTTCCTGATACAGGAATTGATTGAATTCATTTAGATTTCAGATTCGTTGCATTAATTCAGAGAATTCAGTGTGGGTACTGGTTGGATGCATTCAGAGCATGGATTTGTTGTAATAATTGAGAGTGGGAATTGGTTGCATTCATTCAGAGCAGACGTTGAATGCACAGAAACGAGACTGTCTTCGCTGCAGAACCAAAAGTCCAGGGGGTACAGCTGGATTTGATCCAACTCCTCCTACATTGTGTTTTAATTGGTCTGAACTATATCAGACTCCACCCCGCCCTGCTATACTTGCCCGTCAGATTCAAGTAAAACGTAATCAAGTGTGAGTGTGAAAGTAAGTACGTAACACACATTTTCTCTCTCTAATGAAATTCCAGGATTTAGGTAATAAAACCCAGTTATGTGGGTTATTTTGACCTGTCATATGTGCATTCTAGTGTTTAAAAACGTTCAGCGTTTTCAGCTAGAACTCGTCTATCATAAGTACACTTGAGATGTTGGCCTACAGAGTGGACTTTGTACCGGAATGTGAAAAAAGCTTTTCGAGTTTTGACAAATGAGTATGAACGTCGTGAATCATAAGCGATTATAAAGGCTGTGTTTTGGCATTCAGGACGGAGCAACATCGAGGAAAAAAACACAAACACCAGCAACACCTGCGGGTTACCCACAGATAAAAACGCGAGAGGGTAGAGCAATGAAATAAGTCGTAGGCAGAAAACGTAAGCGATACATACTAGTTTACAGACCAATAGAAATGTGATGATTTTACATCCATGAAAAGAAGACGTGGGCGGAGTTGGATCAGGTCCGGCCCCACCCCTTTGGACTTGTGGTTCTGCAGCGAGTGATAGTTGAAAGAAACTTTCAGTTCATACTGTATCACAGTTGTTTTTACAAGTAGGAAAAGGGGGTATTTTATTATGATTTGAATTTGAGAAAATTATTTTTGTATACTGTTTTGTAATGGGGGCGGCACGGTGGCGCAGTATCGCCTCACAGCAAGAATGGCCTGGGTTCGATTCCCGGCTGGGTGACCAAGGTCATTTCTGTGTGGAGTTTGCCTGTTCTCCTCGTGTCTGCGTGGGTTTCCTCCGGGTACTCCGGTTTCCTCCCACAGTCCAAAAACATGCAGTCAGGCCAATTTGACATGCTGAATTGCCCCTAGGTGTGAGTGTGTGAATGTGTATGTCTGTCTGTCTGCCCTGCGATGGACTGGCGACCTGTCCAGGGTGTATCCTGCCTTCCGCTCAATGACAGCTGGGATAGGCTCCAGCACCCCACCGCGACCCAGAAGGATAAGCGGTTTAGATGATGGATGGATGTTTTGTAATGTGGACAGAAAATCCTTCTTTTGTAATTTTGCAGTCACTCAGTCCTGCTTTCATTTGGACTCGGTCTTGACTCAGTCTCGCTTTCATTTGGTCTTGGTCTTGACTTGCTCTCGACTAGTTGTGGTCTTGGACTTGTCTTGGACTCGGCAAAGGTGATCTTGACTAGAGCCCTAGAGCCTACCATATTAAAAATGTAGTTAGTCTGCTCCAACCAGTACTGTGGCTAGTCCTGTGTTCCCAGTTGGTAAGACTGTCTTTCTGTTAGGAGTGTAATGGATGGTTGTGGATAGACCGTTGCATGTGTGGGTGAGTGTGAATTTGAAGGGGTTGAATGAGTGGATTAGAGTGGAAAACCAGGCAGGTCATGCCGCAGTGGTGATTCTTTGGAGTCCTTTCTGGGTCATACAGAAACAGTGT